TGGCGATGGAACTGATCCCTTTCGAGAGGCAGATTGCCTTTAATAGCCACCAAAATCTCATGGATGTATGGTAAACTAAGTGCCTGCCGATGGTAATTGGTGCAATCGACTATCTCTAATTCCTTCTTCCTATATGTATCTAGTTGCCTAGCAACCGATTGAAGGGCTTTCCGGTGCACCTAACTAAGAACCTTACGAAACAGGGGCGTAAGGAGGTTCCCTGGTAGCTTCTTACGCTCCTCCGCAATCGATTGGTTGATGGTAATATGGCGAGCACTGACCGCAGTTCGAATCCCACACATAATAGTGTGGAGGTCGCTAACTAAATACTTAATGAATCTCTTCAAATAGGCATAGGCCCCTTCTACTCGCGAGGATGAAGTTTCGCCGAAATGGAAGGTGTTATTAGTATAATAGCGGAGAAAGCGTTGCTATATACTATCCTTTATCCATTAATTCGAGATATAGTTAATTGCCTCTGTGAAAACCTAGTGCTTATAGTATTTCTTAAAGCTCTTCTAAGTAGTCTCTATCTCTGCTATTATAGGTGCAAAGATGACTTTATTGAAGAGGTCCTTTACAGAATTCTATCGCCCGTTGATATCGTCTCGAATGTCCCCTTCCTTCTCAAGATAGATAAGAAGATACTAGGCAATCTTCGGCCGTAGTCTCTTCTTAATATTCTTCTGGATATACTATATACAAAGTAGGGAGGTTGTATTTGGAAAGGCCGTTGCTATAGCAGCCAGGAGACTCTCTGTATCGTTAGAGAATATAGTTGTTAGAAAGGGGATTTGGTGCTTAATAAGTTGATCCCGAAGGATCTCCAGAACCTACCGATATGTACCCTCTTGCTCATCCGATATAAAAGCGCAGGCAATATAGAAGGTTTTCCTATTAGCTGACCTTCTAACAATATTAACTATAGGCATATTGAACCGATTAGTCTTGTATATGGTATTAATCTAAAGGAGAGAGGAAAATCGAGCGAGAAGGTCGAGGCCCGAATGAGATACGTAGAGTATGTGTTAGACCCGGCTTTCTCCCCCTCGGTCTCCTTATAAAAGACGTCCTAGCCCGGCAGCCCCATCAGGAGGGCCGAAGTAGGCGTACGTCCCCTAAGAAACCGCTTCCGTGCACGATAGCGAAGGTTCGCCAAGTCTCTTAGGTTGAGGTGAATACGGGATTGGTATGGGTCTTCTACATCAACTTCGGCCTTACTATAAGCTCCCTCTTGCCGTAGGATACTGATAACTTCGAGGTTCGAATGCCTTAGCATGAATAGTTAAATTACCCGCTCCTGGGTCTCCTTCATCTGCTAGCGCCGGTGAATTGGGTGTATTACAGGTGCAGAAGCCGTGTGGCTAGTATGAGAGCCCTTCTTAACGGTGAAGAGCCAGCCGTTAGTTTCCTTCTTAAGGTAGGCAGAGAAGTGGCAACCGCAGCGGCGAGAGGTAGTCTAGCGGGTGGTTTTAGAAGGATACTTCCTAGGCTAGCCACCCCGATCGCACTGGAGGGTAACCGACCGATCGTTCGAATTCGCAGTGGTAATGGCGTATCCTTGGTGAGAGGTAAATTGGTTAAGGATAGCCCGGGCTTCCTGGCTAGTTTCGACCTCGATTAGCCAGTTGTTCGGCGGTGGTTGAAGAGCCATGTTGAATTAGTAGGAGTTGAATTGGTAGGAGTTGAATTGGTAGGAGTTGAATTGGTAGGAGTTGAATTGGTAGGAAGCGAATTAGAAAGAGATATCGGCCCTAAGGAGAGAATCAATTAGCCATTGAATATAAAACTTGGTGGTAGGAAGGGGGTTAGTATGTAGGAATGAGTTTGGAATACCGACCTGGTATGTCATGGAGATAAACAAATAGAGGTCATGTGATAGAGGCGGGTATGACCGCTGACGACACTAGAGCATCCGCGGGAAGCGCTTATGTATGGGAATATGCATACATAAGGGCTTAGCAATTATTATGTGGATGTCGAAGGTAGCATTTTGTATCTGGGGGGTACGTTCCTAATTAGGACTAGCTCTGTCGTGCCGTGAATTTTTTTGTCGTGTCAATAACATTGTCCTATATTTAAGTAGTGTCGTTTATTAGATTTACCTTTATCTAACCTAGGAGTTACTTTAAGCTTAGTTAAATAATATAGGTAATATATAGAACGCGAATAATCTCTGTATTATCGCTAAGGTTAAGGGACTAGATAGTCTCTTAGATACTTACTAATAAAGTATTATTGTTCGATATATTATCGGTAGTGAATATAAGTACTCGATCGGTTAAATTATACTTCTATAGTAGCTAGAATAGAATAGCGCTAAGGTTAATACCTAAGTATATTCTATAAAGAGGCTTAAATCCAAGAAGTAGCTCCCGATAATTCTAGTCTTTATTAAGGAAGTAGCCTATAACTACTATAAATACCTACTAGAAAGGAGATATCTAATAGTCGAGGGTAATTAAGATTTTTCTATCCTTAGGGAGCTTCTGTAGTATATTCTAATAGTATTCGAGCACCGTACTTTGTAGCCGGCTCCGTACTACCTTTATAGATAGAATATTAAGCTACCTTAGGGCATTTTAGGCTATAGATATTATATCACGGAACCCTAGATACTCTAGAAGCTAGAAGGGTAGCCTCGATTTAGTAATAAATCGAAGAAGACTTAATTCCTATTTTTCCTAGCTAAATAGAGTATCGACTAAAGGGCTCCGCGCCTATAGAAGTAGTCGAAATTAGTATATATCCTATAGCCTATAGACTAACGGGCTAGCTTACCGCTTATATAAATTACCTAATATTTTAGCTTTTTAGCTTCCTACTATAGCTAGTAGTATATTTCTTTATCGTTAAAGTTCTATTTCTAAGCCCTAGGTGATTAAGGATAGCCTTATAATACTTATATATAACCTTTAGCGCGCTATCACTAGCCCTAGCTACCTAATTAAAGTAGTCCTAAACGTCGGAAGAGTGTCGTAAGTCCTAGCGTATACGCTTCTTCCTTCCGAAGTCCGTTTATAGCTACTATTATATATAGTCGTCGCTTATTATTTTAGAGTAGACTACGTATATAGTAATACGATTAGGTCGAACGCTCTCGAGGGAACTAGGCACCGGGGGCGAAGGTAATCCTAATCGAATAAAACTAGAATCGCCTATAGAGCTCGCGATAAAAGGGAAGTTTCGTTAGCTAATCGATAGATTAGGGGTTAGATCGTCCGATCGGAGGAGTTAAAAGTTATCTAGAAGGTCTATATTATACGAAGATAATACGGAGATATTAGTAAATTAAGATATCTAGTAATATACTAATTAACGAGTACTTAGCTAAGGATAGTTAGAGACTTAGAAGACTTATAAAAAAATCTTAGCGCGTAGACGTAGATTCTAGGGCCTCGTAATACCCTGTTCTTCTAAAGTAAAAAAGATAATATATTAATAAAGGCCTATATAGATAGATAAAAGCTATTATTATTAGCTTATAGCCTGTATATAGGATAGGTAACCTGCGGGTTACCCGCTAAGAACCTATAAACCCGCGGGTAACCCGTAGGTAACCCGTTTTCCTTAAACAATTTCGTTCTAAGTCTTTAATTAAGGTAAAATCTATCTACTTTTTCGTAATTAATAACCTAAATAAGATAAAAGAGCACTCGATTGGTTAACGTATAGATTAATAAATATACGCTAATTATTTTGAGACTAAATAATCCCTCGTAAGTCGTAGGATTAAAGAGATATTAGAATTCTATATTATCCTTGCAAAATATACGTACTTCACTCTACAGTTTATAATATATTTCCGCACTTCTGACGACAGAGTTTTGATCTATATTAGTTTTTAAAACTATAATAATATTATATAGTCGTCAAAGCAAAATATGTAATATTACTGCTATTGATTAAAAAGAAAACCGGCTAATTTCTTAATCTTTTATAGAGGAAAGAGGGTTTTGTTAGTTAGAACCACAGAGGTGACTAGAACAGATGTAAATAACAGTATTTTCAATGAGGTTAATCAGCAGTTTTGTGCGCCTTAGCATAAACTAATTAGGATATTTATGCTGAAACGGGTTCTTGGCGGGTAACCGCGGGCTACCCGCCAAGAACCCACGGGTCTACGGGTATGGGTTTTGGGTATTGGGTATGAACCCGACCCAAAGCGAGGTCTAGTAGGTATCATCTGACGTGCCAGAACAGGTGTAAATAACAGTATTTTATTAGATGAATCAGCATTTTTATCCATCCTATTCAAGTAAAGTGTAGAAACTTTATGAAAAATGAGGGTCTATGAGGGTCAGTGAGGGTCACCCGCGCGAGGGCTAGCGAGGGTCGAGGGTCGGGTGAGGGTCAAAATTTTTGAGCCGACCCTCGCGAGGTGAGGCTCGAGGGTCCGGACCTTGGACCCTCGCGAGGGTAATTCCGAGGTCTATGGATAGTCTATGGGGTACCTAAACCCGTCCACGGACGGGTTTGGACGGCTTTGTACATGGGCGGGTTTGGACTCTGCCGAGGTCTAGACATGCTTTTGATCGCCGGTGAGTTGAGGGATTTGAACCGATTTGAAAGCCGATCTGAATTGCATGCGATTTTACTGCGCTCTTAACCACCTATGCCTTCTCCTCTTTCTCCCGGCGGCGGACCATGTTAGCGATGTCATCTTTGTATTGACCAAGATCTATTTAGGGGGGCTTGGTGAAGCCGAGGAAGAGATGCAGAAAGGGAGATGTAGAGGGCATAGGGACAGGATGATATTCAGGGGTCTTTGAATCTACAGTAGATTGATAACCTATTTTGGTTTAGTTTATGGAAAAGGTATGGAGGCGGTATTCAAGGCGGTATTCAAGGCGGTATTCAAGGCGGTATTCAAGGCGGTATTCAAGGCGGTATTCAAGGCGGTACGAAAAACGCCGCTGGCCAGGGATGGCATTTTTCTTATAGGACTTTGGCAATGACTGCGCAGCAGTTCAAACCTTTGTTATCTTCGGCTTCCTATCATGGCTATTGCAAAATCGGCGGCCATGACCAAGGAATACACGGCAGAGGTATGCTTCTCATGTAGAGTCAAGAAGCGGAAATGCGACAAGCTATTACCGGCCTGTTCACGGTGTGTGAGGTAAGAATTCAGGCTGCATTTCCGACAAGAGAACAAACTTACGAAAGAAAAAATAGGGCGAATCAGCTCTGTCTCTATGGAAGTGGTGCCGAAGGGTTATATGGCCACATTGTGCCAATTCCAAACCAGGATTTGGTTAAGAGTCGGTATGTGTTCACCCGCGGGTCAACGAGGATGCCGTAACTGATCCAGTCTAAGACTAGCTAGTTCTTCTCACCCCAGATTACCATCCCAGCCCCTATCCATGTTTAAGCGGGGCTCCTGTCGCCGATGCAAACATCAGAAAAAGTTCTGCGACCAAGCTTACCCCTGCTGCGCGCGATGTCAAAGGTATAAACCCTGCAGCCCCCAGCACGATGGTGTTCGTTAAGTATTGACCCTCTTCATCCAGGCTGGAAACGCCCTGCACTTACGAAAAACTAGATCGGCTACGTTTGTTGACTTCCGAACATGTATTTTGTTCGAATCCATCTACACCGAAGTTCCTGCAATACCAACCATCCTACCCGATCAAGATAAGCACTGATATCCCAGTACTTTTACGGGGCTGTTAGTCACTCCTCCACCTTCGTGGTTATTTCTATATTGTCTGACAAGGCCACAGTTCAGGATCGCATAGGACTATTAGGCATGCCCGTAGAAGCAGGCAGTGTTGCTTCCTTTCTGCGTTCCTCGTGGATCGCCCACGCCATGACCGATCCATGTTTATTCCACGCCACCCTGTATATATCCTCTGCGCATATTGACACTCTCCGCGAAGCAAGTGCGGGAATCAGGACGACCCCCAGCCCGGCCACTCTGTACCATCATACCAAGACCATTGCTGCCGTTAATTCCCGAGTCGCTGCTGGCGACATCCCCAGCGATGCAACTATTGGTGCGGTCCTACTGCTGATTCTTTCAGCATCAATCCAGGGTGAGAGTCACGCCGCAGATGTTCACAACATGGGGCTTCTCCAAATGGTTTCCATGCGGGGTGGATTAGAATCGCTCGGATTTGATGGAATTCTTGCGAGTATGATTCAGATGTAAGTTGAAATCCGCCTCGTGTAGGATCAGCAGAGTAACACTGTCATACCAGACACACAATCCTCCCCGCGGTAGTTTTCGGGCAAATTGATGCATTTCCTACGCAGTGGATGAAGTCTCCCGCAGCGCTGGACAATCTACCAGCCCTAGCCATAGCGAGACTAAGGGACTATAACAATGGAGGGCTCAACGTAAGGTCCTACATGGAGACTATTTTTGTCCAAGTGTGGAAGCTCCTCCTGTTGGCAGATTCGGATGGTGGGAAAGGTGATGGTAACGGACATCTCTTTGACTTTGATACCGTGAGGGTATTGCTCGATCAAGAAATCCCATTCGACGGTCTCTTGTCAGATGGGTCAAATACTGAGCGCGCTATGGTGAAGTCGTGCAAGACAGCGCTAAGAATACTCCAGTATCTGCTCGACGATCAGCTGCTATTGGGGGGAGAAACAGGGGATCTAGTGAAGCTGGTGGAAGATTTGAAATCACACCTTTCCACAACTGATGCCTTGACCTGGATCAAATACGCTCCGCATGCCAATCTTTGGGTAGTAACGATGGGAATTGCCGTTTCAGAAAATGCCTGCGAGAGGCTGTGGTTTCTGATGAATGAGAGATCCGTAGTCTTGTCTGTCGACGCTAGTCAGCCGATCGTTCATGAGAACGTCTGGTCGTGTTATCGCTGGCTAAGGCGGCTTATACACGTGCGATCCTTACGGAAAACAGCATAGGCACAACCATGAACGATAATAGAGTGGGCAACGGCAAGGACTTTTTTTTTCTAAAAAAACATCAGGAAGTGAACCCGGGTGTTCGTTCCGCTTCATTTATTAGCTTTTTCTGCTAGTCCACAAATCAACCAGCATCAAGTTCCCGCCTAGACCTCGGCAGAGTCCGTCCATGGGCGCCCCTGCAATGTCCAAAGTCCAACTACGCTAAGTCCCGCCCAGTCCAGCCCGCACACGCAAGTACCAAACCTGTCCAAACACCGCCCATTCTTGCACAAAATCAGGCATAAAATCCATGATTCAGCAGAATAAAAAACTGTTACTTACCTTCGTTCCAGTCACTGAATAACCAGACTAAAGGAAAACTATCTTGCTAAAGGAAATATAATGAAATTATGATGTATTCTTGATAATTCTTCCTAGAAAGTTCTAACAGACTCAAGAAATTAGTCCCATTACTATATACATGTTGGTGGGTTTTGAATAACAATACTATTTTGGCAGAGTTGAACTTGAACATATATATTTTACACTGACAACCTTACTAGGACTTCTTTCAGTGGCCGCTTCTCCTACAATTATAGTATTCTTAATGATTACCTCCTTAGTTCCCTGTGAAATATTGCATTAAGTCTTAGACTTAACTAGGAAATTGACGTAATTCCTAGCCGATCCGGACACACGGCCGATCCGGTCACCCCATGCAAAATCGCGTATTTCTAGCCAACTACCAACTTCAACCACCTACCATGCCACCAATTCGACCTAGATCTCGGCAGAAATTAGCCAATCAAGAGGGCAAGATCATACTGCCCCTTTCTGATGTAGAAAAGGGACATATCAAATCTCTTCGCGCGGCGGCAAAGCTATATGAGATACCCTTTTCTACACTCCAAGGACGCGCCAGCGGCCAGGCTTCACGCGTTGATAGGCGCCTATCTGGTCATAAATTGACCCAATTGGAAGAGAATTTGCTTTGCCAATGGGTCCTCTCTATAGATTCGCGTGGAGCAGCACCTAGGCAGGCTACTGTACGAGAGATGGCCAATATCCTACTGGCTGCACGTGGTAGCCACCCTCCACCTACTGTTAGCAAGAACTGGCCAGCAGCCTTTACTGAACGGCGTGAAGAGCTTCGCTCGCGATACTCGAGGAGATACGACTATCAGCGCGCATTAAACGAAGACCCGAAAGCCCTACGAGCCTTGTTTGCGACCGTACAACATACAACGCATAATTGACGAGAACGGGATCCATCTACTATCCAAAACAGCTTCGCAGCTAGTGGCTTAGTGCCAGTCGACGCAGAAAGAGTGCTTTCAAAGCTTAATATCTCTCTAAGAACGCCTACACCACCAAGCAGCCGGCCAAGCAGCAGATCTAGCCAATTCACACCAAAAGCGCCTCGAACCGTCGTTAAGCTATATAAGCAATCTTCAATGCTAAAGGCCTGCTCGACCAGCGGTCCTAAACGCCTACTCCATTACTAGATCAGATTGTAGAGGCGTGTGCGATGGTTATGCATAGAGCTACACTGCTTAGCCAGGAGAACGCCAATCTACGCGCAGCCAATGAGGAGAAGCTCCAGAAACGCCAGCGGTCAATTAGCCAGATAGCAGATACCCTGCAAGAAGGTCTGACCGTTGAAGAGGGTCAACAACTAGCTGAACAGCTAAATCAGCTACATGCATTGTGAGGCAACCCCAGTAAAATCACTCCCTTTAATGGAGCGGTTGTGATATTAAAGCACGAGCTTCTCTTCCAAAAATACTCGAAAATACGGCAAAGTTATCTAGTGAAGTCGTGAGAGAGAAATGGATAGGATGCCAAGGGGGTCTAACATAGATACTATGCTAAAAAGCTTGAAATTCATCAAACCCAAATCAAAACCAGAAAAAAAACAAACGGAGGCGCACGGGGATTTCTTACTAGCGAGTCGGTAATTTCCCGCTAGTCAAACTATCATTATTCAAATTAGCCTCCTTCTGTCATGCTAAGGGGCCTGGAACAAGAATAGAACAAAGAACTGCAAAAATGCCTTAATGTCGTGAAATTAGTTTGTAAGGAAAAAGATTCATGAAAAGATTTGAATTCCTGCCCGCTACTTTTCTATCTCGATTTCATTGTCATTCTTCAAGCTGGGCACTGATCACTACGATCAGGCGTTCCAACTTCCGTGGTCTCAAGCAAGGAGGATCCAGTGTTCGGCCTACCCCAGCCTAGCGGTGGATTGATTACCCTTCGTGGCATACCAACCGCGGCTCAGTCAGGTAAACCTAGCGAGCTAGCTCCGACTTTCAAGGTCCACAATCCCTCAACCTGTATCAAGGGCAGTGTTCGCTTCTTACACTGGTTGTACGTTACCAAAAAAAAAAAAAAAAAATAACTGTTGATAAACTCTACGAGCTTCTTATCAATATTATTGCATTAGATGCCCGTCGCTTGGACCTTTTTTCGGCCTGGAAAATTGTGAATCAGGAGGTTTGCTTGATTCTATGATTTGTGGGTTAAGTGTCATGGCGGTTTTTTCTACTCTAATAACCAGAAATCCTAATTAACGCGTTGCACTAGTCTTGGCACTCTCGCCTGTTGATTGCCTTGTGTCATCGGGCAATGCATACATGCAAGAATACCAGATCATCGACGTATTAGAATGAGAGAGGCTCAAATCCACTACGTTGTCAACTCCCATACCCATTCGGTTTACATAAAGCAAGGCGACCCTCGAAACCCTGACGAAACCGGAGAACCTCATAGTAATGAGATATGATATTTAACAAGAGTTGCTTATATAAACTAAGAAAACATCGAGGGTTTACCAGTCTATCAGAGCAATGGAGCGCAAAGAGGAAATACAAAGACTCATGAAAGGGTGTTGATTCTGAATTTGTGTGGTATGAAATCTCTGACGATACTGGGGGCCAAATTACCCGTAAAACAAAGTCGGGGTATGTTTATGTAAGATTGCAGATCTCTTAGCGGTATCCAACAAGTCTATAATAAAGTGCCTTTTTCCATTCTTGCTGACGTTTAGTCACAATTTCCCTTCGATATCACATTAATATCACGCAAACACAACCATGGAGGATAGTGTTGCGTTCATAGGTAGGGCTGTCAGCAGCGAAAGGGCCCCCGTTAGTTAAGCGATGCTAAACCCACCAATATGCACAGGGCTAGGTGCCATGGGGTCTTGCATGGCAGGCAACATCCGTCGGAAAATACAGGCTTCTGCCACGCTCTACATCTTCGACATTGATTCTGCAGCCTGTGAAGGGTTTGTGTCGAAGTTCGAGCAGTTCGGTCCCATTGAAATCGCCAATTCCGTAGAAGAGGCCGCAAGAAATACCAAGGTTCTTGTCTCAAGCCTACCGAACGCTCAAGCTGTTCGCAAAGCCTATCTAGGGGATCTCGACGGCTGTATCCTCACAACGCCAAACTCCGAACGATTGCTCCTAGACACTAGCACCATCGAGTCGTCTTTAGCCCGAGAGATTGCTGTAAAGCTGTCGGAGATGGGTGTTGGGTGCTATGTGGACACACCTGTGTCGGTACGTGGAACCTGGGTAACTTCTTTTCACGGTGAAAACTGAATAAGAATAGGGCGGGCCTCCAGCAGCGGCGAGCGGGAAATTGTCTTTCATGATAGGACAGACGAAACCCCGGGATTCTAACTCGATGGGTGGTAGAATCCAGCATATCCTGGAGATGATGGGGGAGCCACAAAAGTTGTTCTGGTGCGGCGGGATTGGTGATGGTCTGACAGCCAAGCTCAGTAATAACTACATTGCCTGTAGTGTCTTGCTAGTGGTGGCGGAGGCCATGGAAATTGGGGTCCGGGGTGGCTTGGACCCCGAACTGCTATACGAAGTCATCCACAATTCGTCCGGACAGACCTTTATGGGAGATATTCTTCATGCTGCACAAAAGGCATATCGGCAGGCCAGGAATGTGTTTCCGATCGATTTGATGATCAAAGACCTTGCTCTCATTGTTGTCGCAGGAAAGGAAAACAAAGTCAACCCTCGAATGGCCCAAATGGCCTTGAACATTTGGCATGAGGCCGCTGAAAACCCAGATGTACTCTACTTGGATCTCTTGAAGGGTTCTAAGCCGTAATGAATACCACCAGACTGACAATGAGTCTTTGAGCGCATGGCTGACCATGTGGCTATACTAGATGGAACTTATTCTCTGTGTGTATTTTAGAGTTATCTGGACTGTTAAGGTGCGGAAAGAGCAACCTTACAATTTGTACTTGAGCAGCGAACAATGGTGGTTATCTACGCAATGTTTTTTCGAGTCTTTTGTTACTAAGAATGTAAAAATCTAGACCCTCATTGGTTATTGGCCTGTGCTTGAGGGCGAGGAACCTGGATTTATGAAACCTGAAACCAGTACAGCAATATCTGTTACAACCAGGCGAGATGAAGGGGTTTAAATCGGTGCATTTCAACGAAGCAACTGAATCTAGGGAAGAAAGGAGGAGGAAGTTCTATCTACTGCGTAGAAGCCTTTTTGTTTTGGACCAAAAAGAACCTTCCACCAAACACCAAACACCAGACGCCAGACGCCAGTTGGCTATTCAACCCTTCTGCTCCAGTCCATCCTCGATTGTCACAATATCTAGCATCACCTAGCGAGAAGTCACTTTCATCATCGTTCCTCCCCGCGGTTTGGCTGACAGTGCCATCTCCTGGAACGCCAGGTTGCCCAACTGCAAATCTAAATCGGTGAACGGAGCCGTGGGGGTCTTTCGTGGCTCAACAGATGCACACTCCAGGTCAAAGTTCCGGACTGTGAGTAGGAGCACAGTCCGAAGCTTCTCCATCGCTAGATCACGACCAATACATGACCGAGCACCGCGTTCAAAGGGGCGCCACGCCTCTCGAGGCACCTTATTTGGTTCCATAAACCTCTCAGGATCGAAACGCGAGGGTTGCGTGAATACCTCAGGATCGTAGTGAATAGTATGCGTGCAGGGTATGATGAGGTGGTTGGATGTTGGATACAATTTTCCATTGTACTGGAGTGCATCGATTCTGATGGGTGGACACTTGTAAGCATTTACTCAAATCCTCCTATGGAAGTAAAGACAGAGGGGGATGAATTTACCCGGGCATTGCTTTCCGAGCTCCGAACCCGACAGGAAATAGTCGAAGGGTTTCCTTGATCACGGCAGTCGTATATAATAGCTCGCTCGTTTTCTGTGGTGTGCGTCGGAGTATCTCCTGCGTACTGGCTAGACTCGCGCCGAAAACTTCGCTGTGCTCATTTCGAAGCTTTACCATCACATGGGGATGTAAAGACAGCATGATAAATACAAACTTTGCAGCGTTAGTGAGACTTGAAAAGAAGGGGAAAAGGAAACTTGAAAGCAAGACCATACGCAAAGTGTGTCAGTCGTTGTTCCGTAGCCACCAAAGAGAAGACCCTTGACACTAAGGAAGCATATTAGCAGTCTTGGAAAAAATCAAACTATATCAGTCGTTCAGCTGCTATTTGTTTTTTGTAGGACTTACTTGTCAACGACTATGTCCCTAAAGGCTGGGCTCAGTTTGCCTGAGCTTTGAGAATCTATCCCCATCCGTCGGCCCTCAAAAATCATTGAATCCAAGATGGTCATCCTTCCCTGAGCGTCAGGGCTGTCTAAAGTTCTATCGTAGCCGGCCAAATGATGTTGCGCAATAAATGAGCGTAAGAAATCATCTATGCGTTGTGCCGCTTGCCTCTTCCTCCACCATGTGGTCCATTTTTTCACTGGGTTCGTACTGCTGGTGAGTGATATTAATTGCGCATAACCCAGGATCCTATTGATGTCATGAAGCAGCTCACTGATTTTCTGCTTGGAAATGGATGTACCCAGGATCAGTTTAATGTTGATACTGAATATAAGCTCTCCAGCTGCGTTCTCCATTGAAAAGACTTCCCCACTTGATGCATAGGATTTCAGGGCCGGATAGAAAGTCTCCATTGTCTGATCAGCAATAATCGACATCATTGCCTTGACAGACGAGGGCCGGAACCCTGGGGCAATCATGCGATGTAGCATTTTCCAGGTTTCCCCGTCGGCTCCTCCTATAGCCTTTTCGCCCAGCAGCGGACCGACAAATTGGGAAACTACATCGTGTAGCGGGTAATTTCTTCTAACAGTGACCAGATCTGCAGCATCGGGGGCAATCAACACCATCTGTGAATGGCTGAATGGCCATAAATCCAGATAGAAGATGCCACGGAGCTCATACTTCTGTGCAATTGTCGTGTAGAACACAGAGAGTGCGGTGTTCGGAGGAAATAGCTTGATAGTATCGTTAAACAGTTTCAGATGACCCCAGATAAGGCTATGTGGAGGTTTGGGCTCGAGATAAATTAGCAAAACGGAATGAAATGCGCGGCTTCTCAGCGGGCCTCAAACCAGATCTCTGTAGCGTTGACGATGATGAATGAGTCGAATACCGAACACGACAGGGCTCACCCCAATGAGGAAGAGAAGTACGGAAGTAAATTCCATAATGTGGTCGGACTAGAGGGCAAAGACACACACGAGATAAGGTAGAAACCCTTAGTCTTATTTAGTTCGAACTCACAGGGGGGTGGGCTGCTATTAACCATTTGCTTTCATGTAAGATATGGGTACGGTCTGGATAAAAATACCAACCATTAAGGGACCGTATGAACAATATAGTCTCCATATCATGCTGAGGTGGAGTCAATTTATCCAGCGATAGCGCTCTTAGCCCGCTAGGGTGTCGATTGTGCCACTAAAATTGATTGTGGAAGAAAACGATCCACTAGATAAACATATTAATCTACGTATACCGTCTCATTTTTCTTTCTTTGCAACTCTGCTCTATGAATGGTTATGGCCGTGAAAGCGAGTTTATTACTTCAAATTGAATGACTGAGAAGCTTTGGTGTGAAAGTATGATCCAAAACGGGACTTTACAGTAAAGTCCCGTTCTCGGCACGGCCCTCGGGGCAGGAGTTATTATGTATGCCTCGCACATATGACTATTTTTCGCCTACCAATTTCATTCACTATACCATGCCCATAACCTCGTTGTTATAATTATCCAGAGGAGCCACGGTCTCCATAAGCTTCCATACTTCCTCGATCTGTACCGCCAAAGCCGCTTTCAAGGGACCATATTAAGAGTTCGCATAAGCTGCTCGGGATTATGCGGACCGAGGATAATAGTGTCGCTAAATACACCCTTCAGCGCTGAGTTATACATAACCTATCGATACGCTAGTTCTGCCTAGGAATACCTAATTTCCGTGAGATATCTACAGACAGGCTTAACCCCTCTAGCATCGCGGGCTCATTATATAGAGCGTTATAAAAGCCCCTCAATGTGATGGGTTGAAGCCAAGTTGATCTAATACTGACTAGGCCAACATGCTGTTTACAAAAAGCTTGGAGAAGAGAAGAGGTGGACTAAGCATAACAACAATATAAATAGGCAGACAGGGTGGTGGCAGAACGAAAAATACGGAGAAGGCCATGTGGCAGGGGCCGCAGGGCCATATAGGATTCTAGCGTCTACAGCCCCCTCCTTTTGGTTTGTCCGCGTCCTTAGTCAAAAATCCACCGGTAATCGGAGAGTGCGCATAGAAATATGATATATATTTCCGAAGGGTAGGGAAGAGTTAGGCCTCCACGTACCTAGTAAGGACAGAGTAATTACCCTAGTAAATTGACGGAGAATCAGTCGGTCGGATTCCACCGTTTCTCTTCCGCGGTGGGGGAAGACTCCAACTTTTCCAAAGTTAACGGAGTTTCCCCAGGGATGTCTGCAGCCCAGCTTTTGCTGCCCGTTTTGCTCGGCCTGTTTAGCTCTCGTCGAGGTCTTTCTCACTTGCTCTTCTCTAGATAGTTTGAACAAGGGTTTTCCCCTCAATCTGTTTACTTCTTTTACACGCGACGATTCGCCGTCAAGAGCACCGAGTGCTTGCTCTATCAGTAGTATTATATGCTGCAATTTTCCAAAGCGCAGTAACATCTAGATGGGCAGAAGTTGTTACATTTATAGTTGCTTGTCTGCAGATTACTTTAAAAAGTGGCGACCTTGGAAGTTCTGGTCTTTGATGCTAATCGACACCAAAAAGTTGACCAATATCTTCAAGGTGTAATACACACTGAATTCTTCTAAGTCGCACATACAAGTGCTAGATCAATATGGATCTTTAAAAAATTATCAGCCTAGCTTCTAGTCAATTCGAATATCTTTCTAGCTGTTGTGCTGGATAACCACAATAATATATATTGTTCGCCCCGCTGTAGACAACTGCTTCATGACGCCATAGTGTTGTGCCTAGTACGGGGTATAGCCGATTGACTGTGCTACCTATGGCTACCGCCAGTCCTCGCTCGCTTCTTTTCAGCCTGGAGAATACAGAGGTATATTCTCTGACAAGAGCATCACGGGAGCCTCAGAAACAAGGCTTGATTCGCCTGTGAAGCGACGTGGCAAAGATTCGGCGTGGGAGAATTTCCCCGCTCCAAAAAGCATAAAGCCGAAGAAACCGAAATGACCCACTGACGGTCGCTCACCACGCCTGTATAACCGAGCAAGCCCAACAGAAGAAGCCTGCTCCTCTATTATATTTTGATGATTCGACTCACTAGCCTCCGAGGAAGCAGCCTATATTCCAACTGATAATGGCGACCTCCAACCCGGATCGGCCGCGCACACGCGCAAAGAAGGCATGCTTGGCCTGCAACGCACGCCGCGTGCGATGCAATGTTCTGGAGATGCAGCCATGCCGTAATTGCGTGTCTTGGAATCTGTCTTGTGAGCTAGGAGTGTCACGACGAGGAAAGTAGGTTTACTGAAGCCATCTAATCTCTTTTTTTTTCTGAACCATGTGTTAATGCCTCTCGCTAGATACCCACGCCGGAAGAAAAAGGCAGCTTCCGAGAACGAATCACTCGAGGCACATGGCATACCAACTACTGCATCGGAAAGCCGGCTTCTGCAGCAAGAGCCCCTGCTAGACAGTGGTCCCCACTATGCCCCATCAGCCCATCCCGTAAGGGTTGGCGATGCCATTCACAAAACTGTCTTTCTCGGCGAGTCGAGTCCTTTGACCTGTGTGGTCGATGAGGGACAACGATCACCCGACAAAGGATATGCTTGTGGTATTCAGAAAGGACGTCTGCACTACTCCATCTCCGAACTCCATGCATCTGCAGGGACCAGTGAAGAGATTTTTGGTCAACGCCGTAAATCTCTCCAAGAACGTCTTATTCGAGAAAGCGCGTTGATCTTCCCGTCGCCAGCTATATGTGAGGTACTCTTGCAAGCGTACTTTGAATGGTTCCATCCGCTGTTCCCAATTCTGGATCGCTCTCGGGTCCAGAATGACTATCAGGATGAAACCATTTCTCCGCTACTCTTGCAGGCAATGCTTTTCATCGGCGTGAGTCTATGCTCAGACTCTGCTCTTAAGACTACGGGATTCAGCAACCGATACAAGGCCAAGGGTCTGTTCTACCAACGCGCAAAGGAGATATATGATGTCGGATGGGAAACCGATACGATGATCAAATTGCAGTCAATATTTCTGTTGAGTTTCTGGCGTGGGGGGCCTACAGAGGAGCGGGATGTGCGATACTGGCTCGGCACGGCCACGGATCTGGCCCAGAAGAAGGGAATGCATGTGATGTATGGTTTTCTGGTCAGCCTCATCTACTTTGCATCAAGAACTGACAAATTAGGTCCAAATTGACTTTCCTGGGTGCTCGCGACCAGCAGGTCTGGAAGAGGATTTGGTGGGCTTTATATGTAAGGCTTCCTGTCAGCATCCACCTCCTCCGAGATGTCAGAGCTCACAAAACACTAGGTTCGTGATCAACAAACATCGGCAGCCCTCGGGTTACCGTCTCGAATTCGCGATGAGGATTGTGAAGTAGCCGAACTTGACGAGTCTGACTTTGAAGAAGACGATTCAACCAATCTTTCTGAAGTCTTCCGAAGACCACCTGTAGCACACGTCAATTATGTGATTCAAATGGCTCGATTAGCTAAATTATGTAAGAAGCATTTGCCTAATGAAACGCCGAGAGGACGTAACTGATCATCAAATGATACAGTACGCGAGGTTGTTTCCAGCCAGTATTTACCTGGGAAATCAAAACTGGACAATCCATTACGTCCTGTCCTCCACCAGCGTCTCTTAGACTGGGAATCGGATCTACCACCAGAGATGCAGTTTCAACCATCCATGGCCCGAGAAGTCATGTTCCTGGTTGGAATGCTACATATGACCTACGCGTATGTCACATCCTCCGTTTGTTCAGTATCAAATCCAGAGAGCTTGCCACTAACATATCCAGTAACTTGTATTTGTTGCTTTACCGACCCATTTTCTTGCAACCACCAAGTCAATCCACCAGCTCGGAGGGCAACATAGCCCTGGAGGCCGCAACTAAGAGTACCCGAATCTTGGAAGATATGCTCTCACAAAATCTAGTACAACATGGATCTGTTCACTTGTGAGTCCTGGCCACATTATATATCAAGGAAATCTCTTTCTAACAACGAAATAGAATCACCCACACTTTTTCTGCTCTATGTATTCACACTATTCATTTCGGACGAGTTGCCAGCACAGCCAAAAAGCTTGCAGAACACCGGGCAAAACTTTGTCTGCTTGGATTGAAAGAACTTCAAAAGTCATGGGATCTCGAGAATTGGGTTCTCGATTTATTCTTCCATTGCTTGGATGATCGTACAGCTCGAAATCTCCGCCTAATCGACAACGGAATGTCAGCATCTGCCCTTTCCAGCCAGCTTACAAAGGGACCACAGATTCCCGACTCGTCGTCTCTGGATACCCCTTGCAGTAACACAAGTCGACCCCTTTCTCCAACGTCTGCCGACAGCGTTTTGCCCGGTCTGCAGGTCACGGGCCCCTTGAACCCAATGGAAGATGCATCAATCAATATGGACTGGTATGAGTTGTTCAATGTGGAAGGTGAGGATATTTCGGGATTGGCAGGCTCATTGACGAACCCGGACTATCTCAACCCGCAGAACCTGGAATTCTTGTATCGATTTTTATAGCTTCGTACAATCAAGAATGACCATATCGAAAGATTACCTTCATCAGATAGCTGTCGTAACAGTGTATACATTCAGATCTATATAGTAACAAGGTTGTGTTCGACGAGTCGAGAAAGCAATACTCTAAAGATCTATTCTACCAACCCCAACTCCGTCAAGATTGCCTTGTTATGTTCCCCAACCTTTGGGACCGAACCCATCTGAGCCCCATAGCCGCCCTGCTTGGCCGACTTTGTGGAGCCCGGTGGGAGAAGCGCCGGTACAGTACCGACCGGAGTTTCAATATCGACCCAGCGATCACGAGCCTGAAGCTGTGCGTGTTTCCAAACACCTTGCATGTCGTTCAAGTTTGCATTCGCAATCGAGGCGGCCTCCAGACGCTTAATAGTCTCCGCAGCTGTCAGCCGAGAAAAAACATCGCAGATGATCGCTTTCAATTCACCGCGATTTTTGGTCCGCAATGTGTTGCTGGAAAATCGAGAGTCTGAGGCCAGATCAGGTTGTTGCAAGACGTCGGAGCAGAATTTGACCCATTCTCTCTCGTTTTGTATTCCTAACATGACCTGTCCATTGCTGGCTTCAAAGGGCCCATACGGATAGATAGAAGCGTGAGATGCTCCTGATGGTACGGGGCCAGGGGCTCCATTGAATGCATAATACATTGGAAAGTTCATCCACTCGACCATACTCTCGAGCATAGAAATGTCGATACGACAGCCTTGACCGTCTTTTCCACGCTGAAGGAGAGCAGAAAGAATGTTGGTGTATGCATACATGCCGGCGGCAATATCTGCAATGGAGATAGCCACCTTTACAGGCTCTTTTCCGGTGCCGGTGACAGACAACATTCCCGCTTCACTTTGAATGAGAAGATCATATGCCTTCTTGTCACGATACGGACCATCCTGACCATATCCGGAAATATCACAGACAATCAAAGAAGGGTGTTTCTCCTTCAAGGCATCATGCGATAAACCCAAACGTGCACTTGCGCCTGGGGCCAGGTTTTGGACGAGCACATCCGCTTTCTCCAAGAGTTTCATCAACACGGCATGATCCTCCTTATTTTTCAGATCAAGTGCCAAGCTCTCCTTTGATCGGTTGGTCCAGACAAAATGTGAAGACATCCCATTGACACGATCATCATATTGACGAGCAAAATCGCCAACGCCTGGTCGTTCGACTTTGATAACGCGAGCTCCCAGATCGGCTAACTGGCGGGTGCAAAATGGGGCAGCAATGGCTTGTTCCAAGCTCACAACAGTGATGCCAGCTAGTGGGGGAGCACGATGGCCATTTGAAGCTGCGCTTGAATAATAAATTCGGGGCGTAATTGAGTTCGATGTGCCACGGGGCATGCAGAACGGGCGCAACCCCCGGGTAGGTTGAAGGAACAATCTCATTGTTGACCACCAGAAGTGATTTTCATGCAAAAAGGGTAGTAAATAAGTTAATCGTATTGTTTTAGTGTCCGCTGCTCTGTATTTGATACTGTGGATGCCTCGGCTGAATGCATTCAGAATTCTGTTCGGCACCCTGACTCCTTTGCCGATCAACAGAGGGGAAGTCAAAGTCGGCTACTCGGTTATATGCTCTTCTCGGTGGGACCAGGGCGGCGTATACCACATATATTAACTCACCATGGGAGCAGATGAAGACGACACAATATACCAACTAGAAAGATGTCTCGACCTCAGTGGCAACGTTTAGCTCGGTCGCGATGGGCTGTTCCATCTCTCAGGGCATCGCCAGGCGTATCGAGTCGCCTGCCAACGGCGCGTGCCGCGTTTTCGACGTCTTCACGTCGTGAACTCATGGAAATGACGGGCTTCACAGAGGAGCAGCTCACAGTCCGAGAAGCCATCTCGCATATCTGCTCCAAATTTCCCAATACGTACTGGCAGGAGCGTGACCAGCAAGAAAAAGATCCTAAAGAGTTCCACGCTGCCTTGGCCAAGGACGGGTGGCTGGGCATCGCCCTTCCCGAGTATCTAGGGGGAGCAGGATTAGGTACGTACCTACATCAACTGTATAATTTGAATGACATACTAATTTTTATGATAGGCATCTCTGAGGCAACCATGATGATGCAGACTATCACTCAATCTGGTGCCGGAATGGCTGGTGCACAAGCAATCCACGCCAATGTATATGCCACGCAGCCATTGGCTAAATTTGGCACAAAGGAACAGCTGGAAACGACAATCCCTAATATCATCAATGGTACCTGGCGAACATGCTTTGGCGTCACTGAGCCTAACACGGGACTTGAAACCCTCAAGCTCAAGACTCTTGCAACAAAGACCGAAGATGGGTACTCAGTCTCCGGCCAAAAGATCTGGATCACTTGCGCGCAGGTTGCTTCCAAAATGATCCTTCTAGCTCGCACAACGCCATTGGAGGAAGTCCAAAAGTCGAGTGAGGGGTTGTCACTTTTCTGTATCGACCTTGACCGCGACCAGCCGGGTCTAGATATGCGCAAGATCAAAAAGATGGGTGGCCGAGCTGTAGACGCCAACGAAGTTTTCTTCGACAACTACAAGATTCCTGCCAACACTTTGATTGGCCAGGAGAGCCAGGGGTTCAAGATTATTCTGCACGGCATGAACGCCGAGCGCTGTCTACTCGCAGGTGAAGCGCTGGGTCTGGGCTATGCCGCTCTCGAGAAAGCCGCTCAATACGCCAAAGAGCGAGTGGTCTTCGGCCGACCGATTGGACAAAACCAAGGCGTTTCCCACCCACTAGCAGATGCATACATGAAGCTCGAGGCCGCGAAACACGCCACATACCATGCCACTCGTCTTTATGATGCCAACGACGGCTCTGTGCCATTCCACGCAATTGGCGTGGCCTGCAACAGTGCCAAGTATCTCGCTGCCGAGGCCGCGTTTACGGCTTGTGAGCGTGCCGTGCTGGCCCACGGAGGCATGGGTTACGCTATGGAATACGATGTGGAGCGGTACTTGCGTGAATGTCTGGTTCCTCGGATTGCTCCCGTGAGCCGTGAAATGATTTTGAACTATGTCAGTGAGAAGGTTCTTGACTTGCCCCGAAGCTATTAGATCGGCATATGCATTGCAGGTGGCATTTGCAAATTAGGGGCGTGTACAATAGACGCAAACCCATCGGAAGATAGACAATCAGCCGGCGCAATCGGCTTGGTTTCCAGCAAATTTCTCTTGAATACCAACAGGATATCTCTTGTAGATACGGAATTTATTTATCTAGTCAGACCCCTATGCTTCTCTTTAGTACGCTAGAATGGGTTGTAGACCTGGGAACATGGTGTTGGCTCTGTATTTGGGAACTTACATTATACCGACGATTCCATTCGCTCTCGCCAGATGAAGTGGCTACTTGGTTGATTGTCATAACCGTAAAAAGAAAGTACAGTTCTGAAACCATCGATATCGCAAGTTAAACTTTAACAGGAAAGAAGATATTCTTTGCAAAGAACTCGACTTCAATCGTGATTACTAACTCATTTTTTGGATTTGCGGTGGAATATATATTTTATGTATCTGGAATCTCTTCCAAATCACTAGTCTGACGAATTATATTCGCGCATATACCTATCCTATGGACAGGTAACCTAAAAAACTCAATGATATGCCGCCCACCAAGACAGATCTTTCTAATTCTACCCAAAGGAAAAGACCGGATCCGATTTAAGCCAGGTCAGCTGGTGAAAGACGAAGGTTCACAGCCAGACAATGCTGTGGTAAGATAATGTTGAGCACATGAGAGAATCGTTATCTCATTATGAGCCAATCAGTCTCCACACTTACCCCAAGAAGCCAAAACGAACAATAAATGTTCGAGTTCTGGAATGCTGGGGGTTCAAGCGTGGCGGGTTTCGGTGCAACCATCCCCGTTTTCGGTCTGTATTTTGAGCGACTCATTGCATTGTTCTTGGACAATTGAATAGTAATGACATTGCCTCGGAATTCGCATGACGGGTGAGACTTACCTCGATCGATGCCATCGCCGTTCTCGAACTACTACTACTAATAATAATAATGACCCCAGCCTGGTTTCTGAAACGTCGTAGCCTGATGGTTCAGCCACACAACCCTTCCGTATGGGCCACGCCCTCTGAAACATAAAGTTGAACCGTGCGCGTCCCCGGAAGCGTGGCCTTGCTAGGCTTCTTGTATTAAATACGGTAATTGCGCAGTATTCGGATGACGACTCGTTCCGAAAAGTGCATGTATTTTTTCTGTTGATATCATTTTTTGTCTCGAGTTTGAGAACATTCTTGTGGAGAAACAATGTTAGGGCTGTCAGAATTGACCATGTGTGGGCATATTCTCGATCGGAGTACATCGTTATTGGCTATTGAATATCGAGTCGTTATCTCTTCAGACGAGATAGCATGGGGGAAGGAATTTCCCGAACTTTCCCGTCACATTTTCGAAAGGGAACAACGGGTTATCTCCACAACAAGGGATCAAAGTACAGTGTCTTACATGCCGCAAAAAGCTTTCGTACCTGCATGCGATGGAGCTAAGCTGACGCCTTACAGGCGAAGGCGCATACACTAATGCCCTAATTTGAGAGCTGCTTGTAGCTTGCGAATCCCTCTAGGGTCCTCCGAGATGCTCCATTTCCTCTGGGTACCTGAGAACCCGTTACGGTGCCTGTGCCTGGCGGAACCACCGGCGCCTTCAGCCACCGACGATTGCGCGTCGTAGCACCCCTGATTGGCCTATGGCATGCTAAGCATTCTACTACGGCAGTAGGGCAAGCTTGGCCAGCCATTGGGAACGCCGCGTCTGTGCCTGTGTAACGTCATACGGAATTGGATGTTGGTGTGACCGACCCGCCACTGCTGATCGGGATCGGCCCAATCATCAACCGAAAGGATCCGTAAGTCTTGCCACAATTTGCGTGATTTCGATTTGCACAGTGAACAGGGATCTATTCTTAGCTGGGGAATTACAGGGAAGAGACGAATACGTGAGGTACCATGGAAAGTTTATGTAGTTTTGCAGAGGGTTTGCTTATATATAGATGACTGCCAGGCACCGGGTCCATGCCTGAGTCACCTACCCCTCGATTCATACCCACAATCTTGTGCTTTTGCGACATATCACTGGAGTATCGGATAACACAAGTTCTCTCTTCGATAACTACTCTCAACCACTCTCGACTTCTCGCAATCTTCACATAATGGCCGCCTCAAGTTCTTCCAGTGCGCGCACTGGATCCATCCAGTCACACGATAGCCCCAAGGACGTGCTGCGAAGCAAGGCTGACCCTAACGCAGCCCTATATGAAGCACAGCCCAGTAGTAAGCGCATTGCACTGCACCTGTCTATATTTGACCAGGTCTACTTACACTCAATTTGCAGTGGCTGTCAACGCCGAGCCTGGAACTCGAGACACCTTCTCCCTTCGGAGTATGCAGCATAAGGATCGCGAGGGAAAGATCATTAGTACGTTACCGCGAAAGATAGAAATGTCTTTATGGCCAGGGAATACTTGCTAACTCGCTCTCAGCTGACCCTGATCTCTCCAACCCCACGCGAAACCGCCTCGAGCGACCACTGGATACGATCCGAGGCTTCGAAGCTGCCATTGAATCCCATCGCAAGCAGAATCGAATGTAAAATGGCTCAAAGGATACCCGAAAGATCAAGGCCGAGATCGAAACGAACGGATGTTAATGATAATAATGCTTTCTTGTTGACAAAGGACCCGGGATGTATGAGTATCGTCTTGTTGTGATTATCTAGAGCTCATCGGGATTTACGGAAATAAACACTTTTTTCAACCACACGCTTCTTTCTCAGTATTCCTACAGTAGCTCATTAGGTACCAGAACCTTTGTAGTTGATGGTCAAGCTACTGGATCACTAGCGATGACGACGTGAAATATTGTATCAACTTAATCTGACAGCGCCACACCGAACCCACCGATGCGAGATTCCCCAGATCCTCAGATCCTCAAGGCTTGGCACTGTTATCGTTCTCGGCATTGGTCACCCTAGTTGATCCAGCACGCTAGTCACTCTTATTGTGGGTATACACGAACTATCTATTATTTCGCGACACCCGTCTCAATGCCTGGTCGCTGCAACATCTCTTCGACCAAGTAGCGAAGCAACGCAGGCTATATGACATTTGAGAGATATTAGAGCAAGAACCTGCTGAGTTCTGTCAATCTGGTAGTTTACTATTTGAAAGATCGTTCCCGCGAGTTGAAATTATCTCCGAGCATGCATAAATAGTTGATTTTTCGTCCCACCCCGATGTTCTTTACCCACCACACCCTGATCAAGGAGATTACCACACAACGCTTGTGGTATTCCGGTTAGATTCAAGTGATAAAATTAGATTATGCCTGTCCTTGTATGGGGGCAAAGCATAATAGAAGTAAAAAGTCGGGGGAAAAATTCAAGTGCGGTGGTTAGGAGGAGGACACGCACTGCCGACGCCATCCCAAGAAAAGGCCCCACCAACCGCGTCAGCCTGTGAATATTTTCGCTTTTCACCATCAACTGCTTGATGGACTCACCCAGTTAGAATACTATTCACAGGGCTATGCGCAGCTATTTGCAGATATGAATGACAATGTCTTAAATGCATTCGTGGCCAGCTACTCATCAGCATCTCCACGTTCGGGGCTTCGCTCTCGCAACGCCTCACGACCACCTTCCCAAGGACGAGTAAACTCCATCGTGGCGCACTAACGAGCGTTAGTCTGCCGAACCCAAGATACTTTCAGTCGGTGGGACCTTCTCATTGGCTCTTCTCATTCGTTCGGGGTTAGCGTACCGATTCGCTTCCATTGCCTACCAGCCCTAATAATACTGGTGGTTGACGCGGTCCGTCTCCTCCCTGGAAAAGTTGACAACCGGGCACCCAGTTAGTAGTCGCCCACCGTTTTATGAGCCTTTCCTCGGGGGGCTCTCTGAATCTGAGGTCATTTAGCTCGGTGGATGCCAGTACGCGTCCCATTTCGAGTGCTCAGGGGCAAATGGCAAATCAGGGTGGCCGAAACGGGGATGGGAGGTTATTAATGGCCACAGGAGATGAAGCCACCATGGATACTTCTTCGTTGGAGGGCATTTAGACATTAACATTCACTCATTCAAACACTCTCTTTCCATCTTTCAAGTATTTCTTTTCTTGCGCTTAAACCGACCCGAAGGAGGCCGTCCTCCCGTTTCACTCGCTATAGCTATATTCTGCGGCATCGATTGGATCCGCTAAGCCTATTTTCGCCATGAGGTTCTCTCTGCTGTCGCTGGCGACGCTGGTCACGGCCGCCGTGGCGGACCTGGACCCTATTGTGATCAAGGTCCGGCATTCTGGAATCGTTTGAAGAGGTGTATAGATGTTAACTATGGGTTTGATATCAGGGATCCAAGTTCTTCTATTCCAGCAACAACACTCAATTGTGAGTCAACTGGCAGAGTTCTGCTGCTAATCCTGACGATATCCATGCTAATCATCTAATAGCTACCTCCGTGGTGTCGCGTATCAACGTATGTTCATGATCATTGCCAGTTCAACCCGACCAGAAGTTGACGTCGAACAATGAAACATTGAATACTAACATCATCACCATCAATCAGAGGATACTAGTGACAGCACCAGCTACAAGGATCCCCTGGCCGATGCCACCGCTTGCAAGCGTGATATCCCTATTCTCCAGGAGCTGCGCACCAACGTCATCCGTACCTACTCCATCAATGCCAGTGCCGACCACTCCGAGTGTATGAAGCTGCTCTCCGAGGCAGGCATCTACCTGATCTCCGATCTCTCGGACCCAACTCAGTCCATTGACCGTAGCGACCCCAACTGGATGACCGACCTGTACTCTCGCTACACCAGTGTCATCGACGAGCTCTCCCAGTACAACAACACCATCGGTTTCTTCGCCGGTAATGAGGTCGCCAACACCATTGCCACTACTGACTCTGCCGCCTTTGTTAAGGCTGCCGTTCGTGATATGAAGTCCTACATCAAGGAGAAGGGATACCGGTCCATGGGTGTTGGATACGCCACTGCTGATGTCTCGTCTATCCGTGTGGACCTGGCCAACTACTTTGACTGCGCTAGCGACGACGAGTCCGTGGACTTCTGGGGCTACAACATCTACTCCTGGTGCGGTAACTCGACCTATGCCGAGTCTGGATACAAGGACCGTACTGAGCAGTTCCGCAACTACACCGTCCCCGTCTTCTTTGCTGAGTATGGCTGTAACGAGGTCACTCCTCGCACTTTCACCGAGGTCAAGGCTCTGTACGGTGATACCATGGCTGAGGTCTGGTCTGGTGGTATCGTCTACATGTACTTCCAGGAGACTAACAACTACGGTGAGTTATGATCAAAGATAAAAAGCTGGAAGCATCGAGCTCATTCATCGTTGCAGGTCTGGTTTCCGTCGTCGACACCACTAGCGTGAGCACCATGGCCGACTTCAAGTACTATTCCAGCGAGATCGCCAGCGTCGACCCCACCGGTACCAACAAGGCTTCTTACACCCCGACCAACACCGTTCTCCAGAGCTGCCCGACTGTGGGAAGTGGCTGGCAAGCCAAGTCCTCGCCACTGCCCCCGACTCCGGACGCCAACCTCTGCGACTGCATTTACGAAGAGTCCGCCTGTGTCGCCAAGAGCAGCCTCTCGGACACCAAGATGGGCACACTCCTGAGCACTGTCTGCGGCTACACTGACTGCAGCGGTGTCAGCGCCAACGCGACCACCGGCGAGTACGGTGCGTACAGCATGTGCGAGATCAAGTACAAGCTCGCCTTCGCCCTGAACAAGTACTACAAGGAGCAGGACAAGGACTCCAGTGCCTGTGATTTCTCCAGCTCTGCCTCTACCAAGGCCACCACTGCCGCAACCGGTACTTGCTCGGCTCAGATCAAGGAGGCCGGCACTGCTGGCACTGGCACCGTTACCACCGAGGCCACCGCTACTGCCGACTCGTCCTCGAGCTCGTCCACCTCCTCCAGCGCTGGTATTGCTGTCAACGTCCACTCCAGCGTGACCGTTGGCTACTTCCAGATCGGTGCCTACGCTGCCACTGCCCTGCTGACTGGTCTGGGCATGATCCTTCTGTAAATGCCAGATTGGAGAGTATTGTGAGAGATGTCGTACCTTTTTATACACTTCGTGCTCATGTTTTATTTGCTATAGTGTTTCGGCTTGAAGAGTTGGAACCGGTTTTTATAGACAGTCTTTGGAGTTTACCGAATACTGACCATGCAGCTACCTCCCACTCTCATAGCAAAATGAAACTTGTCTTTTCTTCTCAAAGGAATCTTCTACTTAAGGAATACAAAGGCGAGGGTGATAACGATGTAGGTAGCTGGATTCTGGATTCGTTCAAGGTATATCGAAATTTATTCTGGTACATGATCACTTATTCCCCGACAATGGCCCTCTTCGTTAAAATGGCAGACGTCTCGTCCAGTCGACTCCAATCATGTGCATCTACACAAGCTTGCCGACTCAATCGTACAGCACGACTGGTTCGAGTCCTCATCTCCGTCTCAAATTCATCAATAGCCACTGAGGGCGTTGCGGAGCCATCGTAAATTTTTACAATGGCTTCCATTAGTCGATATGCGTCGAGTAGGCCATGATTGGCTGCTTCTCCCCGGTCTATGATCCAAGGTTAGCCTCGTGATTCCCAGATTGTCTATACTTAAGAAAAGCTTACACATTGTCATTGCATGAGCAGCATCACCAGCCAACGTGACTCGACCAGAATGGTTATCCCACGACAGACACTCCCAGTCCGCCAACTTGATCTCTGTCACTGGCGTGCCATCCGGAATGCGGTCCACCGACTCTCGCAAAAACGGTACAAATCCTTGCGCACGGCGTTTCATATTCGCCAGGCGAGCCTCATCCGTCACGGCAACCTCGTCCTCGGGCCCCGTTACTGGCCAGGACATGCATATTTGAGCGCGATATCGTTCATCTGCCGTTCCTGCCGTCCCGTTTACTTGAGGTGTCTCCAGCATGGAGAACCAGAAGAAGGCTCCCGAGGGTGGATGGCATCCCTGGAACAGTAATGGGTCCATATCCCTCAAGGGCTTGATCTGATCTGGTGTCAAGTCGACGGCGACACCGGTAAAGTTGATGTTAAGAGGGGAGTTGTTGAATGAATCTGGGCGCAGAATTTGTCGCACCATCGAGCGACTTCCTTCGACACCGACGGCGATACGACCCGTCACGGAGGTCTGGTCTTCAAAGACCAATTGGACTTTGTTGGAATCGTTGGGCAGGTTTACACCAACTACTCGTCGGCCCCAGTGGACATGATCCTCAATCCCCTGTAGCAAAGCCCGACGGGTCTTCTCCCGATTCACTCGCCATCGAGTACTGGGAGGAATCTTATATTTGGGCTCCCCAGTCTCGAGATTGATGAAGAGGAAGTTGCCATTATCATTCCGCGCCACGTCCGGGTCGACTTGGACGGCTTGAATACGCGCGAGTGTCTCTTCAGGCAACATCTTCCACATATACTCTAGCGCCCAGTGCAGGGTGATAGCCCATCCCTGGCCACGGGCATCGGGTGTCGCATCGCGTTCGTAAATCTCAAAGGGAATGTTCTTCTGTTTCAGGGCTTGGCCCAGGGTCAGGCCGACAATGCCAGCACCGACGATAAGCACGGGATCCATGGCGATGGTAATAGTAATAGCTTTGATGAGAAGTACATTGTTCGTCTGGGGGGAGTCCTTTTTGTGTAAATAGGTGAACCCCGAAGTTGAATTGGAGGGAGTTTGGAAATGAAGAGAAACCGGAAAAGAGACCGTCGCATAGATAAGCCAACGGTGATTTCCATGGGAATTAACTGCCGCTGGAAGTACTCCAATCTAAACTCCGAATCAACTTCCCCGCTTTCGCTCCTCCTTCCGAGCTTCAAACTCGGCACCTTCCGACCGTCGGCTACGCGCAACGCGACGGGCGCACGACTCACACAATGTGACGATCGAGGAAGTGCCTGCTCGATATAAGATTATATCGAAGGCAACTTCATCTTCATTTCTTCACGACCATTCATCGCTGCAATGTCTTCCCACGAAGCCCTCAACCCCATTCACCCCGCGGTGCTCCCCCACCTCGACCCAGTGTTTGTGCAACTCTACAACGAACACGTCGCCAATACTCCTGCTGGTCCAATTGATCTGTCTGTGTTGCGCACGAAATACTCGGTGCTATACTCGTATGGTACGGGTCCAGCGCCAGACTGTGCGCGCGTTTACGACAGTGAAGTGACCGGTCACAATGGCGACTTGATTCCCGTTCGAGTGTACGAGCCTGCCACCCCAGGACCATGGCCTGTGCATGTGGACTATCACGGAGGAGGTAAGAGAAACACGATCAAAAAGAACCGTACAGCGATACTAATGATTCACTCGGTATCATAGGCTGGGGTTTGGGGGATCTCGACACCGAAGCCCACATCTGCAAGCACATCTGCGTCAAAGCCAACGTCTGCGTCATCGACGTCGCCTATCGACTCGTCCCAGAACACGCATTCCCCATCGGTATCCAAGACTCCTTCGCTGCCCTGCAATATATCTCTGCCCACGGCGCCGACAAATTCAACATCGATCCCACGCGGGTCTCCCTCGGCGGCGTTTCCGCTGGTGGTAACATCGCTCTGATCTGCGCACATCTCGCCCGCGATGCCCAAATCCCCCTCAAGCTAGTCGCAGTCGGCACACCCACAATCGATGATATCTCCAAATACAAGTCAGCCGCTGACGCCCCGTGGCCTTCCATGCAGTCCATGGAACACGCGCCCACCTTGAACTGGGCGCGGTTGAAGTGGTTCGATAATCTCAAGTGGCAGAGCATCGCCTCCGAGGGACCAACGCGAGACGCACAATTGGCTGCCGTCAAGTGGTATGCCAATGCTCTGCAGGCACCGGATTTCACTGGCCTCCCCAAGACGGTGATCTATACGGCGGGTTGTGATCCGCTGCGCGACGAGGGCGAGACTTATGCACGGAAGTTGATTGAGGGTGGGAATGAGGTCGCCCAAAAACGATTTGCGGGCGTTCCACACCCGTTCATGCACATGGATAAAGGTGAGTTGTCCCTGGGAGTATTACAATCGTTTTCAGATTTTAACTGTTATCGCAGATTTATGGCAAGCGAAGGAGTTTATCGACATGACGGCGGATCACATTAAGGCTACCTTGCACCAATAGGACGCATAGAGGATGATTGAAATAATTGAAATAGAATTGATAACCATCTTTGTTACGTTGAAATACGACTGGTATGTTTCTTGAAAATTACTCAACATCAGTAGAACTTGCCATCTCCCTCGTCAAATCCAAATCTCTCTGAAGACTCCCAATCTTGCTTTCCAATGCCACCACACAGTCAGTTCCCAGAGGCAAGCGGAGATACTCGTGTCCCTCCTCAACAGCCTTCAATATTACTCTTGCAGCTTTCTGGGGATCTCCTTTCACTAAACTCAGAAACTCAGTACTGTTACTCATCCCACGAACCATCTGCTCTACGGCGGTCCCTCGATATCCGAGACTGAAACCCCCATTGCCCTGGTACTGAGCAGGAGTAATGATCCGACTAGCAAACGGCGTGCGGAAAGCTCCCGGTTCCACAATCAGCACTCGAATGCCGAAGCTTTGGACTTCATGGGAAAGGGACTCGTGAATAGCTTCGATCGCGAACTTGCTTGCGGAATACGTGCCACGAGCGGGTCTTGCGATGAATCTGTCGGAATTGTTAGAAATCTTAGAGATAATGTCTTAGGTTTATGAACCCACCCAGCTCCACTACTTATCAGAACGATGCTCCCTGATTTCTTCACGCGCATTTTGGGAAGTAATGCTCGAATGATGCGAAGTGGACCGTAAAAGTTAACTTCCATTTGCGAGCGCACCTCTTCCTCACTGGTTCAAATCAACCTTAGCACCATTGTACTTCCTTTTTGAGTATCTGTGAAATCATACCTCGTATCCTCCACACTCCCAATAAAAGCATAACCTGCATTATTTACCACGACGTCGATTTCGTGGGCTTCTGATATCTTCACTGCTTGGTCGTATGCATTGACACTGCCCGGGTCCAAAGCAAACCATATACCACCATTCTCTTCGAATTCAGGGAATGTCTCTTGCGCGTTTTGTATTTCTCGGGTAGTGCCGAGGACTGTGTGTCCTTTTTCCAAAGCTTCTATCGCGAGGGATTTACCGAGTCCGGAGGAACCGCCGGTGATAAGCCATGTTTGTTTGGTAGCATTCGACATTATCGGTTCGTTCACTGACAGAATAACAGTTATCTGAGGTTTTGATTGGAGTAACAATGAGACTGCTCTATATAAGCTCTACGAGACAAGGATGTCAGGAACTAGTCAGCCTCCTCGGACTTAAGCCACTAAACACGTTATGACCGAAGCGATGTCCATTTACCCAATCAAGTTGCAATGCTTTAGAAAGAAGGATCTGACATTGTCAGTTATCACTAGTTATTCTGACTACCTGACTCAATACTGTAACACGTTATTTAACGCGTTTCCATATCATACAACTGCTCTGCCAACGGCACAATCGACTCCTCCAATCCCCGAAACTTAACCCCGAGCACCCTTTGCGCCTTAGAAGAATCACAGGAGTAATGAGTATCCGCAATACGCTTGCCAGGCTCACCCAAAGGTGCTCTATGCTTTTCCGAGAATCGTCCTCGAATAATATCCGCAATTTCCTGTGTATCGTAAGATCCTTGCGTCACTAGGAAACGCTCGTGCTTGGTCTCGGGGAATGTTAACGCTTTGAGGCTCGTCTCGGCGAGATCTTCAACGTCGATCCAAACTATATCCCGATTTCATATTAGCAGATGATCGCATTTCAATACCGAGAGGGAAAATTACCCGGCGCCTTTGTTGGGGGGATCTCGCCGTCTCGTCCAGCGCTCAACACACCCCAGACAATCTGGTTGCTCGCATTGAGTTGGGCCAGCGAAGAAATGGGATGAATCATCTTGCCAAATACCATTCCTGGACACAAAGTCACCAATTGATACTGAACTTGGTGATCTCGAACATAATCCCATGCCGTGCGTTCGGCAACGACCTTGGACGCGCGGTATGCGATCGGCTGGGAAACATTAGCCCATAATATGATGAAACGAGTCACACTCTGACACTCACCACGGCCGATGCATTTACACCATCCTCGTAAGTCAACGGCGCCCAATCCTCCTCCGTGTACACGCGACCAGGCTGCAAACCCAGACTGGCATCGTACACACTAGCAAAGCTGGACATGATGACAACCCGTCGCATGGACGGATGCTGCTGGGCAGCCTCACATACAACCTGTGTACCCTTCACAGCAGGAATCATGAGCTTCTCTTCAAACTCTCCAGGTACGGCGTCATAGTTGAAAGCCGATGCCAGATGCAATACAGCCTGACAACCTTCCAACGTGGGACTCAGTGCCTGAAGATCAGTCGGGTCCTCGACAACCACAAGTTCGAGACAGGTAAGATTCTGGACACTGGCTTTTTCTAATGCTTGGCGAGTTGCCTCTGCTTTCTCGGTTGAGCGTACTGTAGCTCGGACGGAGTGGCCGGAACGTAGGAGGGTTGCGATGCAGTGGGCGGCGATGAAGCCGTTGCCACCGGTGACGAGGACGAGAGCCCCGGGTTGGACAGGTGCCATTGTGAGGTATATGGAATTCGGTGTTTACAAGTTGAGGACGAGGTCGACTTGAATATCTTATATTATAGGTATCTGGGCGGGTCGGAGGGTCGGCTGGCTACCCGCGCGGCCGTCGGATAGATAATATCGCGAATTGGAAAGTGAGCACTTGAAATTGCTCTGGCAGACTTTGTGCTGGTTATACTTTGTCTAGAATACGAAAGTAAACTTGGATACGCTACTATGATGTGAAATTAAATTTAAGTTGTCATTGTATCGAGTATACAAATTCAATTCCATTTTGGTGGCAAGCGGATACAGATCAACAATTAATACACGTAACGGAAGTTCTCATCGTCATGAACATCCTGCACACCACCTTTATTGGCCATTCTTGCCTCCATTGAGCTACGGGCTGGCACACCCAGCTGATCGGCCTTCTTATTGCGTCTTCCATACATAAGACGCAGAGAGGTTGAGATCACGATTGCCGCGGCGTTCACTGCGACGAGGGTGATTTTGGCAGGGATATATCTAGTCATCAAAGTTAGAAAAGTTTACTGGATATTTCGCAATTGACGTACCGAGGAGCATCTTTGGCTTGGAACGTCTGAGGCCCAATGATATTTGCAACACTGAATCCGGCGGAAATAATTGCAGCACCAGACACCTGCTAGAGTCAGTGGAATCCTTCAATCGTAGAGAGAGCATTACGGTACTCACCTTCATCGTGTATCCCTTGAAGTTTGCGCCAGTCCACGCGTAGATCAATGCCAAGGGAGCGACCGTCTAGGAAAGTCAGTGACCTTGTCGACACACAAGTTGGGGTTCGTACTCACAGTATTGACCAGATAAATACCTGCCAAACATCCCCCCTTGTTTGATGCTGGAAGGAAAGACATAAGACACGACCCAGCGAGAGTTGGAAGCAAAAGAAGATCGATAGCCAGCCAGCGCGAAAATCCTTTGGCAATCGCATATGTGGAGACCATAGTCGACACAATACTGACAATACCCGAGGGCATATTCAGCAGCGCACTTTCCTTGGAATTATAGCCAAATCCTTTGATCAAAATGGACGAGAAGGTGGTAATGACACCACTAGGAATGGTAATCAAAATAGTGAGCAAGACCAACAGCCATGTCTGCAAGTCGGCTAAGGCTTCGAGGACGGATCGCCAGCGGAACACCTTCTCACCCACACCAGCTTGATCCTGGTTCAACCTTTCAAATACTCGCTGCTTCTCTTCCTCAGTGAGAAATTTGGCCTTTGTTGGGGTTTCCGGGAGAACGAATAGAACGAGCAATGAGACCGAGATATTGACTGCGCCGATAACGACGAACATGATGCGCCATCCGCCGAAGGAGAGATTTGCTGGGGCGTGCTGAGCAGCGAACGAGATAAGACCACCGATGATCTGCCCAACACCAAGTCCACAGTACCAGAAACCGTAGCGAGGAGTCGATTCCGCTCGCGTATACCACATCGAAGTGTACATTGTGAGTGAAGGAGCTACCGATAGTCAGTTTGAGCACCTCTCGGGATGCATTGCAGCATTTGAACACACCGATGACGGCTTCCATAAGGCCTAGGAGAATGCGAAGTGCCAACATGCCAGAAAAGTTCTGGGCCGCCGATGAACAGCAAAGAATAATGCCCCAGCAGAATACATTGGCCCCGAGAACCTTGGAAACGGGAAACCTCTGCAACAGAGCACCTTGCGGAATTTCTGCCACGGCGTAGGCGATGAAGAAGGCTGTTGCTAACCAGGAGAAGTCATTGCCGTGCATGCCCAAGTCAGTCTGTAGGCCCATCACATTTGCATACTAGAATTGGAAGTTCGGGTTAGCAGGTATCCCAAGAACTCCGCTCTCCTCGCAATGTCCCCTGTCTGCACTTACATTGATCGAGATCTTGTCAATCATCTGCAGAAAATAAGTCAAGAACATGATCGGGAGGATTTTCCGGTCAATCTTGCGAAGTAGTCTCTTGTCATCGTCGGTCACACTACCCAAGGCACAATCCTCGGGCAGCTCGAGTTTAGTTGCGAACTCATTATCTTTCTTGTCCATCATGGATAACTTGGGGATAAATTTCAGATGAAGTCTTTGGTAAGACAAGCACGTTATGACATGGCGTTGGCCAGTGCCACTCTTAAGAAGGAAATGGGGGCACTTGATACCAGCCAGAACAAGATAGTGACTAGCACACGTCGCTCAAAGCTTCCTTACCCCAGACACTCAAGACTGATTAGCATGAACCCGGCATTAAGGGAGGCGAAGTAACGATTGGGGCAAAGATCGGCAGCGGAGAAGCCAAGAGACGCAGCCGTCGGATAGATAAACTCGCGTGGCACAGACTAGCGTGCTCTTCCCCTCTTTGGTTCCAGCCGTCGCCTACCGAGCGATAAGAGCGGCCGTCGCTGAGAAAGAGGATGGAAGGTGGCACCATCCGACGCAAATTGCAATGGAGAGAAAGAATAACCTCAACGCGATCGAGTATATATTCTAGATAGATCAAGAGTCGTTGGAACTCATCACCTTCATGTCAATAATCAATTCCTCCGCTGTAAACATGCCTTCTCGTACGGACTCGCCACTGCAAGTCGCCATTATCGGCGCTGGCCTCGGTGGCCTGGCAGCTGCTGTATCCTTGCGTCGCCAGGGACATAATGTCACCGTCTATGAGCGATACGATTTTGCGGGCGAAGTAGGCGCGTCGTTGAGTGCAGCCTCCAACGGGTCGCGCTTCCTTGAGGAATGGGGAATCGACGTGAAAGCAGCCAAGCCAGTAAGCCAAGAAGAAAAGGCGCAGATCAACAGGAACGGAGAATTATGACCTAACAATGAACGTCAGGTCATCCTCAAGCAACTTATTATGCACAACTGGTCTGATGGTGAAGTCCAGAGCACATACCCACTTGGCGACTACAAGTCCAAGTTCGGCACGGTATGCGACAGAGTATTGCTATTTCAAATTACCAAAACTAACAATTACAGGACTATAACAACTTCCATCGCATCGACATTCACAAGCAGCTTCTTAAATCTGCCTTTGAAGAGCCCGGCGAGGGCCCAGCCTGTGTCTTGAAGGTGAACCACAAGGCCACCGAAGTCAACCATGAGCAAGGTACTATCCGATTCGAAAATGGAACCGAGACCACTGCGGATCTGATTGTCGCTGCCGATGGAATTCGCGTAAGTCAAATGATTCTAATACAAATCTACAAAGCTAATTGGAGAGCCTACAGTCGCTCACCCGTGAATTAATTGGCATTACTCCCGAGTTCGAAATGTCTACCTCATGTTGCTACAGATGCATCATCGGGGCGGACAAGCTTCGCTCTCTCGGCCTGGAAGACTACATCTCAAATGAAGCCATCGAGTACTGGGGTGGCTTTGGAATCAACAAGATCGTCATGTCCCCATGCAGTAACGGCGAGGTTGTCAGCTGCTACTGTTTCTACCCAGCGTCAGTTAACAACCTTCGCGAGGATGGATGGAACATTGGTGCTTCGCCGCAACAACTGGTGGACACATTCCCAGACTTGGATCCCCGAATGAAGACATTGATGCTGAATGCTGAGGATATTAAGATGTGGCGCTGTACGTGAAATGACTCGGACCTATCCAAGCATATGCTAACATTGAATCTAGTATATCGACACCAACCGTACCCATACTGGGCGAAAGGCAATGTGTGCCTACTTGGAGACGCTGGTATGTCAAAAGCTAAAAGCTGAGTTCCAATTTTGGTATCACTAACTGATAGAAATAGCTCATCCCATGATGCCCGACCAGTCGCAAGGATCCTGCATGGCCTTTGAAGATGCCGGTGCTCTAGGAATCGTGTTCAACAAGAACTTCCGGGAGAACTACAGTGTTTTGGAAGGACTGTCACTATATGAGAAGCTGCGTAAGCCCCGTGCCACACGAGTGCAAGAAGCCAGCTTCCGAGCCCGTGAGAATCTGAATGAGCGAATTGGATGGAGCTCATCAGCAGACCGACCAGGCAAACTGACCATCGAGGAGGTTTGCGGGTATAATATGAGGGATCACCTGGCCGAGTTAATGGCAGGAAACTAGAAGGAATTTTGTAACTATTTCGTTAAATGTGTTTTAGCAATGAATTATTTTCGAATGTATCAAATCGCTTCTCATTAACCTGACATCGTAATACATGGCCACATCTAAGCTATACAAACACGACACCGGGGAACTTGCTATAGCGCACCGCGGCCCAATTGAGATCCGTGGCACATGAAGCACCATTCCACACGGTCTCCAACAATTGTCGCGCATACTGAATATGTCCAAATCCAAGCGTATTCTCCATCACCATAAGACGTTCCTTGACCATCATCCGTCGCTCCATACTGATACTACTTGACCCCGCAATAACCAACGGGAAAAGCAAACACCCTTCGACCCGACTAGCATACGGGATTTGCTGAACAGAATCAAGGATAATGGTAATCGACCGCTCCACGAATGGATGAAGTGGGTCATATCCCTCCACAACCTGATGTAGCCGCAGTCGGATCGCCCATTCAAACGCGGTTGTAGCGCGCTCCGTCTCAGGCTCCAGCTCGGTGATCTGGTCATGATCTCTGCGCCACTCATCGATCCGATTCTCCAGGTGTGAAGCCGCCGTTCGGAAGCCAATCTCGGATAGCTCGTCCACACGCTTACTCCGATGATTGGCCAGTAAATTGACCATTCCCAAAAAGTCGAAGAGCGCGGGCGAGATACCGTAGATGGCATCCGTTGATTGGCTGCGCTCTAGCTGGGGTACGCTGTTTCGGCGAAGGGAGGTAGTCAGTTCGGCCATGCTGTCACTGTTGTGCAAAAGAGGCGCCTTGCACCGGGAGATAGTGGACATGGCGTCAAGATAGTGGAAGAGGCTGATGCAAAAGGTCCACTCATCTGTGGAGGCAAGGTTTTGAAATGCGGGGGATTTGAGGATGGCGCTCGCTGCTTTGAGGTGCCATTTCCACACTTTTGATGTGCCGTCGAACAGTTCTGTTAGACATAGTAGTAGAACTGTCGCACAGGCTTCGAAAATACATTGACGGTCGGATCGGCCGAGCAAGCTGTTGACTTGGGTTAATGCTGCCGCACTGTTAGCGAGGAAACACAATGCTATATTGCCTAGGGTTCACCAACCTTGTCCTTGCCGTTTCAACGCGCATCCCCAGATACTAGGGTAGACTCTTCTCCAATGACAGCCACTCAAACTGAGAATGACACTCGTCACGGCATCAGACGCGGCCGCCAGCGGCAAAAGCGTCACGAGGAAAGGGTTCCGATCGGGATCATGCGAACGCGACAGGGCCCGTGCCACGACGTGGATATAGTGATTGAAGAGGGACCGGTCCTCTTCTCCACGGAGATATGGATTTGTGGAGATCGGAGACCGTTCAAGGGGCAGTATAACGGCATTCTGCTTGGGTAATGGGTGTGGGAACAGCGTGGCAATAAACTCCTCGTCATCCTCCGGGGTGATAGAGCTCAAGGAGCTCACAGCCAGCGGATCGCCGTCGGAAATGGTAATCGGATCTTGGGGAGGTGAGGCCGTCGCATGGGAATCTGGGGAAGATGACGAGGGCGTGTCGGTTGTCTCAGATATGCTAGCATTGGACCACTGGCAAGGGAGATTCAACCGCCGGCAGTCGCTACATCGAGGGCGGTTCTCGTCACACTTCTTCTTCCTAGGACCGCGATCCAGATCAGCATTCGCGGAAACTATCTCGAACCGCGCAACTCCACCACGGGTAGGGAATTTACCTCGCCTTGCACGATAGACATCCACCACGGGACCGCGATGCCCGAGGTCGCCGTAGGGCCGTCGCAGGCAGAGAGACGCCCACCGACTCCTTCTCAGTGGGACTCCGTGGCTTGCACACATGGCCGAGACCTGTAAATCATCCGGCCAAGCATTAGTCTATGATTCCACCAGTTTGAGAAACTCAATGGGGGTTGACTAGATCGTACGTTTGCATCGCGAGCAGGGCTGGTCACCGTCGCATCGTTGTTTCTAGCGGCGATAAGCAATTAGCGCTATACTTTGGACAAATGGGGGACTTGAGCCTCACGATACGAGCGCATCGAGCACAAACTCGACCGGGGGCACTCATGGCTTGCTGCGCGGGAGACATGGCGGCCACGATAGGAGCAGCAACAGCAGTAGCATCATGGGAGCGGGGAGAAAGCAGTCGCGAAGCGACGGTCTCTTTTTCTGGCTCAGCTTCTTCTTATCGGCAGCTTCCGATCCGACGGGGCTGTCAGACTGTCGATAAGGGGGAAGAAAGTGGAATTGAATTTGCAGGCGATCCAATTGGAAGACTGGAAAAGTGCCAGTGGCGTTCATCGCCTCAAACAGTCTAGTCGGCCCAGTCTCAAGTGCGGGGAAGTTGACAAGGAGAAAAGCTGACAGCCGACATGCCTGAAATTTCCCCAGATTCTCGGCAATTTCGGGACTGCATTGTCGATTTAGATTTTGGCACCGAGTCGAAACTACCAATCAATAGTTCATGCAATGAATAGTATACTTTACAGGGATCCTGGTCAGCGCTAAAGCTGTTGGAGCCAACTGGTTCAAATCGCGACCGTTAGTGTGATTCACCCAAGCTAGAATCACTTCATAGTATTCTGGTGCTGGCTAGAAACTAGCTCAGCAGGTTCAATTGGGTTGACAGAAGTAACTGGCAGGTTGTTCTCTCAGCATAGGAGTATCGTGGTGTTCATCTAGAAAATCCTCAGGCTCCTCAAAGTCGAACTTGACCATATGGTATCTCATGGGCTTCCTCGACGTGATTAATGTATCCGTGGGCATGTTACTTTGTTACGACAGTATGCTGTAGGGGGATTCTCGGTTTGCGAAACATATACCAGTGGGAGAAAGTGTGGGAGAGCCTGATCAATTCAAGAACCAAGTATGAAGGAACTCCAAGTTAATCCCCTATTCTTCTTTAAAAAAAGCAGGGCGCAGTACGCTCACGATTGCCAATTGCATATGCGCCATTCCATAAAGCAACCCAAAAGAAACAGCAAGGCAGACTCAATCCCAAAAGATCATGGCATCACAAACGGACAGACTGGAATCTGCCAATTGATGAAGAGCATTGGAGTTCCTGGTCACTTATTCGAGGACTTTTCCTGGCTGGTGTTGTAGTAGTAGTAGGAACCATTCGAGTCGGCAGGAGTGTACCAGGCTTCACCCTTGCCAGTGTTGTAGTAAGTGCTACCATCCGAGTTGGAGTAGTAGTAGGAGCCATCCCTGTTGGCCGTCTGTCAGTTTCAAGGCATGAAATCGAAATCCCTGATCAAGGAGATACATACTGGTTGGAGTAGTGGTAGGAATTCTGGTTCACGGCATCCGATCCATAGTCACGGCTGCAGTAGTGATTGCCCTGGAAGAAGATCAGCCTTGATGTCTGACAGTCATGATCACCAGTGGTCTTACCTGGCTGTTGGTGCCCGAGTTCTTGTAGGTGTAAGACGCACCCTTGTTGTCGGTCGGCATTTTGAAGAGTATGATGTCTCGTTGAAAGTGGGAGAAGGGAAAGTTGACAAGGAGAATTGAAGAAGTTGAAGAGTAAATAAGGGAACTACTGGAAATTATCGTAGAGGAAAGTGCCATGCAAAAAGGCAAACGTCAGAGTGAGACGCTCTTTCTGTTTGGGAGTAACACGATCCCCGTCTATGCAAACACGCTAATCTATAAGAGCACAACAAACGCCAGTCTTCAAAACTGGCCTGAGGATCATTTACCACTCGTTCTTCAACACCAGACGATAACGAGCCTTGCCATCATTCATATCCTGGATCGCCTGGTTGGCATCCTTCATGGGCCGCTCCTCAACCCAGGGCTTGACGTTCTTGGCCACGACAAGGTCCAGCATCTCCCGAATTTCGTCGGGGCTACCAATAATAGAACCACCAAGCTTGATGCCCCTGCCAATCAAGGCGAAAGCTGGGATCTCAAGACCGCCGTCTTCGGGAGCACCCAACTGGACGAGTGTGCCGCGAGTGCGCAGGAGCTGGCAATATCCGGTGATGGGCATCTTCGACGATGAAACGGTGCAGATGATCAAGTCCAGAGACTGGGCATTGTTCTTTACCCAGTCAGCATCGTCGTCGGTCGCAATGTAAGCATCAGCACCCAGCTTCAACGCATCCTCCTTCTTGTTGGCCTTGCGAGAAATGGCAACAACACGGTCAGCACCCAGGGCCTTGGCGAAGAGAATACCAAAGTGACCCAGGCCACCAACACCAACGATGCCAACCTTCTTACCGGGGCCACAGCCGTGCTGGCGCAGAGGAGAGTATGTGGTGATACCACCGCAAAGCATGGGCGCAGCCTCAGCAGAGGGGATGGCATCGGGGATCTTAATCACAAAGTGCGACGGGGATCGGTTGTACAGCGAATAACCACCATACGACTTGCCACCGTTGGCATAGGTACCATTGTATGTTCCGACCAGGCGGTTGCAGTGTTGCTCAAGGCCGTTGGCGCAGGCTTCGCAGTCGCCATTGACGTTCAGGCAAGATCCGCTCTGCGCACCAACACCAACACGATCTCCAACCTTGATGTTCCCCTCGGCCTTGGAGCCAACTCGGACGGCGACTCCAACCACTTCGTGTCCGACGCAGCATGGGTAGAGAGTAGGGCCCTAAATCATCAAGGTTAGTTCTTATACTTGCATCACAAGACCACCAACCCAGGACTTCCTTCTACTTACCCATCCACTGCGCAGAGTATGCATATCAGAGCCACAGATACCGCAGTGCGTCACTCGCATGTCGATATCTGTCTCCTCCCATGGCTTCGGCTCGAACTCCTGCCAGACCATCTTGCCCTTGGCAGACTCCGGGTCAAGGCCCATCCAACCTTCAAACTTGTAATCGGTGGATCCCATGGTGAATTTTAGATGTGTCGTTTCGATTGAATCGAATTTGATGTGAAGATATGTTTCTTTGCGTTGGGTCCATCTATCCTCTTATATAGGAATCGTGTCCCAGATTTTCCACTATCATGATCGCCATCCACTGGGTCATCGAAAATTCTGGCAAGTTTCCACACTCTCATCAGAGGCGCAAGTTTATTTTGTGCATTTTGTCAGCGACCGGGAAGGGTCCACTGAGTCCACTGTGTGGAGTGTCATCACGGTTTTAACCTGATACTATGTCCGCTCCGGGTTAAGCACCGAGTTATGTGCGGTGGTGGAAGATGACATTAAACCGCAGAACAAGGGGATAAAGGGAAGATAAGGCTTGGATAATCACTATCCGACCAATCACCTTTGTAGCGGCAGCGTCGGGGCCAATTAAAGTTTTGAGTTCTGACGCAGGTTCCTGCAGAGATTTGTTTAAATCCTTTCTGACCGATCCTGTATGACGCAAATGGCTCCCGAAAACTTGGATTCGGCTGGGATCTCGAGACAAGCGTGGCCTCTAAAAGTCCACGTTGTTAGCCACCAGCCATTGGCCCGTCATCTGTATATTTTCTTTGAATTGCCCCGGTTGCCGGCGGACTTCTCCAGAAAGTGTCCGAGTCAGCAATTGGGCTCCGCTGGAGTTACGACCAAATCAATACTCGGCTGACTATTCGGCCTCGGCCCATAAGAGATTTGATCAATTATCCTGTACATACTTTATTTGTATGTCAAATGTGACCGAATAGTATCCCAGACACAGGTCAGGACACCTCTGGTTCGGCTGACCCCTTGTTCTCGGTCTTGGACTCTGTATCCCCACCGGCAAACTCCGCACAGTATCATCCCCGGGTCATCCGGCTGTGTAGAAATTTTCAGATACATAGATATGCATTTCATCACACTGCTTTCTTTGTGCTTTGTAGCATATTTTGCTGCAGCAGTGGAAAGGAATGTCGATCTAAGGTGTACCTTGCTGTGCGGATGAATTTATCCATACCTTATTGATCTCTCGCAACTTGAGCGCATTAGAAAGACCCTATAGTACAATCCCTGGGAATATTTCTCTGCGTTGCATGTTTACACCCGCCCCGGTACTCTTACGGAAAGGTGAGCTGCAATATGCGCAAACTAGGTGGGTGTATATTGATGCCCCAGTATATATTTTCAAGTGGGGCAACCTTACGTTCTACATTTACGGCACCGAAAAAATTTAAGAATTACCTGATCAATCTCAAGTCGAACAAAGATCTAAGAAATAGGGGAAAATACAATGTGGCTCGGTATTTTAGAAATATCTCTCAAAACAAAGGAAGAAGGTTCAACAACCAAGTCTTGCTATATTTGGACAGGTACTCTGGTCTCTACTTATTCAATCAAGGTGGAGATTTAGAATTAAGAATCTGGTACAATTAAACCAACTGAGAAGCGTTGTCTGGAATAGTCCCCATTGGGCAATTGATGACTGAAATAGATCACTGGTTCATACAAAGTGTAGATCACTGGGCTTGTGAGCTTAAAAGATTTGCTGGAGGTGCCCCCTGGTGGAGCATCGTTACCTAGGGGGTAGAGAGGCGTTAGATAATCCGTCATGAACCGTAAGTCCGTGACAGATGATAAGGCCAATCATCCTCAAAAACCTTCCTCCTGTTCCTGTCGGGAACTCGGCAAACGTGGGAGCTGCCAATACAAAAGAGTGGGGGGATGGATGATGCCATCAAGGGCCCTGATGGCGATCCGACTCGGCACTACGTGTACCCGAACTATATGTATGGACGATGGGGTTGCGTATTATAGTTGCAATTCTTATGTTACTCCATTCTAAATTAGATAATAAACAAGCCAGAATCCTCAATATATAATGTCTTGTCAGATTGAATATATCAAGCCTTATTTAAGTTAACCAAAGCTCCATTTCCCCAGTTTTCCCGGCAATATCCAAGTAAACACCAGGTCGCGTGGAAGTGGACCCCACCGCAATGGCGTGCTTTACGATCGCGATGAGAACACAAACAACGGCCATCATTGGGCTCAGAATCCAATTTCAACTTGAAAAAACTACCTCTCAAGCAGACGGAACTGCCGGAGAATAACGCCATGCCTCGCCAGAGTACCCCAGTAAAGGGTCATTGGGGCCGAGATCCATTCGAGATTAAAACATCGTTTAATTTGACCTAAACTACATTATCAGCAGATTTTCTCTTCCACTCAATGCTTTATTTATCTTTCCCAAGTCCTTTGGACTCTTTCAATCTTTCTGCGTTTCCTTGATCTCTGGTCTTTTATTTGAAGGTGCAAGATGGCCGCGAACAATAACTATGGCACGGAGAATGCTCCAGACCATCACACGCCCCAACCAGATGGGTTCACTCCGGTCGCGAATGGGCGCAAAAACACAAATGACGAAGAGAGCCCATTGCTTCCGCAGTCAGACAGTCCAGACTTGAAGAAAAATGCTTTGGTGGGTGTGGGCACTATTATCGCGGTTCTCTTGCTTGGTACGTCGAAGACCGTCTTTTGCGCATAGATACAATGCTAACCTCTGTATGAATGTAGGCGAATTCGTTTCCAATGCCGATGCCACACTGGTTATGGCCGCTGCTGGCCACATTTCCTCCGAATTTAATCGACTACGCGATGCGAGCTGGCTCGCTACTGGATATATGCTGGGTCTCTGCGCCGTACAACCGATGGTGAGTGTTGCGGCCCTGGTGTTTTGAATCAGCACTGACTTGGGATAGTACGGCAAATTGAGCGACATTTTCGGTCGCAAACCTCTTCTTTTGGTATCATACTTCTTGTTTGGAATTGGTTGCATTATAAGGTACTTTTTGCTTTCCATCTTGAAAATTAGAAGGGGTCTCTGAATGGTTTTAGCGGTGTTGGTTCCCAGATGTGGGTGGTCATCCTTGGTCGGGCAATCAGTGGCATGGGAGGCGGCGGGTGCATGACCATCAGTTCAGTGATTATCACGGGTAAGCAGGAATTTGGACCTCTATGAACTGAGCTAATCACTTCTAGATATTGTCCCAAAGCGTGAGGTCGCCACATGGCGAGCCTATGTCAATATCTCCATGACGCTTGGCCGCAGCATCGGTGGTCCTTTGGGAGGATGGCTCAGTGATACTATCGGTTGGCGATGGTAGTTCTCACCTTCTTTGTCGATTTTTTTGAGATAACATACTAACAAAATTCCAGGCTTTTCCTCCTCCAAGTGCCATTATTTGCCATCGCCGCTGTTCTGGTAATCGTCAAGCTCCATGTTGACCAATCCTCAAGTTCAGGGAAGCGCGACACTCTATCTCGACTTCGCCAAGTCGACTTCTTAGGAATCGCACTTCTTGGCACATCCATCGTAGCCGTCACAGGCCTGCTAGACCAAGGTGGAAAGTCCTTCCCTTGGCGATCGTGGTTGACTGTGGTTACTGGCGGTGGTGGACTCTTGCTACTAATTGCATTCGTCCTCGTCGAAGCGTATGTCGCGAAAGATCCGATCTTCAACTTGCGCATCCTGCGCAGACCCAATGTGGCAGCTAGCTATATCATTGCCACACTGCAAATCACGGCACAGCTGGGCATGTTGTTCTCGATTCCACTGTATTTCCAAGTAACGCAGCGCGCCTCGGTCACGGTCGCTGGTGGCCACTTGGTTCCCGCTGTGATCGGTAACACGCTGGGTGGGCTTCTTGCCGGTGGATTCATTCGTCGCACCGGTCACTATAAGGTTCTACTTGTTGTGGCGAGCTTAGTCGCGTCGGTTTCATACGTCCTGCTCTATCTCCGTTGGAATGGACATACCGGCTTCTGGGAGTCACTCGACATCATTCCTGGCGGCCTGGGTACTGGTATCGCTGGAGCAGCGGCATTCGTTGCTATGACTGCCTCATTACCGGCCGAAGAGGTTGCCATGGCCACGTCTATTTACATGCTTCTGGTTAGCTTTGCCATGACTGCAGGTGTCACGATCTCGAACAGCGTCCTGGGTCTTGAATTTCAACGGCAGCTTCGTAGCAACCTCCATGGACCCGGCTCGGAGGTGGTGAGTTTCTAGAAACACTCTTCAATTCGACACATTACTAACTCATGGAATAGGTTATCAAACGCGCAATGGCCGATACCGATTACATCGCCCACCTCACTGGCCACCTCAGAGAGGTTGTGGTCGACTGCTATCTGGCAGGCCTGAATCACACATATAGTAAGCTCTTTGAATTCGAACCATGTTTCTTTTATTACTCGCTGACATGCTCTAGTTGTTTCCCTCGCTTGTTCCCTTGTTGCCGCATTATTTGGCTTGTTCATTCGACACCACCAACTATAAACGTCGATCATAGGTAGCATATTTCGCCTGCTAAATTTTCTTTCAATCAAATTTGAATGCAAGAATATATACTGGTTCAGAAGTATTTCCAAAAAAAATCAGAAGTCTGATGACAGTAGCAAATACAGGCTTCTTCTCCCCTTCGCTCCTCACAGCTGCTTCTTGTCCGCAGTGACCACACCAATATCCATCGCTATAAATTGTTCCGTCATTTCCATATTCATCCTCTACCGCCAGGTATCGCTCTCCGTAACAGCAGTAGTAGCGCAAGCGGCAGGCACAGTATACGAGCGATTGGGGTCACTTTCCCACTCGATGCTTCCATCGCTCTCGACCCGAATATACTTGTACTCGAAGCTCGTGCCAGCCGGCAGGTCAATATCCACGAACCACAAGTTATCACTGGAGGTATAGTCTTCTGCACTCAGTGCAATGGCATTATCGGTGTCCCAGTCACCCAGTTGGCTGATGGAACCTGCGATCTTGATGTTCTCGCCGTAGTAGGTAGTCGCGATAAGATCGAACGTAACAGCCACTGCAGTTGGGGTGGTGCAGGAGGTAGTCGAAGTGGCGGTGGTCGTAGTCTTCGTAGTACTAGTGCTAGTGGTGGTTCCAGTTGCTGTGGTTGTTGCGCTTGTGGTTGTGGTTGTCGCTCCAGATACACTAGTCAAAGTCGCCGGCCAGGAAGTGGAGGTGGCAGTGCTGTAGGTACCCGTAGCAGATGTGGCGACGCATGTTGCCGGCACGCTGCTTGCAGAGGTCTCGCCCCAAGCAGCAGGGACGATGGAGTTACGTCGGTTGTTCGCAGAGATTAGAGCAGCATAAGACCAGGTCAAGTCACGAGCAGAAAGCTGAGAGCCATCAGACTTGGAGAACTGCTCCGACATGGAGCCGTTGGTCATGGCATATTTCTCCTATACAGATATCAGCATACGAAACCGAGACAGAGGGCCTGTCGCTCATGCACTTACCACAATACTCATATATCCATCAGCATAGGTCTTAACCGCACTGACGATTGTAGAGTAGGTTGCGCTCGATGAGGAGTAGGTTCCAGTAGCCGCAGAGCTGTACATGTCCTGGAAGAATGCAAGAGAGACGGAGTTGATGGTCAGAGAACCAATCTTGTTCCACTGGTACAAAGCATCATAGAGAAGCTCAGCAGCAGCCATTGTGCAAAGGTACCAGGGGTTACCGTTGTAGTAAGAGTCTTCGGGATAACGTCCGACGGACACGGCAGTGCCTTCAGCAATACCACTGTTGACGGTATAGACAGAGCGGAAAGAATCGGTAACCACTTTATGGTTAGCCAATGCTCGGGAAGAGCAGGGTTGGAAAGTAGTATCATCACAGGCAGCCTCTGGGTCAAAAGTGTGAATGCTGCCCAAGAGGGTGTTGGCGTCCTTGCCGGTACGGCTGCTACCGAAGTTGGCCAGGGTGTAGGATCCAGTCCAGAAGGACTGTAGGAAGCAAAGAACCTGCGGTGCCTGCGAGTCACAGTACGAGCAGGAAGAGCCGACTTGACTCGCAAATTTGCTACCTTCAACCAAAGCACGGTGCTGCACCGCAGTGGTGAAGAATGACTCTCCACTGACTTCCTCCCAGAGGTCTATCTTATTCATCAGCGTTAAGAATACCTCGATAAGAATTTCCGAAGAGGAAACTGACCGTATCCCGAACTATTCCAGTTCTGGGCAACGTAGGAGAGATCGTTACGCACAATAGGCCAGACAATATTGGTGGCCTGGGTAGTGTATCCGTTGCTCTGGAGCATCTGGTGTCAGTCATGCGTGGTTTGTCAGAATATCGTATAACTTACAATCAACCACTGGCCGAATGCAATCAAAGCAGTGGCTCGGAGCGCAGGTCCATCGCGCTGTGGCCGTCCCCAAGACCCAGTGTAGGCAGTCTCATCAATGTTGAACTTGGGCTCACCCAGGCCACCAGAGGAGAGGGAGCCGGACGGGTTAGAGACAGTCTGGATATAAGCCTGGGAGCTGATATACTCTTCAATCACGGTGAGCAATGATGTGTCACCGTTCTTGAACTGATCAATCAAGACTTTCATAGTCAAGGCAGAGTCACGAGTCCAAGTATAATAGTCTACTACCATTAGCCTTGGACACCCAGCGCTTCACGTCGGTAGGACACTTACAATCAGGGCTGTCGGTGCTGGGACTGGCAATGATAATGCCGGGCTTCACACTAGCAGCATAGGTACCACTCGATCCAATATTATCGAGGATACCCTGCCGTGCTACCGTAGTCTCCGATGCCAACCATGTGTCTAGGCTACCGGTTGCACGAGGGGCCAGCTGTGGTGCAGCGACCGCTGCGTGGCCGAAGCTTAGCGCATATAGCGCAGTCCAGAGTCTTGGAGCCATAGGTGAGGAAAGAGGTTTGCAGTTGTTTGTATCTCATGCACGAGCGCTGATGCAGCCTTTTATATCTCAAAAGATCCTGATTTCCTTTCAAATTTCGCTTCGGTTGGAATTGGGAGAAGATTACAAGGGGGGGCATAAACAACAGGGGGTGGAGGAAAGCAGCGAGGCAGCGATCGACAGAATCCCAGAGATGGAGTGCGCTACTCACTACTCGTGGCTTGCTGATTGCATTCTATTTGCTTCTTGCATCGTTCGTCAGCTAGTTCGGTAGTTGCTTGTGTACGCCGCAATGCACTGCGGGGTGATGTGATGTGATAGACGGAGTACTCCACAGGGTAAAACAATAATCCATCCATCGTACCCACCTTTGTGACATTCATGTGCTGTGATCGACACATCCCACCGATAAAGTGAGAATATCCCTACTCCCTTCAGCAACTGTCAAGATCGTGTTGCAACGGTTCATCCTTTGAGGCTCGTAAACCTAATGAACCTGGTTATGATCCCCAACTGCCGTTCCACCTTCGCCATGTCTGGTCAACTTGAGGTACACTGCCAAGGCAACATCGATGCCTAGTGTGAGTACTATAGACACTAATCCTTAGCACCTCATAACTGCTGCTGGCGTTCTGCATCTCCGTTGAACCCCGCAGTATCCCCGTCCCCTGTCCTGCCGCCTCTGCATTCCTCGGCCTGTCTAGTGATATACCACCAATCAGGATCGCGGGTCTCCCCCGTCCCTGGCCGGTCGGCTTCGCCTAGAAACGAGGCGTTTTGTCAGAGAATGCGATCGACATGTGAAGCTTCCACGACTTCCATGACTTGCGTCTTCTAGGGTTAAGAGCCGACATTCGAGGTGAAATGTGGAGCTGTGAAGAATTCCCGATCCACTCTCCCCGCAATGGCCCCGGAGGATCTACCGATTCCAGCCTGGCGTTGCCTACTAGCGTCGACTTTCATAGCGACATCGGGCACTCGAACCAGGATTTCTTTTTCGAGTCGAATTGACTTACAAGAAATGGGCCCTTCTGAATGGCCCATCGTCACCGCGCGGCAGCTTTGAGCTTGTGTGAACTTCGGCGAAGAATCGTCATAAAATGCTTGAAACAATTTCCCGCAGGATTGGGCATCATGCCTTGACTTCAACTCATTGGCCGTCCGGTCCGATTGGCTTGGTCCGAGCATGTGGAGGGCCTCCAGCGCGGAGATTATTGAACTTTACAAGAATAAGTCAGTTTTGTCGTAGGGCTTGCCATGGATGTGGGGAATCCATGTATAAACTCCAGGGGAGGCTGCCTCTGAATAGATTATTCTTCATATGCAATCAACTGCCGACACCATTTTACATTTCAAGAAATTTCGTAACGATTACTATGAAAGCACTTGCATTGACAGCAGCGTTGCTTGCGAAGGCTGTTGCCGGCCTGACGGCTGCAGAATGGCGAAGTCAGTCGATTTATTTTCTTCTGACTGATCGATTCGGGCGTACAGACAATTCTACGACAGCAACATGCAATGTCAGCGATAGGGTAAGCAATTCTATTCCTTCAATACTCGGTGTTCTTTGCATATTGCTAATCCTGTTCTAGATTTACTGTGGTGGTAGCTGGCAAGGAATCATCAACCACGTAGGTTGATCTTCCATTTTCCAATTCAGAAGCACTGCTGAGACTTTTCAAGTTGGACTATATCCAAGGCATGGGATTTACTGCTATCTGGATCACTCCCGTCACAGAACAGCTCTCTCAAGATACTGGAGATGGCGAAGCCTACCACGGATACTGGCAACAGGAAATGTTCGTGGCTCTTTTGACTTCAAACTGCCATTGAACTGACGATTTTCATTAGATACAACGTCAACGCTAACTACGGCACTGCTTCTGATCTTCTGGCGCTCTCTACAGCTCTTCACCGCCGTGGCATGTATCTCATGGTAGATGTGGTTGCAAACCATATGGTATGCGCTCTTTTCTTCAATTATACGCTTCGATTGCTGACCATATCTACAGGGCTATGCCGGAGCTGGTAACACTGTTGACTACAGTGTCTTTAACCCATTTGATTCTTCTTCTTACTTCCATTCATATTGTGAGATCACCGATTACTCTGATCAGACAAACGTGGAAGACTGTTGGCTGGGAGACACCACTGTTTCCCTCCCCGATCTCGACACGACGCTTTCTTCTGTTCAGACAATCTGGTATGACTGGGTTGCTGACTTGGTGTCGAATTACTCAAGTACGTATAACTTTGAAACATTTTCCAGAAAATATTTGAATTCGCTAACATGCCAGGACAAAGTTGATGGACTACGAATTGATACAGTCAAGCACGTCCAGGAGTCATTCTGGCCCGACTACAACAGTGCTGCAGGTGTCTACTGCGTTGGAGAAGTCTATGATGGGGATCCAGCTTACACATGCCCCTACCAGAACTACCTGGATGGTGTTCTGAATTATCCAATGTACGTTCTTCACTACTTTAACTCCTACTCTGATTGCCTGTTGTTGACCCAAACCAGTTATTATCAACTGCTGTACGCATTCCAGTCAACAAGCGGCAGTATCAGCGATCTATACAACATGATCAACTCCGTTGCATCTGATTGCTCTGACCCTACCTTGCTGGGAAACTTCATCGAAAATCATGACAACCCACGATTTGCTTCGTATGAACTCCAATTGTGTTTTTGTGTTCGCCACTGACATCCCATCTTAGCTACACGAGTGACTACTCTCAAGCGAAGAATGTACTTTCGTTCATCTTTTTCTCTGATGGGATCCCTATCGTCTATGCTGGCCAGGAACAACACTATAGCGGCGGTAGCGACCCTGCCAATCGTGAGGCAACCTGGCTATCCGGGTACGATACAAGCGCTGAACTCTACACATGGATCGCCTCCACAAACAAGATCCGCAGTCTGGCTGTCTCGAAGGATACTGCCTACATAACGTCCAAGGTACGCATCAACAACCTATTTTTATAAGGCTCAACTAAATCATGCAGAATAATGCTTTCTACACTGACAGCAATACCATCGCTATGAAGAAAGGATCGAGCGGCTCACAAGTCATCACGGTTCTCTCAAACCGTGGGTCATCGGGCAGCTCATATACCCTGACTCTGAGCGGAAGCGGCTATTCATCCGGCACGAAACTGATGGAGATGTACACCTGCACTGCCGCAACGGTGGACTCTAGTGGTAACATTGCGGTACCCATGGCTTCTGGGTTGCCTCGAGTCTACATGCTGGCTTCTTCGGCTTGTTCGATCTGCAGTTCTGCATGTTCAACAACTACAACCTCATCCACGACCTCGACTGCGACAACGACGTCAACCACCCTCAAAACTACTACAACGACCACCTCCACGAGCTGCACACAGGCCACTGCGTTGCCTGTTCTGTTCAAAGAGATTGTTACCACTTCATACGGGCAGAACATCTACATTTCGGGCTCAATCAGTGAACTCGGTGACTGGGACACTTCTAACGCCGTTGCCCTCTCCGCTGACCAGTACACATCATCCAATAATCTTTGGTATATTGTTGTGACAATTCCGGTAGGAACTTCATTCGAGTACAAGTTCATCGAGGAGACGAGTGGGTCTAGCAGTATCACTTGGGAAAGTGATCCTAACCGCTCGTACACTGTCCCAACTGGGTGTGCAGGCTCAACGGCAACCGTTACAGCGACATGGATATAGTTTATTTTTGCAGCTACACACCCGCAGAAAGTGAAATATTAGCCTCATTCATTGTATGCATCGTATCATATCTTCGTTTCATTGATTATTGACATCGTGAGAGGATTATAAGCAGTAATTAGCGCTCCAACTTCTCCCGCATATTAACAACCAGGCCACTTAGATATGGAATGAGGCGACATTTGCCGCAATAAACTCAAAAGTATCTTGACGGAAGTCATCTGCCAGCAGAGCTCCATGGTCATTGAAGAAATTCATCAGAGTCTGATTGGTGCTCCATTGTGGCCAGTTCATGTAGCTCGTCGCCCTAGAGTTGGGGTCCAGATCGTATACAAATGATAGATAGTACGAATGGATCGACTTGGAGGCGTAATTTGGCAAGATGCCATAGAACACTTGTAAAATATCGGACCCATGGAAAGTGCCAAGAATAGGTGTTCCATAGTCATAGGACGACAAATAGGACCAGAACGGCACGTCGGGCTTCACGCTTTGAGCGAGTGTGAGGAAGGCTCTTCGAGTAATGGTAAAAGTGAGATCTCCCAGTATCGCTGCAATGCGTTTGTACTGAGGATACCAATTATTGAAGATACTAGTCCGGAAGGGAGACCCGTCGGTCGTGGTATCCGGGTATGTCGCTACCAATTCTTCCAGTTGCTCGCGAGAAGCGTCCAAGAAGAAGAGCCTTTGGAGGTAATCAACAATTTGATCCGTCGTGCTGATATTTGCTTGAAACAGAGCAAAGATTGTCCCTTCGTCTTCCTGGTCGCCGATGATGAAAGGAACAGAGGCATACTTGCCACTAGTCGCTAAAACCTCAGGTGAGTCAGTGAGAACTGTGCCATCCGGTCGAGGTAGATACGAGAGTGCAACGGAGTTATAAGACAAAATTCCTGGCACCGAGTTGGCAGCATTCAAGAATGTTGTATAATCCAATCCACGCAAGCACTCCAAGGTATCCGATGAACTGGCACAGCCAGCAGACTCCACCACCTTGTCATAGACTGCTTGGCCTTTGACACCATCTACAGGATCGGCAGGTACAATACTTCCTGAATTCATGATTCCAGCACGGAAGAGCGGTGCGCCATTGTATGTGTGGTCACCATCATAAAGAGCCATTTGATCAAAGACGGATATCGACCCAGCAGACTCACCCCAGATAGTCACCTTCGTCGGATCACCACCAAATGCCTTGATATTATCTGCCACCCATTTCAATGCCAGTCGTTGGTCAAGAAGACCCAGGTTGGCAGACCCGTCTTTGAGGATCTCTGATCCAGGCATAAAGCCAAAGCCGCCCACACGGTAATTGATGGCAACGAATACAATAGGCATGCCCAAGTTCATCGATGCAGAAACCAAGCTCGTTCCATCATACATGCTCGTTGATCCTAATTCAAAGCCACCGCCAAAGATCCAAACCAAAACAGGTAGGTTTGCACCGGCTGCGGTTCCAGTTGGGCGCCGTATACTGACAGTCAAGCAGTCTTCGCCGGCATTCGTGACCGTTTGGAACAGTGGGATATTGGCTAACTCCCCAATCACGGACACTGGGAAATCGCTGGTATCAGTGGTGAAATAAAATTGAGGACATGACTTCGCGGTCCCGGTAGCTTGAACAGTTCCTAAGGATGTCTGGATCGCTTGGGGTGGTTTCAGGCGAAGCGAGCCAGTAGGTGCCTGTGCAAATGGAATTCCATTGAAACTGTCCACGCTGCTCGATCCTGATGAGCCAACTACTGTAGCTTTGGGCTGTGAGATTGTAACCGTTGGTGCTCCAGCTCGCTTCAGGTTCGCGGGAGCGGCGATGACCCCAGGGACGGTGGCCAAGAGGGCAATGCGAAGCAAACAAAGCATTTTGACTTTCATCCAACTGCAATATAGGTGCAAGACTGGGTCACTGTATCAATTTCAGTCCCGTATTGCCTCGAATGCTCGTTCCCTGAGTTCGTCCAATTCCCTGGAGCGAAGGGACGATTTTAAACCGATCCCCCACATCGCCAGCCACCTCCAGGATGGAAGCATTCTCAAGCTCAACGACGAAGAATCAACATGTGGTTCCTCGGTTGACGGTTAACGTAAAGCGATTGAGTCGATCTTTCATGCCTTTCAAACCCCCGCCGCGGGGCAGTGAAGATTCGGTCAAGAAGTATTCCTGACTCAAATAGGAATATCCGCCGGTTCCATGGTCATGCGGTGCCCTAAGCGTTACTTATTAGGCTCTAATAAATGAGTCAACCTCTTCAACAGGTGGTCGGTTTTTCATAAATCCCCTCCCAAGGCCAACTGCGTGATTTCTGGTTGGATGGAGCCCCAGTGATGCCATGCGCCTTCAACCGGCGTATTTCGGGCTTGGCCGTGCGCGAGCTACAAGACTTCGGTCACACACCTTCAGAAAAGTCTCGTGGTTGTCTGCTGACCATGAATCAAGGAACCAAGGGACTCAAGGGAGCGTATAAGGAATGTGAATTCCCTGTGGATCCCGAATGCATAATAACAGCAGCAGTCGTGGGCGAATCGCGGGGAGCGCGGGGAACATCCCTGCCGTTCTGGGGACGCCCAGTGGAGCTGATCCAGCGATCGCCGGCTGGAATCGGCACAAATCTGATGTTGCCATGCGACAACTGCAGAAACAGAAGGACTTCTTCTGAAGAAAGTGTTGTGCAGCTGACGACGTTGTTCGTCGCGTTGTTCCGACTAAGCAGGAACTATTGGCTAGCACCCCTGTGTTCCTGGAAGACCGGAAGACTCGGAGAAAAGGCAATCCAATGACTATCAGTTGGCAGTGGATACATGAATTGACAGTCTAAAAGTAAACTCAATTTGAATAACAAAACAAAGTTGGCTCTTTCCACTTTCTGGCACTGTACTCAAAAAGCAGATTCTTTCACGATATATTCTTATCGCGGGTTAAGTGAATGACTCGGGTTTATTTCTACCAGCTACCCATATCATTCGCTCGGTTATTCATGGGCACTACTGCAAGCCTTCGCGAATAGGGCGACCCTACGTCACCGAAAATGACGGGTCTTGCGCCAAGGGCCCAAGCCGTTTCTTGAACTCAAAATCCTCAGAACTGTACAAGCGAGGCTTATGCAGTCGGTTGAATGATCTGCATATGTATGGTCAATTAGATGACGGTGATGTCGGATATCGTAAGTTGACCATATGCACCATCGGGCATTGCCTCAATGCGTTCGTCTTTCCGCTCTACAATGCCCCTCTCTAGATTTAGTCTTTGTTATTTCACTTCTCTGCTTCTGGGCTGCTGTTCCTCTAGACGCTATGATTCATTCTCGGTTCGGGTTTTCACATGAAAAATATCTCCATGACAAATATCGTACCTCTAACTATAAGTCGTTTTTCTGAAGGTAGTTACCTCGAAAGCTTTGGGGGTTAGAGAACGAAATTCACTATCAAAATGTATTTATTTGGCTTCTCAGGAGGGAGAACCATTTTAACCTAACAGGAATTCCGGGCACACCCTCCTAGCTCTATGTTTAGCATTATGCCTATGTGCAAGTGCAAGGAGTTCCGTGAGGCTGTGTCCGGCTACGTAAATACGAATAGTCAGCCTGTAGGCTATGGTCCGTGTACGAGATATACAATGTCCGTTGCGCCATCGTCCTTCCCATTCCTCTGCTGTTACATATTTTGTTTTCTGCTCCCAACATCAGAGCTTTCAATCCCAGGAGATAATTATCTTGCATATATAGCACGCGATCTAAAATATTTCAAAGGGTTATTTCCGTTACCAAGTTCATTCGAGGCCTCGAAGACCGACTGGCTGTGGCGTTTTCGATGTGGCAATACATCTCGTCGATTTGTTATAGAATTATGGTTACTGTGTTTTCTCAGTCGGCTTTTTCTTCCAGTCCTTGAATTTTTCGTTTGTTTGAAGAGGGAAACTTTGGCATCGGTCGTTCATTGGATTTACGTGTCCTCGTGTCAGTAACGAGACTCTGAGGAAACGGGACTCATGGAGCCATGAATGCGATAGAAGAGGGGTCTTAAGTGGAATAGATTTTTATGGACTCTGAGACTATGAAATTACGCTTCCTCTATAGGGTTGACATTTATGAATCAAGGAACATCCTTTCAAAAACAAAATAGTTCCAATCCAGTAATTAACGCCAATTTAAAATGCAAGAGATGCGTTAAAAGATACCCCTAAAGGATGCGCGCGAGACTTCAACGCTCTGCGTGCTGCCAACCCTCCCATCTCTCAAAATCGCCCGTATCCAAATCGAATAAATCCAACATGCGCCCGACGCTTTGGTCGGCCAACTCATCCACAGACGCAGCACGGATGTAGTATGCTGGAACTGGTGGGAAGATGATTGCGCCTGCGCGGGAAACTTCCAGCATATTACGCAGGTGAATCTCGCTCAAAGGTGTCTCCCGAGCAACCAAGACAAGTCGTCGCCGCTCTTTGAGCATCACATCTGCTGTGCGGGAGATAAGATCATCACAGAATCCACTGTGGATGGCGGCCAGGGTTTTCATACTGCATGGAACAACGATCATTCCATCTGCTTTGAAAGAACCGCTTGAGATCGGGGCCGCCATATCGTTGATAGAATGAACGTGGTCGGCTAGAGCCTTCACGTTGGAGGGATGATAATCGGTTTCGTATTTGATGGTCGCCTCAGCCCATTTACTCATCACCAAGTGTGTTTCGACATTCAAGCGACGTAAGGCGATCAAGCACTTGATACCCAAAACTGCGCCTGTCGCACCAGTCATGGCCACGACGATTCGTTTGCGCCGCTGAGTAGGTGGTTGATGTGCAGGCGCTGGGTTTCCAGCATTCACAGGCTGCATTGTCGTGTCAGGCTGGCTCCCGCCTGGAGTCGAACGACCGGACTGAGGTGTATTATTGCCGGAAAGTAGTGAAAGCATGGAAGCCTAGTGGTAATTCTTATTTGATATCCGCGATAGTAGAGTGTATTGAGGCCTGATGGGTGTTGGTAATGTTTTGGTTAAGAGTTTGCTCTACCAGGTCGGCAGAGGAGGTTCTTATATACCAATCCAGTGGCAAAGGCGAAGATACCAAGGCAAACAATCATCTAAAAGAGAATTCTCACTCTATCCCGAACAACCGGCAATCCGATTGGCATCGGCCCGATTTTGGTGAAAGAAAGGATCCTCCGAGATGCCCGAATTCCGAGCCTCCGAAGCCGTACCCCCGAGAAATGACGTCAGGACGAATTCTACTCACGAGAGTGACGAGTGACGGATTCACCCTGGAATTAACAGAATTTGCAGGTGATTTTTGAAGAATTGGCTAATATTTCGCTCTTACTAAGAAGCTGGAAACATTACCCGGGTCATAGATGCATCCTTTAAGCTCTGCCTTAAGTTCACTCCACTATGGTCTTCAAATTATGCTTCAATGAGTGTTATTCTTGCTATTAACAACGAAGACCCATGGTTCTCCCCCAAAAATATCATGCTCGTCGGCGAACTCTCATCTGTTCCCGAATATATTGTGTCAAAATCAAGCACTCAACTTGTCTCCTTCTGGGACGTAGGGTGTTTCAAAGGGACGCTCTGCCTGTGGCGTGATACGCGCTAAGTGTCGACGCTCGCCTGTCGTCCAGTCAATAATCGCAGAGTGAGCCGTCACTCGGTTCTGGATTTTCATTAGCGTTCTCAACCATTTATCATGTTCTCTAAAGGTTTCTTACATCCCAAATGACCACTGTCTTCGGTGCCCATCGAATTCGAGCCTGATAGTCAATGCCACGACCGACATGAGCAAGCAGGAATCCTAGAAGAGCGTCGCTTTCCTCCGTTTTGAGGCCGACAATGCTTCTTGTGACTTTGAATTTGTCAGTATCATGAATATCCCCGCTCACAGTGAATTACTTACAGCCTCCGTTGACAAAAAGTGCCTTCTCACCCGTGACAGGATGAGTACGAACGATAGGATGCTCGTTCTTCACAGGATCTCTTCTATCAACTCCTCCCCGCTTCAAACTATTTTCGGCTTGTTCAAATCCAGAATGCACCGCTTTAAGACCATGGAGACGCTCCTTAATCGCGGGTGAGAGCCGATTATAAGCCTCTACTTGGTTCACGAAAATTGTGTCTCCGCCCACCTCCGGGCCATCAAGGAGATACAAGAATGTAGTGCCCGGTGGCTGTTGCTCATAAGTAACATCAGAATGCCACGAGACGCTGCTGTTCTTGGCAGCAAGATACTCATCATATTCCCAGGCGTTATTATTCCGATGAACGAGATGGATCTCCGGGTACCCTTCCGGAGCCCCGCTAGTGGGGTGGATGTGGTGTCGCCCAAAATAGCCTCCAAAATCGAGAGCCTCTTGGATAGGAAGGTCTGCAAAATCTTGATCTCGGAATGCAACGACCTTGCGCTGAGCAACTAGGAGAGCAAGTTGATCCTTCCCAGCGGCAGTGAGCTTGCTCAGTTGAACACCTGTAACTTCAGATCCGATAGTAGGGGTGAGCTTTTTAATTTGAGATTCCGCTGGAAGGAGGTCTTTGAATGATGGGTCTGCATCTTTGCCATGGTCGATGTGTGTGAAAGGCTCGAGAGGTGGATATTTCTCGCTATGGTCCCAGACGGGCAGATATTGTGGGTACTGTGTCCATTAAACTTTAATCAGCTTTCCTTGCTCAGAATAGTGGCACAGGAATACCTTACAGTGGCAGTCGACTTTCCTCCTTCCTCCTCAATGATTCGCCTGACTTTGGGCTTGTTCACACTCACCTGAGGGTTGACCTTTGCAGGAACAACAACCTCGACAGCGAAACTTTCCGCGATAGAGGGTGCCATGTCTTGAGGATACTTTGGTATAAGTGATTTTTGTGCTTTTGAACTAGAAGAATATAATATTTCAGGATCAACATGACTATTACTGGGTATATATATTCTGTTTCTACTCCCGTTACATCCTCTAATCTTCACATCATCTCATCGTGGAATCACGTATTGATTTACCACAAAGCAAGATTTTGCGCCATTGGTCTGGTTAGCTCAGACCCCAAAGACGCATCTTGGCTTCAAGAATTTGTAAGCAGGATCACCGGTCGCTTTCCAAAGCCATGTGATGGTTACATTCTTGTACTAGATCGTCCAAGTTGATGCCAAGTCCAAGTTTGAGGCGAGAGGGCAATGGACAACTGACACCATGGATGAGTTCAGTAAAGATAGATGCGTTTGTACGGCGAACTCCCAAAGGCGGGGTAATGTGCAATCATGCAAATATACTACTGTGTGTATAGAGTTAGGCTACTTTCTTGCGTGAAATCTACGAATGTAGCGCCATGTCATTGTTAATGGTATGGCGTGATTCCATACCTTCACAGTTCCCCCGCAATCCCATGATGAAATGACGAAATTCATTGGAGAGTGTACACCCACTTGAATCTCCCTAGTATCCAATGAAGACACGAGATGATTGAACATCCTACTTCATTCTTCGACAGTAAAATCTAGAAATCATCCGATTCCCAAATATCACGAGTGGACTGTTATCAGCCATTGGCTAGAATCCTTGTGCAATGAGCCTCAGAAAAGCTTTCCGTATTCTAAATTCAGATTACGCGCCGTATGTCGAAATAAAACAGATGCAATAAGTCATACGACCCTTCAAATACCCGCATGAACTGCTCTGGGTGATATATATTTGTGCATTTCGCATTCTCTCTATGAGCCATGTGGCTGGAACAGCCCCCCGCCCCCCCCCCCTTTTTTTTTCTCTTTTTTTTCCATGCATAGTCGGGTAATTTTCAGCACAGCTAAATTACGAAGTAGAATTTGAATTTAAAGTCCCTGAGTACCCCGAGACAAAAGTGTGACTTCCCAGCTTTGTCAGCGTTTCATTTGATTTCGACGTCCACTGTAGAGTAAACCCGACTTTGAAGCTATCCATGAATTTCCACATTAACAGTGTCCATAACCCGAATCTTCTGATCAGTTCTTCGATCCCAAAGAGCTTCTTGACTAGGGCTCCTCGCACAATCAATCTCGGTCGTATTTTCATACCCATTAGGTCCATGAAAGATGCGTTGCCTCTTACGAGAGACCGAATCCAGACCAATCCCCCTTGAGCCATTCGAGTAGCTCTGATCCTTTGTTGAGCGTTTTTCCTTCAAGAAACCAAATATAGAGCGGAGTGCAGGGAGAGAAAGGGCGATGATCCCGGCACTGATTTCGGCACAGGTCCAGGCGATGACAGGTGAGAAGTACCATGTTATATCGTCCTCATGCTCGATCGACACAATCATCGATATCATTCGGAGAATCGACGTACTATTGTTGAGGATTAGTTGGTCTCTTTTCTATGGGATATTAGTACTTACACAACCGCACTAGAGAGCAGCAGGTTAGCGAATCTGGACGGAGAGGAATTATAATCAATCAAAAGACTCACAAGATACCAAAACAGAGAATCCCCAAAAGTGCAAGCTTTCTAGCTAACTTCGTTTGCAAAGACAAAACAATCTTCAAGGGTAAAATAAGAATCAACGAGTCACAGGCAATTGTAAGAGCACCAGTTGAAACAAATACTATCTTCGATCCCATACATTTCCCCTCCACGGCCCCCCACAAAGCAGCCAGAGGAATGCATTGAAGAGCAATGATGAGCGTCTGTGCAATGTAGACCGCGCTAATGAAGGCAAATGACACTCGAAGGTATAAGATGAACTGTGGCATTGGGTTTATTCGGGCGTAGAAAGCTAATCCCGAGACACGGCAAAGCCACAAGTTAAACATATAGACCAGCTGCGTTGTAACAAGCCATTTGTACATCTTGACGAGTGTCTCAGGGGTGCTAACAAGAGCGGCAAGATGTCGACCAGAGCCGTAGCGAAGGAGCATCATACAAAGTGCCATAGTGGCCCAGCTGGTCAGCTTTTGAGAATGAAGGAGTTTAGCAAGTGAACAGAGTATAATTGGCAAATTAAGCAGTACCTGGGCAAGTAGGATGAAAAGGTCGTCCCAACCTAGCTCACGAATCAAAACTCTGCGCGCGTAGAGACGAATCATGACAACTATGAACGAAAGTGCCGTAACAACCACAATTCCAACCATTGCTAGCTGCCTGCGATCCTCTGCCAGGTAGGCAGCTGAGTATTCTGACGACATCATGCCCTTTCGTTATGATTGTCAGTCCTCTGCTCCAAACACTTCCAGAAAACGGTTATCATTTAACTACATTTATAAGTAGCTGGCTGAATAAGAATAGACGCCGACGATCATTTGGAACCGTTGCCGTGTACTTGCCGTCTGTCGTGGCCCGAATGAGCCTAAAAGACTAGCTCAAACGTCACATCCCTTTCTGTCGACGTGCATATGGCGCTAATTAAGATTAATTTAAAAAAAAAAACGGGGACATGGCACCATATATGCTGTTCCATCCCCAGATTTGGATCTATCGACTCTTGAATTATGAGAGCCCGCCGCCAGACTAGACTTCCTACCTAATTACTACTTCGGGGTTTGGATTAGAGGTTGAATCCACGACTTACGAGAACTAGCTGCCGTGGAAGTACAAAGGTTGCATGTTTTTCCTGTAGCCATCAGGGCGAGATAGGGGCGAGGCATAGACGAAGACCTATCACATACGGACAAAGTCTCAAATCCTTGTCCAAAGGTTGAGTCGGCTCTGGGGTAGTGGGCGGTCGAGGGCAGTTTAGATTGGGTTCGCTTATCCGTTTTTGGCATCTAGTCCGAGAGCCCTAACAGCGCCATTGGGGGCCCAAGGCCCTGTTAATGCGTACCAAGGGCCTCCTGATTGTAGATCATTCCTTATAAGCCACTAACGTAAGACCGAGGCAAAGTCACACTTTCGCAAATCGTGGTCTAGCCCTGAATTAGTGGTCTGTTCTCCTGTCAAAGTTCTCAGTTCGCGGAGCCTTATAACCCCCAGCCGCTGTCAACCTGCGGGAGACGGGAGCGGCCCCACAAAGTCGCTGTTGATCAACGCCAGGTGGTTTCAACTCGACGCCGGCGCACTCGCTTGTTTGTGTGTGAAATCATCCAGGTGCAGAGGATCAAAAGTCCCATTCCTATGCGAGACAGGATGGGTCGCTCTAATCAGATTGCGGATAAGTCTCATTACCCACCCCCTCGTTCAACTACGCTCCCCTGATTCTATTTTGAACTTGCAAAGACCCAGTTCATCACACTGAATTGGAAACTCGACATATCTACCGTGACGGGCAACGGACTTCCTCAAGATGCTTCAATGGCTTATGAATTTAGACGTCCAGCGAGCAGTAGCACTTTCTGCTGTGGCTCTTGTGATACGTGTGCTTTCCAGGAAGTACTGGACATCAATAAGGGATATCCCGGGCCCGTTTTTCGCTTCTTTTTCGGGTCTTTGGCGGGTATACCACTTAGGCAAAGGCCATATCGAGCAAGAGATTCTTAATTTACACAAAAAGCACGGTATGCTCAATCTGATAGAGTGTGAATGAACGAGACAATCATGCTCAAAAAAGTAGGCCATTTCGTTCGTATCGCGGATAACGAAGTCAGCTTGTCTCACCCGGACGCCGTGAAACAGCTTCTCCATGCCAATATTGAAAAGGTATATTCTTTTTTTCACCATGGAGAGTTCGATTGTGAAGACCTAATTGATGTATAATAGGGCACATTTTATTCCGTCTTCAGTCTTCCAGATTACCGCTACGTCAACCAAATGTCTGAATTAGATCCCGTCCGACATATCCAAAAGACTCGTAGTCTCTCTGCTGGCTTTTCCCTTTCCAATATTTCAAAGACCGAGCCGTATATTGATAACGTGCTGAGGCTTTTCAAAGCCCAGTTTGACAAACTATGCGACTCCGGTGCCCCAGTCGAGTTTCAGAATTGGTTTAGTTTCTTTGCATTTGACGTCCTCGGCGAAGTGACGTTCTCGAAGTCTTTTGGCTTTGTTCAATCGGGCACTGATATTCGGCACGCAATTGCAAATACCGGATCATTGGTCTACTATATTTCCATAATGGGTAACTATATCTGGTTCCACAATCTGACATTGGGAAACCCACTTTTTAGTCGACTTGGCCTACAGCCAAACTCGCACATCTTCGATACATGTCTCCTCGCCGTTGATAATCGCAAGAATAATCCCGAAGTTCGCCATGATATGATGCAACGCTGGCTTGACGTCCGCTCAAGCCACCCGGATCGTCTGTCAGAAAATGACATCTTCGGTGCGGCTGTCGCAAATATCGGCGCTGGTGCGGAGACCGTCAGCGCTACTGCACAGGCCGTGATATATTATCTACTCCGGCAGCCCAAGCTCATGAAGCGAGCACAGAGTGAAATTGATGCCGCACAATCTGGTGGAGAGCTCTCTCCGCTGATTCAATATAGCGAGGCAGCAAAGTTGCCATTCCTACAAGCATGTGTAGGTTGCAAATATAAAGATGGGAGTCATGAGGTTCACTCAGGTGTACTGACTGAGTTTTCAAGCTGAAAGAGGCATATCGATTCCACCCAGGCGTCTCTCACAACCTTCCACGAGTGGTACCAAAAGGGGGAATAACAATTGCTGGGAGATACTTCCCAGAGGGTGTAAGCCTTCTGTGCCCATATACATCGGAATCCTTCGACTCTTATTGACATGCAATTCCAGGTGATTTTGAGTGTGAATCCTTGGGTTATTCATCGTGACCCAGATATTTTTGGGAAAGATAGCGACATCTATAATCCCTATCGTTGGCTTCAGGGCGAAACAAAGAGAATGGACTCCTTCTTGATCCATGTAAGGGTGACCTTTACGTTAACCGTACCCCATAGTTACTAACGAGGCTTGAAGTGGGGAGCTGGGTACAACCAGTGCCCTGGGCGCAATCTTGCTCAATTTGAACTTTCGAAGGTCCTTGCGACCGTGTTGCGAGACTATGATGTTGAACAGATAGAGCCACAGAAAGACTGGAAGTTTGAGACCCGTTTCCTTGCTGTTCCTTATGGATGGCCATGCAGGATTCGTAGGCGTCAGAACATATGAGATATCTTCACTTGGCCTTTGAACCAAGTTTTTGCGGCAAGTTGTGTGGTAGTTCGATACATGTATTTTTCGCTGCAGACGTCAACCAATATTTATTTTCAACAAGCTTGAATGGCAATACGACTCACATCCAGGACTGGTAGAAACATAGAAATATCAGCATGGCCATATCAAACAAACCGAAGAGACCTCATGCCAGCCAGCAAGAGTCAAAAGGCTAGAATGAAGACTGTTATGAAAGACGAGTGTGTTCGGCCATCAAGTACATCCTCCATGCGTGTATTCTTTTGCCTGTGTGAAGTCCATGAGTCCACCGGAGTCCCCCGAGGGGAACTAAATCGCGAAGCAAATAGTTATAACCACACCACAAGATGTCACCAAACGATGTGTAGATTAGATGCTGCCTAAGGCGGTGGCAGGCCAAGCTCTACCGACACATTAGTGTACCCTCGTTGACAACCATGTAAACTCTGTGGTTTCCGACTTGCTCCAACTGAATACCTACATCAGTGCTCTTCGGGAAATTGAAGACACAGTCACGAGTATCTGCAGTCATCGAACGAGCTTCAAGCATCTCGGGAACCCTTTGGCAATGTAAAGTATGCTCATCCCGAGAAGCAGAGAAGACGAGAATAACGTTGTTGGCTGATAGAGTCAAGGTCTGATCCACATCTGAGGTGGCCTCTAATGCCATTTAGAGCTCTTGGGATGAGTGCCGAGGACCCAGGCGAGTGAATATGGTAGCATCACGCGCTTTTTCGTAAAGGTGTTGGAAGAGCTAGTGCCCATACGACGAGATTTGTCTCGAGAGACCCGGTAGAGGCACTTCCAGGGACGCGGCCGACAGCGCGATCTTGAACGATTGAAAAGTTTCCCGATTCTGAAGGCCTGCCTGACTGACACGTGCTTGAGATTAGGAAGCGAATAACCGAGTCATATATCAGTGCTTGCCGTACTGCTCAAAAGAGCTGTGGGAATATATTCCTAGAGTATCAAGATCTAAAGGGCCTAGACGAGGTATGGAAGAAGCACAAAGAAGTATGTGCTTAGTAGATGTGGAGAGAGCTGAAGAAGAGAAGTTGGGGGGGGCCAGCAAAAAACTGAAAGACCTCTTAAGCGGTTAGGCGTCGCTCCACACGCAGACACCCTCCACTTTCGACCAAGGTACCAACTACAGTACTATAGTTGGATATATCTTCCACCATAACATCCAAGGTTGCCTTATACCATTAGGTATCATGCACCACTTGGGAAGACGCCTGGAACACAGAAAGATATCTGGTTTGACAACAATGAAGATGGATCGAAGGCGGGGCAAGGATTACTACATGCGGGGGTTTCAAGGCTGCTTTCTCCCAACACACTGAGTGAGACTTGATTTGGGTGGTTTTTGCTACACAGCCAGGGTTCTCGATCTCCGACGACCTGCTTGGAGAAAGAAATGTCCGACCGGGGAAACAAGCATTGATCGCATTTATGATAACCCTCCTTTGTATTTCCAACTGGCAGGTTGGTTTCTAACCAACAAGACCGTGAGGCGAAGTCTCACCTCCATATCAACCTAATTTGAGTGCACTACCCAACTTGCAATGGAAAATTCCCTTTGCCCTCTTCTAGTCGAAATTCCCAGCTTGTACTCTCAAAACCTTCTCTTTTTCTCACAATGGTATTAAATGGGTCCTTTAGAGGTCCCATAACAGACACAAGAGACAATGAGCTTCTCCGTGGCTCCTGCCAGACTCCGCTAGCAGGAAAGAGATCATACTGCAGAACCATCATAGCCGCCAATCCCAAAATCTCCCCGCTTGCTAAATGGCGACCGGGACAGAGAGTAGGGGGTACACCAAATGTCATAAGCCCGCCCACACGTCGGGCATCTCTCGTTTTGTTTTCAATTCCGGTGCCTGAAGATACGGACTTCATATATCGTCGCTCATCAAATTCATCCGCGGAAGATCCCCATATATTTGGGCTTCGGCCTATTGCCTCCGCTGGCATGGTTAAGATGCTTCCAGCTTTTAGAAAATACTGCTGGGCAAGCAACACGTCCTTCATGACGATCCGCATGGAAGCAGCTGTCGTCCTCGTGCGTAAGATCTCCTGGAAGGTTGAGATCAACAGAGGGCAGTTGTCACGAATGTCGGATAGATTAACGATGTGTAGGCCATGTGCAGTGACTCTAAGGACATTATGTTCAATTTCTTCGCGAATAGAACCAAGAAGCTTGGGTCGGGAATACAAATCAAAAAGGACCCAGAATGTCGCAGGGACGGTGTTCGATAGGAGTGCAATGGTCACTATCGATTCCAAGCGTGCGGTTTCTTCTATACTTAAGCCAGCATCGCGCGCCGTGTTGAACAGGGCGAGCGTGATATCAGAGGAATTTTCATGCCCGCCAAGCAAGTAATATTGTGTCATAGCAGATACAACCAATTCGCGGCCCTTCCAGGCCTTTCGAGCAGTGAGCCAAGGGAAAAGGTCTGCCAGTAGTAGGCTAAAATTCGATTGGAAACTCCTATAATGCTTATCAGTACGAACTGGGCAAGTTGAATTGAATCTCTAAGCTTACCAAAATTCGTCTGCTGTTGCACGATCTTTGTATGGGTTCAGATGGCCATACTTAGCATCAGTGCTCGAAACAGTTATGGCATGTCGACACCAATCATACAGATCCACCGTGTGTATCCCATCTAAATCATCGAAGAAGGGCCGCAACGAGCGAAGTATCTGGTGAGTCATTTTGTCCAGGGATTTCCCCGTTAACGTTGGAATCATGGCATTCATGATCTCTCTTCCAAGTCCGTGTCCTTCGGACTCTACTTCGCGTATAATATTTAGTGCGTCGCCTTGAAGGCCAGCGACCTGCTTGGCAACAATGGTGAGGAGAGGGTCGAAACTAATTATCTTATTGTTTCGTTGGACCGCGTATATTAGACCCGGGGATGCTACCACGTGAATTTTACTCGCGATCATATCCAACGAAAGTATTGGATACGGGGGATGTTTTCTACTAATAGAGATGTCAGCATGATCCATATTACGGTCTGGAGTCTTGCAAAAGCCTACGTCTGTAGCCCGATATATTCAATACCATGCCGAGCAATGCCAATTAGATGTCCAATAAAGGGAATACCGCTTGAAATAACAGGTGGTTCGCGAGGATCGTGTCTTGTTCCATGATAAATGGCGTATCCGAGCGCGGAGACAAGACCCAAGGCGAGGATGAAAGTGGTAATTAACATGACAGATAGATATTTGTTCTGTTCGGTTCCAAGTTTGAGCTTTGAAGAAGCGATGAAGAGTCCGCTAATATACATAAATGTGTTCAGTGGAGTGTCGCGCGAACGAGTCTACTAAAAGCGAACGTGCGGCAGCCTTTCACGCTATTAACTCGACCTTCTGAATAAGGTCTCACCTTATAGGCCCTGAGGTCAGGATTGATTAAGAATGGCCAAAAGGTAATTTAACACCTAATCCAGAGTATGTATACTCAATTAGGTTCGTGTAATGTAGGGCTGCCCGACGTGGAACCATTTCCAATAATGGTCGATCTCATTCCTATACGGCATTAGTGATGCAGATACGGATGCAACTATTCGGTCAGCTGAGCGCATTCATGCAAGAGAATTCATTCTTCTCACGGCGCTCTTTGCAAAGATATTCTCACATTAGTTCAGTTGTAGTTATAGTACTAAATAATATCCTGTAAACTTAGGGACGCTCCCTGGCCAGAGCTTTGACGATAACTCCACAGCTGCATCAGAGCGACACTATCGTAATTTTCAAATTTTTACCGTATATAACAAAATTATTCAGTAGCACTATAGTGGTGTAAGTTTGGGATCATAGCTGAGATGTATACATGAAGAAGGCGCGATTGACTTTTATTAATAAACCTGTGGCTACTCCAATAGCTTCAAGTTAGGCTGACGTCGTGAGACGCGAGATGCCGCGACTAAGATAAATCTAACTTTAGGAAACAATATTTTCAGCCATGACCTTTTGTTAAAAGTTGCGAACCATAGCTGGAAGGTGCGCACAACATAAGATCAGATCAATGTATTAAATGGGCACAAGAGATAATTACAACTCTAATCATTGTATGATTTTCAGTTGGTGCAGAAGAATCCGTTCGCCACTTTCAAATGCTCTCGAGCTTAATCTTGATGCGTTCAAGTTTCACTTTCTTTAGAGCAGTAGCCCTGGTAAGTATATCTGGATGCTTTAGCTAATAGAGATGAAACAAGGGTAGGGAATTCAAAATAGTTGGAAACATAAAGTAGAAAGAGAAAGAAAGGACTTAGGCAAAATTATCGACACACCAAGAGATATATTCTGAGATTTCTTGCAGATGGCTGATCCAACTTGAAAAATAAATCTTGGACGTGTGGAGGTAACTTGCTGGGGTTTATATTGAAGAGATCCGCAGATCCCGACCAACCATTAATAACCAATACTTCATTCACTTTATCCACATTCTACGTGCTTCCATAGTACGAATATCTGAACAGTCCTGGGCTTTGCTCTTTTGTTATTATCTTATTCTAGATGTCGAGACTTGTGAGACCTACACCATTCATAGTGATGAGCTTCATGTGCGCCATGATCCGGTGCCTTGTCGTTGTTGCGCTATGTATGACCTTAATTTCATCGGCATTCGCCATAAATGAGCACGAATTTGCCCCAAAAGATGTCATTATCCGCGATGTGTGCATCCTTGGAGGAGGGGCGACCGGTACATACGCAGCAATCAGCTTAAAGGACAAAGGCCGGAGTATATTGGTCGTGGAGCGCGAGGAAGTTCTCGGTGGTCACGCCAAGACATTTTACCTTGACGATGAACACTATGTTGACTATGGTGTGGAGGGAGTGTTCAATAATAAGCTCACGCGAGACTATTTCAACCGCCTCAACGTGAAATATAAAGTACTTCTCCCAAGTACGTTTTTGACACAGCATGTCAACTTCAGAACCGGAGAGCAGGTCTCCCCTCCATCTGGACTTCTGAAAACTGCATTTTCTGCGTTACTCTACCGGGTTACGATAAGGAAATATAAGTATCTTCAAGATGGGCTATATAGCTTGCCTGATCCTGTTCCAGAGGAGCTTCTGCGCCCATTCAGGGAGTTTGTTGAGAAATCTGGGACCCACGGGGCTCTTCAATTGATCTTTATGTTCACTCACACGGCTGGCAATATTCTCGAAATGCCTCTCCTTTATGTTCTCCAGCTATTTGGACTTCCTCACATGAACGCATTTCTGAAGGGTGGATTCATCGCCCCAAAGAATGGCATGTACGACCTATACGAGAAAGCTTCCCAAATCCTTGGCTCTGATGTCCTCTACCAGACTACAGTACAAAAGACTGACAGGTCTGAAGGCGACATCAAGATTGTCGTTCAGACTACAAACGGGGCCCGTAAGCTCATCAAAACCAAGAAGCTCTTGGTGACGTTTGCGCCAGTTTTGAGTAACCTTGAAGGGTTTGATCTCACTCACGTTGAGTCCATGCTTTTCCAGAAATGGAAATGGAATACCTGTTATGTTGCCGTTGTTAAGAACACAGGGATTCGGAGCGGCGTGACCGTCATGAATAGTGACCCTAGCAATATGCCAGGCAGTCTTCCTCTTCCACCCTTCCAGTGGGCTCTACAGCACCTAGGTGTTGATGGATACTTGGCTAGTAAGATTGTTGGTGACCAAGACCTTACAGAAGACCAGGCAAAGGAGCTCCTTCTCTCTGACATCCGTCGAATGGGATACGAGAGAGCCATGAATGGCAGCGAACCGGAAATCGTTTCGTTTGGGAGCCATTCACCCGAAGTCTTATCAGTTTCCAATGCGGACATTATGGATGGGTTCTACCACAAACTGTATTCGATACAGGGCACCAAGGACACATTCTACTCGGGCTTGGCATTTGGCTCGGATTATTCGGCGTTACTGTGGGCATATACAGAGACGGTTGTTCTCAAAATGCTTTCCAGCTTCTAGAAAATATCTTTTCTTGCTCTGGAAGCTACATTGTAGGTAGAATTTCAGGAGTTTGAATCTGAATTTAACGGAGTTTCTTCAATACGGGAGCCGCCATCTGCACTAGAAGGGTGTTTTCTTTCATTAGTCAAAGGCCACATCCACAAGTGGGAGATCTCTTCCAATACTCGCAGGACTTCAGGAGACTGAGCAGTGCGATGCAATGAGGAGAATGCAGGAATAAATTTGGTCAAATAAAACTAGAGTCATATATGAACCGCCGTTTCCTTCTTAACCTTGACTGAGTTCCACTGTATACTTAAGGCACCAATGATGGATAGCGACCCCGTGGCCGCCGATACATAGAATGTACGGGACAGAGCGCCGTTGTAAGCCAGGAGTATAGAAGGTAAAATATTTTGCGGGATTAACTGTCGAAACCGAGTTGCCCCGCCCTCGAGGATCATCTTGGGATCCACCGAATGCACTTGCGCCTTGTTCAAATTCGATATGAGTTGGCTCTGGAAAATACTCTGCGCAACCGACAAAAATACTGCACCTCCAAGGCTCTGAGAAAACATCATTATCGCCGTACCGACCGACACGTCGGCCACTGGTAGTGAAGCCTGAACTGCAACCATTATCTGTTGCAAGCCACAGCCGACACCCAATGCAAAGAGCACCTGGTACCCAATCCAATGAGCAGCACTGCTGTGGATTTGGAAGGTAGAAGCCATACCCGCGCCAACGCCCATTAAGATGGATGACAATAACATGAACGGAGTGTAGTAACCAATGAATGTGACCGCTATCCCAACAGCCAGCGCCGTGGTAACTAACGTCAGAATCATCGGAAGGTTCATGATACCTGATTTGACAGCCGATGCGCCCTTAATAGCCTGCAACCATATAGGGATCTAAAAATTGGGTCAGTGGCTGTGCTGCACAGTTTGGGGAACAAATTTACATAGAAAACCATCACGTAAAAAGCCCCACCCAGAAACGCACCAAACAGAGCACAACCCCAGACATTGCGATTCTTGAATATCCGTGGCGGAATAGTAGCCTCCTCTTGCCTCCAAACCTCCACACAAAGGAAGCCAATCATCAGTAAACCAGAGATGATGAATAGGGCAATGATCCGGCTACTATTCCACGCATACTCGGAGCCACCCCATTCCAATGCTAGCAGAAGGCAGACGATTCCCGGCACGAAGAGACTCATTCCTTCTATGTCGAACATCCGAAGCCTCTCCAGGAATGGCAAATGTCGTATTGTCTGCCCACCAGAGGGCTTAAAAAAGAAGACAATAAAGGTTGCCGTTACCAACCCAAATGGTAAGTTGATATAGAAGCATAAGCGCCAAGTCACATGGTCAGTGAATATGCCACCCATTCTTCATCTGTGGGTTAGCAAGGTTTCGATTAGTTGTCCGTAATAGGTCACTTACAGAGGCCCAGCGACAGAGGCAATACCATACACTGCTCCAATCACCCCCATGTACGCTGGCCTTCGTTGAAGGGGTACTGTCTCTCCAACAATTAGAATGGCCCCAGAGAAAAGACCGGCCGAACCTATTCCGGCAATTGCTCGGCCGATAATCAGGCCCACTGAGGTTGGTGCAACTCCGCAGACAAATGAACCGAGTTCAAAAATGAAAAGCGCACCGAGGTAGGTCCGCTTAATCGAGTAAAAGGTGTATAACTTGCCAAATGTCAGCTGCAGCGAGCAGGTAGTCAGCAGGTATGCAGACCCATACCAACTAACATCATTCAACGCGTGGAAATGGTCGGTGATTTGCGGAATAGCAGTTGCAATGATTGTGTTATCCTGTCAATTCACATAATCAGCCCATAATTTCATGACCCGGATTAATATTGTTGAATACCAAAGCCATGCAAAATACAGACAATGCAAGTCCTAGTGTAATGAGGGCCAATCGCCATTCCCTTGGGTATTCTTTCTCTCCATTTCCGTCCCGTGGTCCTTGATTTGCCACTATCTCGGCTTGGTCGAAGGCCGAGTGGATTGTACAGCCGTTTCGCGAATCCATGAAGATCGACCTCGCAAAGGCGACTGGGTAACTCTTCGCGACGTCTGTTTGTTTTAAATTTTCCTGTTAGTAACGAACGATGTTTTTCCAAGGCTCAGCAGCTTGCAGTGAAGATTATTCAAAGCGCCCATGTCGGTACAGCTTCCATGAGTGATATGATATACGCTCAACAACCCAACATGACTTAAAAAACAAAGCGGAAAGATGCAGTGTCACAGAATGGAAGGTGGAGAAGAAGATGTAAACGTACAGTACATGCGCCAAGGGCGATCGTGTGACGTTTCACAGCCTTGACTAGTTTTACCCGCATGATCTTCAGGCTCTCGGATCGTTGGGCACTCCATGCAACAGGGCTGTGTCTTTCTACTAGATATTATCAATGAAAATTAATTAATGTAATTTAAGTCTATATATTGCATCTATATGTTACTGTAAGTTGCTAACGGTAGATAAATATCCCAAATCCTGCAGTAGAATTTGCCTAGTCGCTCATCCAAGCCTCGGGTTTGAGGCAAGTCAGCCTGCGTGAACTTGCTTTTTTCAATGGTTGTCTGTCCGGATTCCAGTCCAATATTAACGCAGCGTACTACGATCCTTCAAAGTTTGGGACCACTAGTCGGTACACGAAGAACAGGTGAATTTTGGATTCAACCAGTAGAATATCTCACCCATTCTAAGTGGCATCCCATTAATAGCAAACCCACGAGTGTAAGTGATCGTAGTTCAGGGAATACCGTGGAGAGGAGAGATGAGCGTTTTTGAGCGGCGATCAGTGAAGCAGATCAACTCAGCTCAGCTGCCTTATATCTTGATGCCATCTTGATTGGTAGGTCATTTCGTAGATCTGTATGAACTGTAATGCATACCGTTCATTACTCCTTGGTAAACTTTGGCCCTCGCCAAAATATATGATAGTTTGATCATACGAAGCTCAATCCTTCGGTTATATACCTGATATCATGGGCACTCCGGTTTTTAAAACTCCATATTTTCCCTCTCCTCTGTCTGAGACCCTGCTAGCCTTCTTCATAATGACCTTGCTGATCGAACTACTTGATATTATTCTGTGTGTGAAAGGGCTGTGGATTTCTCTTTTTCTATTGTTTGTCTATATCATTTGGGACGACCTAGTGGACGACATTCCATATACCCAATTCCCCTTAGCGGGGAAGAGCCGGTGGGATATATTTAACCTGAAAGCCAAGTCACGGTTTATCCTTTCGCCGCGGGCTCTTCTCCTTGAAGGCTTTTCCCAGGCATGAAGAAAGATCATCAATTTAAATTCACAGATCTGGACACTAATGACTATTTATAGAGCACGAATGCTTTCCAAGTTATGGACGGAGCAACGCCGTTGATTGTCCTACACCCGAAGTACATTGATGAGATCAAAAACAATCCACATTTAAATCTCGAAGCGGCCACCAGAAAGGCAAGTCAAATACCAAATCGGGGACTCGGATATCGTCGCTGATGGTTACCAGAAATTCTTCGATGGCCGATTCCCTGGATTCCAACCGTTTCATGGACCGGGGACATTTGAAGTCATCATTGATGTAGTTCGGAAGAGGCTTACCCAGGCGCTTGGTATGTAGCCAGTCTTAACATTGTGAGAGAGTCTTTTGACATTTTAGGGGGTTTGACAATTCCACTTTCGAAGGAGGCAGCTGAAGCCGTAAATATCACACTCCCACCGTCACGAGGTATAGTGCTCATGAGATCTCCGACCTGAGTCCCATGCTGATTAATAGTGTGCAACATGCTAGACTGGGAGCCACATAACTTTTTTCGCGGAGCCCCGTTTATGATCGCGCGGCTTTCATCTCTGGTCTTTCTGGGGGAGAATAGTTGTCGAGATGTAGAATGGCTCAATATTTCGGTCAACTATACAATCGACGCTTTCCAGGCCACTCGTGAACTTCGACTTTGCCCATCCATCTTCCGTCCTTTGATACACTGGATCCTACCATCCACACGGAAGCTTCGCAAGCATTTACACGCTGCGCGTGAAATTGTCAGTAAAGAAATAGAGAAGCGGGCAGCGAGTCGCCAGCTTCAAGCACATGAGTCGCCCGACGCACTGAACTGGCTACACGAGGCTTCCGAGTCTTTTAATTTGGGGTTCGATCAATCCTACGGACAAATTGGCCTGTCGCTAGTGGCCATCCATACAACCTCCAGCCTGCTTACCAATGTCATCTACGATCTAGCAGCATACCCGGAGTATGTTCAACCCCTACGTGACGAAATCGAAGAGGTGCTCGCCGAGGACGACGGTTTAAAAAAGACCAGCCTCTTCAAGCTACGTTTAATGGATAGTGTGATGAAGGAATCACAACGCATCAATCCACTTGCATTGGGTAAGTCAAAAGCCACCATTGTTAGGCCCATGCTAAGCTGTTTATGGCCGCCCATCAGCTTTCTTAAACCGCATCGCCGAAAGACAAGTCTCCCTATCCGACGGCACTGTGATCCCCAAGGGCGCAACTATTGTAGTTTCTGCGCACACCTTCATGGATGAAGCCGTTTACCCTAATGCAAGTCATTTCGACGGCTATCGATTCTATAATAAGCGCCTGGAACCCGGGAGTCAGCACAGCTATCAACTTGTAACAACGAGCAGTCAGCATTTTGCCTTCGGCCACGGAGTGCACACATGTCCGGGCCGCTTCTTCGCAGTCAATGAGTCCAAAATACTCCTCATCCATCTTCTATTAAAATACGATTGGAAGTTCAAGGGGGAACGCAAGCGGCCAAAAAACATAGAATTTGGTATCGAATCTATCCCCGACCCAAGCATTGAGCTGCTTTTCCGATCTCGTGAGCCAGAGATCGATTTGACGGCATTAGGCGAGTAAATAGATAGTGGCACCTGAGAATATTAGGAGAATTTCCGGTTGGACAATCAGTGTTAGTGCTGAGGCTAGGGAAGGCCTTCATGGAATAGCAAGGCTCCCTTATCAAGGGCTGGAGTGAGAGACTCGAGACGTGAAACTCAAATTCAATCTGATTGGGCCACTAACTGTGTCCAAAAGGCTTGAAAGAGAAATAATAAGCCAAGCAAAACACAAATGTCTGAATGCAAGGTGAGAGGAGTAATAACAAGGTAGCTAGACCGTCTACGCGCATACAGTATGCTAAGTAGTATATGTCTATTAAGTCGTTATAAGAGATATATAGCATAAGATATAAAGTAGAGAGACAGGATTTAAGCTTATATATAGTGCTTAAAGAATTCAACTATCAAATATTATATATGGGGATACGCTATAGTAGTCTAGTCAGAATAGATACGGAGTAGATCGAGGTATAAAAGAGATATGGCCGGTGACGAGAAGGCATTAGTAATAGTGTGTCAGTTAACAGTGAAGCCGCAGAGGACTTTGAAGATGTGAGGCATGCTCCGGTTTACGTTGTTTGCATTCTTGGCAGGAGTAGTTGGTTGTTGTCAAGTGATTCAGCCAATTAGAACAGGTTGTTTCCTACTTGGCAGCCTCTTCAGTGTATCAAAGCCAACTGCAAAAAATGAAACCATCAAGAGAATTGTTTAGAGTTGTTTGATGATCCCCTAAAATACTAATTCTAGTACATACGACCATAGGGTGTGGAGAACAGGGCTTCCCGTCCGCTCAGCCGTACTTAAGCCACACGCCGGCCAGTTAGTAGTATGGTGGGTGACCACATGCGAATCCTGGCTGTTGTATGTTTTTGTTCAGTATGTTTTCATTCACCCGTTTTTTATTATTCGCCGGGACGTTTCTCTTGCTACTTTACTTACTCTTCAGCCCCTTCAGGTCCTTCCACCTGAACGCGCTGAAGGCAGTTTGGTAAGCTCGGGCTATTTGGTATGGTATCCGTATAGTAACTCGTAGTACCCATTATTCCAGGTTACACCACCTGCGGACAGCTCAGCCTGCTTCGCCCACAAAAGTTATATCTAAGATTGTCTCTTTCAATTAATCAACTCATTTTATCCAATCAGATGATTCCGGTAGCCCTTCCCGTCTAATATGCACCGCTCGTCCCAAAGTAGCAGAACCTGAGAGTTATGAGCCCAAATTACATAAGGGTTTATTATCTAACTCACCGATCTGCTTCCTACTTACGCGCGATTCAGCGCCTTCTAGCGTCGGAAATCCACCATCTCTAGGGCCGGCCAGCCGCAGGGATTACCTCTCAGAGACGCTTCTGATGACTCGACCCAATTGACCTCGACTACTCGGTCGTTTGGTTATGAGTCCTCCCGTTTACACCTGCATAGATTGCTCTGCAGGTTTGATGGCTCTTTCCAGGACCGACGCTGTTCTTTGTCTTACAGACCTATTTAGGTCTCTCTCTTCTTCTTTTCCTTCTTCTTCTCTAGATCATCTTCATCATAGTCTAGATAGAGACATTGACTCAGATTCCCCTTCTTTTCTGCTTCCTTTGCGCAGGTGTCGATGACACCATCAGCTTCCCATGTCCGATTTTGCTTATATCATAGAAAAAACATGAGTACTGACGAGTAAAGGCTACGGTTTTATAAGTCAGATACTGGACTTATCCTTCGGGAGAAAGCCTACGAGAGACGATAGATCGGGTAAATATATCCGGTTGTACAAGGTCGGAGTAAAGGTCTAGGAGTTTTTTTCATTGGACGCCGTGGCATTCATTTCAAACCCATATATACTTCGTGATCTCCTGCATGCTGCTAGCAAGTTCACGCGCAGTTTGCGGGGTCGTGTTGTCGGTGAGTTGCTTGAGCTCACCAGAGATACCGGTTGACGACCCTGGTAGGTACCAAGAGGTGATGCGTCGCAGGTGTTTCGGCGCCAGGTTGGTCAACCTGAGATGCGCACTTTTGGCTGACAAGCCCGGATCGTGGATTAATTTAGGATCTCTTACCGAGCTATCTCGTCCAGTGCTACTTAACGGCGCTGCAGGGCATAGAGCTAACACTATATTGAAATATAGAGGTCTATTCAAGAACATACCATTACTTGAAAACTTCAAATCTGACTGTCTTGTAAAATCACTCCTTGGATCCAGAGTGTTGAGTCTTAGAAATCCACGCCCCATGGTTTCTTGCCTGTATCTACCAGATAGGCCGCCGCTTCCACCCCGAGAATAATACTATAAATAAAGAGCGAATGTCTCAAACGTCGTTCTGTGCATCACATCTTAAATGGAGAGGTAGTTCGCGCAGCGAGAAATTCCAAGCTGCTCAACCAGGAATTCGTTGACAAACTGGCACTTGGGATCCTGGCGCTGTTGGATAGCCAAGAACTCGGGCAGCTTCGGGAATTTCTCCAGAGCGTAGGTAGCATTTGCAGGGTTCATCTTGTTCCAGTGGGGCCGAACGTTGTATTTTTCACCAAACATAGAAAGGAATTCGTAGCCTAACTCCTGGTTCTGCCAAAGAGTTGTAAAGTTGTTGTAGGTTTGGATCCAGTCAATCTCGATGATTGCAAAAACACCACTGAGGTCAGGGCTAAGATTGTAGGTATTGACAGGGGACATGTAAGCATCATCACCCTTGAGAGAACGGTGTTGAATTACCATCATGTTGTTATAGGGAGCCTTCATTCGGGGAGTTTGGGATTGTTGATAAGTAATATAATCTGCGGTAGCTTCGGCGTAGTACTCGATTGGAAGAAAGTGCTCGATCTCAGCATAGAACTCTCGGTCGCAGACGCCTTGGGGAGGACATGACGCGGCGTCAATGGCTTCGTCGTAGCAGACGTACTCCTTCTTGCAGTCACCACAACCATTGGCACAGTAGTTGAGAGTGCAGTTGCGAACGCCAGTATAGTTTGTCGGCTCCCAATAGGAGTAGAAGTAAGTAGGTTCAAGGTCCCAGTCCTGAAGGGCCTCGTTCCAGTCGAAGTGAGGACCCCAAACAGTCACGCGGTCGTGGTCGTTGTACAGCTGAGCAAGCTGTTTACCCATCAGCGTGTAGTCGGAGGTAGCATTCATAACCTTGGTGGTCTTCTTCAGGAGGAGTGTAGGTTGGACCTTAATAGTCATCTCTGTGATGAGACCGAGGGCACCAAGGCTGATACGGAAAGCCTTCAGTTCTTCTGGGTTGCTCGTCTCGTTGAGAATACGGAGGTTGCCCTGCGCGTCCAAAACACGGAGTCCAATAATCTGACTGGCGATATTACCAATGATGGAACCAGAGCCGTGGGTACCGGTGGAAGCTGCACCCACGAAATTCTGAACACGCTCAACACCGAGGTTCGCAAAAGACAAATTGTTGGCCTTGAGCTCTTCGGTGAGGTCATAAACATCCCAGCCAGCACCGAAAGTGACAGTCATATTCTTTTTATCGATGTTGAGTCCCTTCAAATTGGTCATGGACACGATGTAAGAGGGCTTCTCAGTAAGAGAATTGTCTACACAGGTGGTGAGGTTACCGAATCCATGACCATTTCCAACAACTTTGATGTGGGATCCCTTGGGATACTGATTCTTAAGGAAGTTGGCAACGGCAGCCTCGTTGTGGGGGGCAATGTAAGCGTCAGACTCGCAAGTAACCTCATATTGCCAGTTAAACCAGCGGTAGGAGGAGCCAAAAGCTGCGTGCAGCAGCACCAACAGCAGAGCCAGCTTCGGGCTAACCATTTCGGAAACTATGTAAGATGAAAATTCAGCACACCATTTGACACGAGAAGCCGGATGGGAATCTCACTAGATTTCTCGACAGAGTTACCTTCTCCTTAGGAATGTCTGACAAGAGGAACCCTCACAGGAGTAAACTTTGAAGGAGCTTTGTTCTTACTGAAAGATCAAGTTCGGAAGGAGATCGAAGAGCAAAGGTAGGGATATATATTCTCAAATTTCCCACCCTTCAGACATTTCAGGAATGTCATTAACCAATGGATTCTCGTTACAATAACACGCCTAAATATACGACATTCTCCTCGTGGGTTTCCATGCCGAATTGTGCTCAACCCTCGTATAATTCGGCATCCCAAACATGATTTCTACTAATCTTCGGGACACACTGAGCGAATAGGTTGACCGGATTGATAATTTGGACTGATCCAGCCGTCTCACTGAGTGTTTATTCAGAATAGAAATGGCCGTATCTTGAGCGATAGCCGTCCGTCGGTGTGTTCTTTTGTCCATCACGATGATCTCAATTCATGAAAGATTGACTTTACTTGGCAAATACGACTGGGTTCACCCAAAGCCACCCCTGGTGAAATTGGGACTTGTGACCTTCCACTTTTGGCAATATGCCGAACACAGTTTATGGCCCAAGAGACATATTGCACATCCACTTTCAGTTCTCACGTCAACCCGATCCTCCGTCCCGCCACGCATCGGCTTAGCAGTTTAACAGAATTCTACGAAAGTTTAAAACATCTTAATACCATTGCTCCAGTCACTCCACCCTTTGATCTGACGCACCTTGATTGCATCAATTGAATTGGCCTCGATGGGGGAGCTGGGTCAAAAAAAATGCAAGCAATAGCAGATCCTTGGCAAGTTACCAGTCCGAGAGGCCTTTGGGGTGGGCAAACACAAACTTGATATATCGCTTATGTTATAGATGAAAATATGATGATATAGGATGAGCCGTGCAGAAAGAGTAATTTTATTAAAATTCGGTGTTCGGTGCCGAATTGCACTCAACCCTCGTATAACTCGGCATCCCGAACATGATTTCTACTAATCTTCGGGACACACTGAGCGAATAGGTTGACCGGATTGATAATTTGGACCGATCCAGCCTATATCACTGATTGCTTATCTGGAATACTCACCGCACATGGCCAAGTGGCAAAGCCAGGATTTAGAACGCGCTCAGACCTGAACTTTTATCACATATCGGCAGGGGGTAATGTAAACGGGAACCAGCCATTAACCCACGAGGGAATTTGACCCACTACGGCCCGCAGTTTAGCAATCCCTCCTGCCCCCATCTGGGAATTTATACTTCAAGCTGCATGCTTTGATAAAGTTAGCAAATAGCAGAGATGACTAATTAATTTCTTCAGCTTAAGAGACAAGGGGTCCGAATATAGTTTTCCCACCACGAAATCGGTTGACTTCAGACGCCCTGTCGCCCGTTATTTTCCAAGACCAAAGTCCCGGTGAGGAAAGTGGCAACTTGGTTTTCTTCCTGGCTGGGTGCCAAGGTGCATTGGACTTTGTCGATCAGTCTAGGTCCTGAAGATTACATCTGTTGATGGTACATACATTGATAGTTACTCTGGTCATTACGCTCATCACTCTTGGGTAGCCCACAACTTCGTTATCCATGGCGAATCAAGCCGCTAACCTACCATCCTTCACGCGCAGCCTTTATTTAGGAGTTTCGTACACAGCCGTCAAGATCCCACGTGTACCGCCTCTGCTAGGAGGGACATTGGTATGAAAATAATGGCGTGATAATATCCCGGAAACTTCTTGGCTTAACGCTATCTGATAATCTTCTGAAATGTAGGCAGAAACCCGTATATTCATAGTCAGTCACGGAGGAAAGTATATATATTACAGGCATCCGATGGGTCGACAGGAATTTTTTCAGCTCGGCAACCATTATTTTAATTTCCTTCCATTTCATCTCTCCTCTGATCTCTTGTTGAGATTGTCCTTCGAGATGAAGTTCGTCGTCCTCACCTCCACCCTCGCCTCCATAGCTGTGGCCCAGGCTTACACCGCCGCCGAGTAGCTTAATGTCCAGGCTAGCCTACTCTCCGACACCAAGATAGTTGCTGGAAGAACCGTTGACTATATCATCGCTAGAGGTGATCTAACTGGTCTTACCGTTGCCGCTAAACTGACCGAGAACCCGAACATTAACGTTCTCGTTATCGAGAAGGGATTTTACGAGTTAAATAATAGGCTAATTATCGAGAACCGTAACGACTACGGACTGATTTTCGGTAGCTAGGTGGACTAGAACTACTTCACTGTTCCTTAGGTTATTAATAACCGTACCCTAGATATTATGGCTAGAAAGGGCCTTAGTGGTTCTACCTTAGTTAACGGTAACTCTTAGACTCGTCCGGATAAGGTCTAGATTGATTCCTAGGAGACCGTCTTTAGTAACCCTAGTTAGAACTAGGATAACCTATATAATTATACAAAGAAGGCTAAGCTCGCCCACTACCCTACTCTAGCCGAGATTACTACCGGTTACTCCTTTAACGCTTCCTACTACGGGTTTAACGGAAACGTCTACGCTAGGCCCTATAATAACGGCCGTGTTACGGACCTCAAGAGGCGCGGGGGCCGCAGTTATTTGAGGACAACGGAGGGCTAATCATCCCACGGACGCTAAGGATTAGCGTTGTCACGTGCGTTTCGGTATACTTAGGCGAGCCCCGGCAGGGCCCTAAGGCAGACACTCTAGGCGGAAGCCAGAAACGGCCTACGGCTAACCGTCACAACTAATACCCGCTTACTCCATGAGACGGTTAGCGCGACGCAGGAAACGGCCACCATTTTACTAACACCCAGATTACACCACAAGTGCAAGGACCCGGTAAAACCACACGTGACGCCAAGGATATACTCCCAGCGTGACTCCAAGGAGTAGGCGATGGGGTATACGGTGACTCTAGATCTACTCCTAGGGAGTAGGTCGGGAGTAGAAAGGGCTAGATATATAAGGACACTCATTTCGCATTATGTATTTAGTTCCTCGCGATCAATCATTCAAGTTACTAGGGTAGCACCTTTTATACATTGTTACTTGGTTACTACCTTTAGTACTTTGCACTTCACAGTTCACCTTCAAGACAACCCAACCTACAAGTAGGGGATTCACTCAGTGGTAACACTTAGTGATTGACTTACTTGGCGCGCACTTCTGGCACGTTCTGCAAGATACTCAACAGGATCCATCCCGCAGTAAGGCCTCGCGAGGCAACGGTACGATTGAGAGATACTCTTGGAATCCGAAGTCAGGATTTAGGCAAGTATAACCCGTCGAGCAACCTAACTTCACAGTGACCAGTCGGCTACGCGTAACAGGCCGGCCTTACTCTATCCTTATAAAGGCCCTTATTAATACTACCGTAGCCATATATATTCCTCCCGAGGTTAACTTTCTCTACGGTTATCCACGCGGCGTCTCTATGATCTATAATAATTTATTACCCGACTAGTGTTATGATATCCTGATATTGAGGTTATTCGCAGACTAATGCCCCAGGCCGCACGAGGCCCGGGCGTTCTGCCAAGAGGGTGCCGACCCGGCGGTCAGTCGACAGCTCCTCGGTGGCGTATCTAAAGGGCTACCCTGTCGGTAGGCCACGTTGGCTGGTTACACAACCTTTCAGCTCATGCACGCTCATACCGTGGTTACCCCTCTTCTAGTTCCCTGTTTTGTATGAGAGACTGTATATGAAATTTGGGACCTTGAGGAGTAGGTTCAGACTCCTCAAGAAACAGTCTTGCCACGAATTTCACTAGGTGCTTCCAACCTTACCTGATCAACAGGTTTTCTACCCTGCAAGTAGTTATCTTTACAACTAGACCCGTGCCGATACTATACGCGAGTAGCTTCTTCTAAACTAATAGCGACCTTACGTTCTTATAGGCTAGATCGTTAGAAAGGTCCTTTTAACTAGACTATAGCCGGTCTAAAGGTTATTAGTGTTAACTTTAGTATAAATAAGGCCGTTAACTTTAATATCTATACTAAGCACGAGGTCCTCTTAGCCGCTAGCTCTATCGTCTCTCCGTTGATCCTCGAGTACTCTAGTATTAGTATTAAGTGTCGGACTCTAGGCGGTGACCATAAAGTCGTGGTTATACACACAAGAAGATAGTGTGCATAAAGGTGGGTAAATACTCAATGTAGTGTCTAAATACACGGTTATGAGTCTATCGGTCGTGCGCACTTCTATGAAGGAGAAGTACCACGATTATGGAAGAGTACCGCCGATCTAGAAGAGAGATCAAAAGGGATGATAAACTTGATTCAATTTAGCTAGGAAACAGGGCGGTATTTATATCATAGAAACATGGCAAAAGATCACATGAAATAGTAAGAAAGTGGAGTGTTGAATAGTCTCCTGCCTAGGTAGGCAATTCAATGCGAGTATGCAATTCAATGCAAGATCGTTAAGGATCAATTCGATAGATCTTATAGAGAGATGATCTAGATGTAGAGAGGGGTTACATGAGTGGGTCCTTCGTCATGTGACCCCATAAAATCCACATGTTGGCATTAAGTCTATCCTTAAGTAGTTTAATATTACCTAGCTCGTTAAGCTCCCCGCCCTCTTAATATATAGGACTAGATAACTACTACTATCTGTGCCTATACGAAGGCCTTAGCCGCTAGTTAAGGTTAGGCAGTATACTTCGCTAACTTTACTAAGGTGACTATACCCCTATTACTATCAAGTTACTAAATAGTAAGCTTAATTAGTAGGCTAATAAGACCATTACCCGCGGTAGTTTCTATAGTATCACTACTCTTAAGATTTAGTATAAGAACTACCGTAACTAGCTCCTTAATAAGGATATTACTTATACCGAGTTCTTTATAGACACAAACGGTAAGATTAATTTTAACTTATAGGATCTTATTCCGTTCACCCGCGGCTCCGTCTATATTACTAACGCTGATCCCTATCTCTAGTTATTTAATAACGATCCCTAGTTCTTACTAAACGAGCTTAACCTTCTTAGTTAGGCCGCTACCGTAATACTTACTCGTAAGCTCCAGAATAGCGGCGAAATATCGAACTACTTTAATAGCGAGGACATCCCCGGTACCGACCTCCTACCCTATAACGCTACCCTCGATAGCTAGGTTAACTACGTCAAGCAGAACTACCGTGCTAACTGGCACGCTATCTCCACATGTTCTATGGTATCTAAGGAGCTTGGTGGTGTTATTGACCCTACCGCTAAGGTCTCCGGTACCTTAGGGCTTCGTGTTATCGACGGGTCTGTTTCGCCTACCCAGGTGTCTTCCCATGTCATGACTATTTGCTATGGCCTTGAAGATTGCAGATGCAATCCTGGCTGACTATAAGTCCTAAGAGGTGCCTTTCAATGACAACATCTGGTGCTATACCTTCTTGTGTTACATAACTACTTTTATAATTTCCCCGATTCTCAATCGCTAGTGTCTTGTCTCTCGCTTTCCACTTTTTGATTCTGCAATCAATTCATCAAGTAAATCTTTACTAATTAGTTCCCTTAGCAAGACTTCTCCACCCAAATCCGTACAATTCAAACCTGTTTTTAGCTTGCTCTCACCGTAGGAGTATGTACACTGGCCGTGAGAAGCCTTAGTCTATTATCATCCTTTCACTCTGTCCCGACCTGTGTCACCTTAGTATAGTATGGCCTGGAGACTAGTAAAGGTGAAGGGTAGATTGATCTAATCTTTTTTCGCTTGACCATCACGGCGCACCCTATCAAAACCCTCATCGGCTTGGTGTTTGCGTATAGCCGGCTAAGGAAATAGAAATTCGCGGGCCCAGGAAAGGTTAACTCATAGTTTCCCTTTACTATAAATCATCATTTGTCAAGCCCTTCTTAAGTCGCCAAGTACAATCCTACAGATCAAAGCCTTGTCCCCAAGACCTCTTGATGAGCTATTAAGCATAAATCAAGATTTATGGGATTAGCGCCCTTCTTTCTCTGTCAGGCTGCCAATGGATTGAACTATTATATGAAGAATAAGCTAAGCTTCTGGTGTCTTGTATTAACTACATAAGTCTTCTATTATATAATTTAAAATGCACCTACATGTACGGAGTTGTAAGCAAACATGGATATCATCAGTTTGGAGTGTCCAGACTTCATAGAATTTTAAGTATATATATATTACTTCATAGCTAAATGGTCACGTACTTCAAATCCATTTGTGAGTGGAAGATACTGGCAACTTCTTCCTACTTAATTTCCTATCCCAGTTCTTGCCATCCGACCCGAGTGATGCTCACTCTACGGACTTGGTGGTGGAGAGTCTATGGACTTACTGCCTTGTGGAATGTGGCGCTGGCGCATAGTTCGTCCACTACCACTTCATCCTCGCATCAGTATACTGTCCCTACGTCAGCAACATGGGCTCTCGCTAGATCCTAAATATTCAAGATCTATAAGCTACTGATGCTCATACAGTCTGCCCTGGATATCGAGCAACTGACGTCAAGCAAACTGAATTCGGGTTGATCGCGTTCCTGTCCCTTGCTGGTAAGCCGTGCAGTGTGTATAGAACTGATATTGTGGCCTTCAACCTCACAGTGGAATACCAGGCCGCCGACCGATAGCATCTCGAGATCGTTCCATCCTATCAAGAAAAAGGGTTGGCCAAGAAAGAGCTGTTCCCTACCGTGAAATGGCCTGAATTGATCCACCTGGAGTCAGATGGGCGTCTGAATTCACCCGAATTGGTCAAAATTAACGACCTGGATTGACCGCTTGAATTGATCACTGGGAAAAGAGAGATTCCTAATTGAGAAAAGGTTAGGTCCTTCATGTTCGTATTAATTAAGTTACGATCTACAGAAACACATCCTTGAAAATCTCCCGCATATCTCCGAAGAGCATATTGTCCCCTAGTAGCGGGCGCACGTGGGACGCAGAAACCAAAAAGATCAAGGTAAAAACCAGGCGAAATTGAGGCGAAACTTGACGAGACCAACATCACTTCTCCAAATTTGCTTTCCACGGTACCAATAAAGCTCTCCGCGTTTGTAAAGTTCAAAAAAATGGATGAAGGTCGACGCACTGACACTATTCGCCAATGCTAGATAATTAATTCTCAAGGACGCACTCGGTGTGTTCGGACAGTCTATAAATATGTTCGATATCCCGGCCCAAATGCCCAATATTTGTCAAGGGATAACTGAAAATCCGCTCGGATTGTTGACAGTCACTTATAACTTTATTTTCCTCGGCTAATTCTCATAGTCCGCCTCCGATTAATGTGCGCCCCGCGTAACTGGGGGAATGCTCTTGGAGTACTCTCTGCGTTATGTGCTATTCCGCAGGCGCAGAGTGCCACTTTTTCAGCAACCTCTTACTCTTCGGCTCAGTTTACTATGCCTGCATGAGCAAACGACGCCGCCCCATCCGTGATCCCTAACATCAAGGACCCACACGCAGTGGATGCGCAGACAGTTTGCCCAGGATACATCGCTTCCAACGTCGAACAGACAAATTCTGGGTTTAAAGCCTCTCTTGCCCTTGCCGGCCCGGGATGCAATGTCTACGGTACAGATATCGAGGCTTTAAATCTCACTGTCGAATATCAGAATACACACCGATTGCATGTTGCCATCGTGCCCGCATATATTGCCGCAGAGAATGCAACCCGGTATATTATAACTGAAAGTGTACTGACCAGGCCGGGGATTGAGTAAGCTGACGTGATCTCAGACCTGGAGTTTTCCTGGACCAATGAGCCGAGTTTCGGATTTGACGTGACCAGGAAGTCAAACAAGGATGTTCTTTTCTCTACTAAGGGAACAGACCTCGTCTTTGAGAACCAGTTTGTTGAGTTCAAGAGTTCCCTACCCGAGAACTACAATCTTTATGGCCTGGGCGAGTCGATTCATGCATTCAGACTCGGAAACAACTACACCAAGACCTACTATGCGGCTGATGCTGGTGCTACTGTTGATATGTATGTGAAATATCCTATGATGTCCCCGAATCTTGCTAATACATATACAGCAACGTTTACGGCACACATCTCTTTTTCCTGGAGACCCGTTACTTTACGCCAGATGCTAACGGCAATCTCTCGCTGGTCACATCCAATGAGGCTGCTGAGGCTGCCCCCAATGCAAACTGTACATCTTTCTCTCACGGAGTGTACTCTCGCAACGCCCATGGACAGGATATCCTCATGCAGGAAGACAGCATCACTTACCGTGCTATTGGTGGCAGTATTGATCCCTACTTCTTCCCAGGCCCCAGTCAACCAGAGGTGACCAAGTCATACCTGAGGGCTGTTGGTCAAGGAGGCCGAGTCATCAGATTCTCTTGTGCGTGAATCCTGGTCCCGAGTGTTGACTTCTGTACCATGATGATCGAGGATGCTCTTCACAGTATGGTGTGCACCGTGTCTGGCTCTTCAATTAAGAGCGGTAGAAATACAGATTGAAAGAAATGATTTAAACAAGCCAAAACAAGCATGTGTGCTGGCTGTCGGCTGTTGCCGATCTTTAACAGAAGCTCGGTGGGAAGGTCAAGAAGAGGCAACTGATATAATGATTGATTATTGAAATGTTTAATACAGATTCAGACGGCTCAACTTTTACTTGGTGGATACCAGTTTGAAATATATCAGGTCTACTGTGGACAAAAGGAGATGAAAGAAGGTGGTTTAAATATTTCTCAAGCCATGGTTAAGGCTGGCATCCCGCTCATCCACTTTATTTGCACCTCCATACTGTAATCCGGACAGGAGTATCCTAGAGCGCGGAAGCTTTTCGAGGAGCAGAGCCTCGCTGTCTTGCAAATTCAACTTAAAAAAATCGCTTGTAATACTAAGTGATGCCGATGGATCCGGAGATCTTGGAGACTGGCTCACCAATTCCCAGTACTTCAAGAACCGTCCCCAGATTGAACCTTCCTTGAATATCTTCAATTGCCTAATCGTGGGAAGGGCACAGGCATGAGAAGCATAACCATTTAACCGTGCGGGGGCAGCAATTGATAATTCACCACAGAATAAAGATAGTAATATTTTGGTGGGTGGCTAGGTCAATCGGGGATTAGGTTATTGATCGTTAGGCCAGAGGGACGAGGTGTGAAGGGAGGCTGAATGGTGGAGACCGCTGCTGGAAGCTCCCAGCGTGTACTTATAATTCATCCATTGTCGCTCTCCATTTCAGCTGTTCGCGAAATCTTTCCCTAGGTCAAAATACGCAAAAGCGCCTTTTGCCAGCCTGGCCTACGCCCTAGCCGGTTTTCGGGTGAAGATTATTCAGGAAGGTGAACTGCCGCCTGAAGCCGCCTCGGGACACCTAGATAGCGCGGCGACTCGCCCAGCGCCAAACGATGGGCGCTAGGTGAGGACGGCCATACTTCCAGCTGTTGTATGTTTTGCGTTTTTTAGTTCAGATAGAAATTTATTCGTTGGGTTAGATGTTTTTGCCGCTTTACACTTCAGTCCCATCAGGCCGCTCACCTAAACACCCACAAAACCCCTCTATTCTTCACCCGAATAATCCCCTGAAGCAAGTGCCCGCGAACGCCGAGAAGAGGGAATTGAAACGTTGGCTGGGACCCAGAAGCCGGTTTTGGATCTTGGATCATGCTCCTTAAATTTTGATAAATGTAAGTTCCTCTGTTGGAGGAGCATGCTCCATAGGCCATGAGCCTCCTGCCAACATTGGTCCTGCGAAAAACAACAAACATTTAGGACGGAATCCCAATTTAAGTGATCACGTGAACCCCAACTCGTAATTTCAAACGGGTTATCCAGATAAGATCCTGGTTTTTCTCTATGGGAATTATTGTCAAATAACGATATTTACGTCCAAGATCATACCATATAGATCCTCGGCCGGCCGGCTGAAATTTAAAAGCAGAGGCCCGAGCAACCTAAGTCCTCCAGCAAGCCTCCGCGCTTAGCACCATGCTAGGACACGATCTGACGGTGGGTGTAGCTATTGGGTTGTCTTTTTTTTAGCTTGATGGTAGTCTCATCGTTTCTCACTGTCTTTTTTTTTATTTTCAATGGCAAATTTTTGATGACCGTAGGTGGAGCGTTTTAGTCTAAATAGACGAAAGTGAAACTGATTATTACGGCGAATCGAGATGAGAATAGATGTCTGTATTCGGTGCTACTAACAAATGAATCAAGTTTGGAGAAAAAGAGGAGAGAAGGAGAAGATGTGGGGTGAGAAATAGGTCCTTTTTATATCCCTCCTGCCTCAAGCGAACTTCCCGTTCGGCAGCGAACCAGGCATCCAAAGCAAACATCTGCACTTACCATTTGCCTAATCCGTCCTGGGAGTAAACCGTCCTGGGAGCCGCTCGTTCGTCGTACTAATAATCTCCCACAGCCAGGCAATGATAACGTCACGGCCGTAGGGAAAGATTAGAATGCTAATAGTAACTTGTCTAGTAGTTTGTCAAATGTCGTACTAGCGCCATTCAACCGGCTATCACTGCCACCCATGACAATCCTCCAAAACTCTGTCTCAGTAAGGGTATCCATAGGCCTATACCAGGCCGCGATGAGCGGTGTTTCACCCGTCGAATCTGTGGCCTCGGCATCGGCGCCCTTCGCGAGAAGCTCCGTGAAGACGGCTGTCTGTCCGTTTCTGGCGGCGTGAATGAGCGGCGTTTGACCCCATTGATCTTTAGCCTCAATAGCGGCACCGTTTGCGAGAAGCTGCGTGAGGACGGCCTGGTGTCCACGGACTGCGGCGTGCATGAGGGGTGTTCTACCAAAATCATTTTGAATTTCGATAGCGGCTCCCTTCGCGAGAAGTTGCATGATGATCGCCGTATGTCCGTTCAACGCGGCGTAGGCCAAAGGCGTGGTATTCGAGACATCCTTCGTATCAATAGTGGCGTCGTACGTGAACAGTTTGATAAATCTGGGTTGTGGGACGTGATTGGCAAGTAGCTGAGTGACCACTGCCGTGTGCCCTTTCTGGGCGGCATAGCTAAGTGGTGTTCTACCGCAACTATCCTTCAGATCTGGTTTATGAATACCAAGCAGGACTCGAACGGCCTCCTCTATCCCGAAGTACGACGTTAGATGAAGTTCAGTCATTGTCGGAAACATTTGACTGTACGCCTTATTATTATACTGGCTTTTGCGAGTCATCAGTGCTTGGGTTGACGCCTTCACTTGCGCGTGTTTCTTGAGAAATTCAGAACGCAATCTGGCAAAGCGGGGGCCGCTTGAGCATGGTAGCCCCAGTTGCGCGCAGCGTAATCGTAGAATGGATGTGACTGTAAACGTTTGTCGAACTCATCATCATTTCGACAGGCCCCGTTCTCAAAAGCTGAAAACGATAGGTAGGTAATGCAGGTGTTTGCGATATCGGCCTCAGCGTTCGGGAGCCAATGATTCCGTGTTCGCTCCAGATATTCCTGTGTAATGTAGTGGGCAAGCCCGATGATATTGCTCGCTTCGTCAACAGTGACCATGCCCGCGCATACCGAAATTATCTTGTCAATCTTTTCAAAACTACCCTCATCAATCTTGATATCCTTAGGCTTCACAGCGAGAGCCTGCAGAAGTTCTACTGTGGTGAGAGCTCTTCGGGCGCACGTGATCCATGACAGAGCTTTTGCAGCACGCTGTTGAAAGCTGGGTACTTGCTGGTTGATCCTCTCCATCGCTCCGTTATATACTTTATACAGAACATCCCGCTTGCTGTCCATATTCAACTCCGGGCTCTGCCTCTGGAGCTCTTTCAGAACACTCCGGACAGCCGTTAGCGTAGCCTGGCCCTTAAGCAACTTGAGGTAAGGCTGGGCTAAAAGGAACCTAAGGGTAATAAGTAAGGCCCTTTCTCTGAGTCGTGATATAGTAACTCACATTCCGTCAACAGCATCCGAGATTGTTGTCTTAATCTCATCTCGTAATTGATCGTCCTAGTCATCGGAACCACGTATCTCGCTCATTTGGCCTTCTATGTATCTCTCTATATCCCCTTTTTCTGCATGGACTTCTCGCCATACGCAGTGATTGAAATTTGCAGTGACTTTTGGATCAAACCTAGAGGTCATAAAAAGGTTGACCCTACACTTTTCCTAGAACTTGAAGAGCTCGGAAAGGAATCCCTTCCGGCAGTCACTAGATACTTGCCATTCGTCAAGCGCGTCGACGATGATAAAAACCTTTGAATACAGAAAGGCTACAGACTGAAGATTCTTTGACAGTTCATCCACTGACGGACGAGTTTGCTTTCTCTTGAAGGTGTCGTGAAGAGACCCGACTCCGTGTGGTAGACTGGATTGACCTTTACATAGCTGCTTGAGCAGACTTGCAAGGTGATCTTCCGTCTTCTGTTCATGCTGGGGCCTAAAGCTGCAATAAATATATGCGATGCCGGTATTCCTGTTCCGAAATGACGTTTGGAGATGGTCGATCACGATAGATGTGAGAATTGTCTTTCCGGCACCGGGAATCCCCGGGCAGAATAGCGACTGTTTTGCGTTATCTCTCCATGTTTTGAATTCTCTCGAGCCAAGAAGCCATTCCCCTGTTCCTTCTTGTCGGCGATTAAAGAAATAGCATTGCTGGGAAGCATAATCAACCTCTGTGAGCCAACGAAGAATTGGCTGATCTTTCTCGCTCTGTGGGTGATCTTTAGGATATTAGCACACTCTATATAAAACTTATATAAAATATTTCAATTCAAATATCCGTGAAATTCATTCTTAAGCATATCGAGTGTTGCGTGGACCCCCTAAGGCGACTTCAACTCCTTAAGTCGAGCCTGCAACGGACCCTTGTCCACGGACACTTTTGCGTCTTGACCTATTAACTCACACTCCTCAAGTGCAGCATCATGCAGTTCTCTAATATAGTCTCGCACCAGCTTCAAATTATGCCGGCCCTTGTCGTCTAGACCAAATTTGCATACTTCACTATGGTTTCCCTCAAGCTGCACAAAGCTTTCAATTGTGCCCGGCAAGTTGAATCGTGAACTCTTTCTTGGGACAGTCTGGGGGTGCGTCAGTACATCGAACAATTCAATAAACCAACCGATTTCACTCACAGTATCCTTCGATCCCCAGAAGGAAACAATTTTGTACTCCAGCAGTTGGTGCTTCCAATGTTCTTGCATAAGATCTGAGAAGATGCTCCCGTTCTTCTGGAATCCGAGAGACCTGGCAATATTGCTTGCCAGCCCCCCACGGCTGAGCAACCTGGCGTCGCCACCGTCGTGCGGTGTGGCAAAGAATGCCAATCCCTTTGTTGCATCCTTGATCGGCGTATACTTCGGGTTATTGTGCGCATTAATCAACGCCTGCTTGATCAGCAGACCACCCATGCTGTAGCCGAGAAGCAAGATTGGCCGGGGTTCTGTGTTCACTCGCTCTACCCGGATCTCTTCGAGCAATCCATTGGCCTTGTCAACAAAGGTGCCCTGGTCCTTGCCAAAGACCACTGTCGAGTTGTATTCGAAAAGAAAGATGCGCGATTCGGGAAACGTTCGCGGAAGGTCATCACGGAGCCAGAGGCGACCCTTCGGTCCTTTAGGCGTGCGCCATGTATCCCACGCGTGATCGGCATCCTTTTTGCTTCGAGGATTAAGGCCATGGACTGCGATGATGCTGCATATTGTAAGCAAAGCTGTCATTGAATAGGCACAACACTTACTCAATCTTGGCTGTATGGCCTAGAGTCGCTTCCTCTTTGGCGGGGTCAGGGTACAGTTGATGTAAACGCTGTATGCTGTGAGTAAGAGCTGCATGTTTGCCGGGACATACTGACCATGTTTATCGTAGAGTTGACCTGGGTTTCTTGCACGAACTGATGAAGGTTGAAGTGTGCTGTTCTTCTCAGGGAAAGAGAAATGTGGTAGACTCAAGGCTCATTTAGCTGAACTCGACGCTACGCGCCTTCTACCTCCGTTAGGCTTAGCCCCAGCTTCAGGAATAACAGCCCCTCGCCCCTCTATAGGCCACTAAGCTGCGGCTAAATTACAAGCGTAAAACGCTATCAGGATATGTTAGGTCTAAAATAGTTTAATGGTCATGGATAAGGTTACGACCTTGTAGCATCAGTCGCCGACTCGCCCCTTCTCCAAGTAACCTTACTAAATCTCTCCGGGCCGTGGACTCATGAACCTTCCCTGACCTCGCAGAAGTGGAAAAAAAATGAAGCACTATTGCGGCTCTTAGCTAGACTTTTATTACTATTAGGCAAAAGTCCAGGATTTTCCACTTCAGCAGTGGAAAATGGGAGTTTTGAACGAAGACCGTTATAATAAACTAACGAGAACATAATTGGAATATGTATTCTTTTTGGCAGAAAGGTATAGTCCCGACCACTTTGAGTATCGTGTAAATCTGTGTGGAAGAGCTGGATGTTTTTTTGAGCCACAGGCGCCTAGACTTTTCAACAGTAGTCATGGCCTCAGTATGGCCTCGCTTCCCCGAACAGCTCAAAAAGGACTGTTTTGCATGGCTGTAAGTCAGGAGATTTTGGCGCCAGTATTTAACTGCGCGAATCTACAAAATAGTTGACCGATCTATCAGACTTTTGCTACGAACAGAACACTAACTTATCAAAAATGTCCAGTACCTGCTGTCGCCCTCTGTGCGTGGCAGTGAACTGCCGCCTGAAGCCCGCCAGCATAGGGCAGCAAGACGCCCATGGCCAAATCGTGGGCGCAAGGTGACCGCAGCCATAGAATGGACGTTTCATTTTTTTTTATTTTCAATGATTAATCATTCTTGTTCTGTTTTTAGTATCTATTCTTCAAGATCTGTCAACCTAGGCCTCAGGCACCAATGAGGCATCAACTTGCTCGTCACATGCGAACCAACACGGGTAAATCGGTGCTTAACTTAAACTTTAAATGTAACCTTTCGGTATTGATCCACCTTTCAAACCCATAAAAATCGGATCGGGGAGATTGTTGCTCCGAGCGGCCCTCTTGACCAGAAGCTCAACTGCCTTTTATTCGGGGTCGCAGTCAATCATTAAGAGAAGTCCCGAGAAGAAAAAAAAATTCCACCAGTGTTCCCTTGGCCTAACGTCAAAAATGGCAGCATTCGTGGCAGCATTTGCCAACCCATTCAACTATATCGGCGGCGTCAGTTTCAGCCCAGAGACAGATATTCCAGACCTGATGGGGAAAGTTGCGCTAGTAACGGGTGGTATGTTAATTGGCCGCGCTTTTATGGTTAGCCACATCGACTCAACAATTCCCAGGAAATTCCGGCCTTGGTAAGGAAAGCATCCTCCAACTAGCCAAACACAATCCAAGCAAAATATTCCTTGCCGCTCGCTCAGAGTCTAAGGCTGTGGAGGCCATCGATTCTATCAAGTCATCAGTCGCGAACGATGTCGAGATTGTCTGGCTGCCTCTGGACTTGTCATCCACCGAGTCGATTCGCAGTGCTGGCGAGCAGTTCAAACCCCAATCCCAACGACTCGACATTCTAATTCTGAATGCTGGCGTCATGTCTCTTCCCTCGGGTGAGACAGAAATGGGCCACGAAATTCAACTTGGAACAAATCATACCGGCCATTTCCTCCTCACGAAGATGTTACTACCGACACTTCTCAAAACGGCCGAGGAACCTAACTCCGACGTCCGTATTGTGTCACTCGCTTCGGTTGGGCACAACCTTGCTCCGTGTTTTGACACGATTCTAGACCAAGAGAAACTCAAAAAAGTCAACACAAATGCTCGTTACGGAGCCTCAAAAGCCGCGAATATTCTTTTTGCTGCGGAACTCAGCCGCCGATACCCGTCCATAACCTCGGTATCTGTTCATCCTGGCATCATCTTGACAGATCTATACGACCCCTTGAACTCGCGCTCACCAGTCATCGCATTGGGCTCTAAGTCATTGCGAGTCTTTGGCTCTTCGATTTCTCAAGGCGCATACAATCAACTTTGGGCGGCCGCTGGCGCTCAAAAGAAAGATCTGGTTAATGGAGGATATTATGTCCCAGTGGGAAATTTGAAACATCACAATAAGTACGCACAAAGCGAGGAAATGGGGAGACGTTTGTGGGAGTGGTCTGAATTTGAAGCACAAAAATGGGGGTTTTGAGGTGCCTTCAGACTCGGTAATGTTAGTAAATTCAATGCAATGTCTCAAGTGTGTCATTTTCCATATTCTTCTATGGCTTGATGGAAATTGTTAGTTATCTAGAAGGTAACACGTAACCATGTCTCGTGGTAAGGCTAGCCATATTAAAAATGAAAAGCTCCTGCATTAGTCCAAGCTATATCAGGGAAGCTGTGACTCGCCATTCCAATTCCAGAAGTACCTCCGTCTAGCTCAAATTCGTAAACACATTTACCGTTCGTGACCAAAATATTTTTAACCATTCCACTCAAGTATAGAAACGTATAGAAAGTTCATCGTTCGCTGGGTTGTGGGAATTAGGCTACCATCTTTCGATCGCCTTTCGGAGTACTTAATAAATCCCGAAAACTGACTGACACTTGAATGAATTGGCGCCATTCGGGCGCGGTGTAACTAGGGCTGTTTCAGCACGCCATCTATTGACATGATGAGTATCTAGCTCCCAAGCCGGAACTCTTCCGAAGATACGCCGTTCGGTGTGTGGTGGCAATGTATTTTGAAGTAGGGCAGAGAAGTGTTATCTCTGAAAGATGAAGAATCCGAAATGTAATTCATTCAAAAAGGAATCGAAATCCTATCAATTTGATTCCTTCCCAATAATGTACTTTTTACAATGCTTACTAGAATGCAATTGTTGTTCGTGAGAATTGCGTCCAGGTGGAGTCGTACCGGAGCGGGAAGCGCCACAATTGCCTTCCCCTCAGTTCTACATACACTAAGAGGGGGGATATTAGTAGGGTTTCATAACTGATAGGTTAGCCCTGTCCCCTCACCAACCCTATTCTACACCGTGCACCTCGAAGGAGGACAACGGGATACATTCATTGTGCTCCTACAACCTAGTTCCGAGTGCATCACCTCCCCCTCCCAGAATAGCACAAGTAACACTTTCGTTATCTTTTGAAAATAAGGACTGGTGAAACAAAATATCTAGCTTCGGCAGCGATACTAATCGGTCCCAAGCTTCCTAGAGCTAGGCCAAAATAAATACAATGTTGGAGCATCCTTTCGGAGAGGAGGTAGTGTTGCCATTCTGGGTGGATCCATCGTGATAACTGCATACGCAGTCACTTCGGAATATTTTAAGATCGGACGGGGCCAGATGATGGTGGCGAAAGTCGTCAATATTTTAACACTCGTCAGTAAGATAGCAAACATTCTGATACCAGTTTTTAGCTCCTCAGGCATGGAGACCCCCGAAATATCTGGAAAGCAATCTGGCATATCGCAGTCTCAAACGCCAGACCTGGAAGCCGAAGGCAGCGATAATGACCCAAAAACCTGGTCGAATCGAACGGAACAAACTGAGCTCACTCCAGTTGAGGCATTCAAGTGGAATGTTGAAGGGGACCAGTCACCCTGTAGGGAAATCGATACATTGGTTTTGGAGGCCAGTATTGCTGACAGCTCACAGTCCCGGAAGTTGCAGCTTGTGTATCTAACAAGGATGATCCTACAACAGCCTGTAATAGTAGGTTCATTCCTAGAGACCAACATTGTGGCTATTTAACTAAGAAAAATTACAGCTGTTCGAGCATGGGTTCTAATGACGATCTTTGTTATACTATTTTCTGGAGCTAACCAGTTCTTTGGCCTTCGATATGTTCGTTCCCACATTCCTCGGTGTGACACTATTTCTGACTTCCTCTAGCCATCCCTCACCATCTCCTATGTTGTGGCTCAGATCCTTGTTTTTCCTATCGGTCGCGCATGGGAAAGACTCCCTAGATGGAGGGTCCCTTTAGGAAAACTTTCCTTTGATCTCAACCCAGGAAGGTTCACGATTAAAGAGCATGCATTCATCGTCATTGTAAGTGAACATTCATCCCTAATTCAACATTAATTATTTGGAGGCAAATTTGACAAAGTACTATAGTGTGTCAATATCAGTGCATCCACCGCCTATGCTCAAGGAGCCTTGGTTGCCATTGTGAGTCCGGTATACTGGAATCGCGAGATGGGAGCCGGCTTTTCCTTTCTATATCTTTTGACAACCCAAATGATAGGGTAAATTGATCATACTTTGGTTCAACGTCATATTACTGACCATTCATAGGTTTGGCCTCACTGGCCTTTCTCGTCGGTGGATCGTTTATCCAGCTGCTTTGACCTGGCCCACCTCGCTGTCGTCAACGGTTCTCTTTCGAGCACTGCATGAACCAGAGAGCAAGAAACTAGCCAATGGGTGGTCTATGACCCGCTACCGCTTTTTTGCCTACGTGACAATCATCGCATTCGTCGCGTTCTGGTTCCCAGACTATATCTGGACAAGTCTCAGCACATTTGCCTTTATCACATGGCTTGCTCCAAATAATCAGAAGGTCAACACTTTGTTCGGAGTAAGCATGTCTCATTATTTGGGGTAGATTACAAGGCTGACTATTTAGATGAACTCTGGCTTGGGTCTGCTACCGATCAGCCTGGACTGGACACAGATAAACTACGCTGGTTATCCACTCACAACTCCATTCTATATCACCTGCAATGCCTTTGCCGTCGTTGTGCTCTTCTATTTCTTTCTATCACCAATCCTTTACTATGCCAATGTCTGGTACAGCGCCTAGTAGGTCACCATATAACACAAGGGTATGATCATCGTCTAATGAACTAGTCTCCCACTCCTTTCATCAAGCACATTCGACAATACAGGCAGCTCATATAATATCTCGCGTGTGGTGGACGCGAACTTGAACTTTGTTGAAAGCAAGTACAAGGAGTACTCTCCAATGTACATTTCCATGTCTTACTCTCTCACCTACGGGTTATCCTTCGCCGCCGTGACAGCGGTGGTGGTCCACACATACCTCTACAACGGCTCCGAAATCTGGGCAAGATTGAAGAATGCGCAACATGGAGGCGAGGATGTCCATCGGCGGCTTATGCGTTCATACAAAGAAGTTCCAGATTGGTGGTACGGTGTTCTCACATTGGTCGTACTAGGACTTGGGATCTTGACGACCAGATACTGGGACACCGAACTTCCAGTTTGGGGCTTCATCGTGGTCTGCTTCGGACTGGCTGTGCTCTTGATTGTGCCTGAAGGTATTCTCCAGGGAACTACGAATCAGCGCGTGTTTCTCAATATTATCACGGAGATGATTGCCGGATATTCCTGGCCTGGCAAGCCTATCGCTAACCTGATGGTAAAATGCTATGGCTACAATGCGGTTAAGCACGGTATGGACTTTGCACAAGACCTAAAGCTGGGTCAATATATGGTGAGTAACATCCTATATTTCATAGAGCTATGCTTACTTTTCAGAAAATCCCTCCACGGGTTCTATTCTTCGGCCAGATCTATGCTAGCATTCTGGCGACAGCGACTCAGACGGGAGGTATTTTCTTCTTCCTGGGACTCATTATGAATTTGAAACTAACCGACATAGTCCTGCAATGGATGATGGGTCATATTGCTGACCTCTGTGAGCCATCAAACAAACAACGCTTCACTTGCAACGGTGCCAAGGTCATGTACAATGCGTCCATCATTTGGGGCACAATTGGCCCGCAGCGAATGTTCCAATCCGGCCAGACATACAACGGGCTTGTCTACTTCTTTTTGATTGGAGTAAGTTACTGAAACTGAACACAGTCTTTCTTTTTATTATTTTGCTTACTCGTGACTGTCTAGCCTGTTGTTACGGTACTCGTCTATCTTCTATACCGCCGCTACCCTAATAGCTGGATTCGTTACATCAATGTCCCGATCTTCTTCAATGCGGCCGGCAACATCCCGCCTGCGAACACTAGTAAGGCCCCAAAGGAGAATCTCTATTATTCCAAGTCTAACGAGACAGCCCAATATTCTCTTTGGTTCATTGTTGGCTTTGTGTTCAACTACCTAATCCGTAAGCGGGCATTTGACTGGTGGAAACGGTATAACTGTAAGATCCTAGCTGAGTTCTTGAAGATGATCTACTAAATCTGATTTGTGCAGACTTGCTGCAAGCCGCGATGGATACCGGCACGGCTATCGCCACAATCATCATCTTTTTCGCTCTAGGATATCATTCTATCGCGTTTGATTGGTGGGGCAACACAGTAGGCTCCAATACAGCCGATGCAAATTCGGTCCCGTGGTTGACTGTTCCTAAAGGCGGTCATTTTGGAAGAGGGCCTGGTGAGTTTTGACCGAATGGGTGCACATCCGTGAGGTCAGCGAGGGACATTGGGGTTGGTCGAAAATGTCCTCCCATTTGGATGCTTCAGCGCATTTCCAACGGACCTGGGATATTTTATGGAAATGAGTAAGGTTCTAGAGTTATCATGTCAGGTTATCAAAGTCGAGTTATACCAATATTGTTTCAAGTCTCGAGAGGGAGAGTTACAATAGCTAGAGAAAGCCTCTTCTTGTTGAGATTGATCCAGTCACTGCAGATACGCAGGTGGCTCTTATTTGCCGACTTGAGTGCCGCTGTACCGTGCTTCCTTCCAAGGGTAGGTGCAGTTTGGGGTAAAGATCTCATCTTGGACCTAATTGGACTTGATAAATCCCCGCTAATATAGTTCGCCCTCTGATTCCTGTGCGTACTGCCCGATGTCTGGTTAGAATTCGTTGTCATCCACCCGCGCTCTTGGTACGGTGCTAACCCTGCGGTGTCATCGGCCTCTATTCTGATTCGCGAATATTGTACGCCGATGATGTTGGAAAACACTTGATTTAAACCCTCCATTCCGGAGCGGTGATCCCAACAACAACCAACAAGTTGTCCAGTTGGTTTTGCGAGCGGGTATTGGGCCTTGTTAACTCGGTCATCCGGTCTGTTACAGTTTAATTTTCCGCCTTTCGCGGACTGTTTAACATTTTTTTGGTCCGGGGATCCTCCCCGAATCCTCCCTTTCTCCCAATCAGCGCCCCTCTATTCAAAAATTCAAGTTTCGTATATTTTTTATCGCACACGAATCCCCATCTTCAGAGGGATCGGGGATAAGCAGTCACGACGCCACGTGGGGGGGTGAGGATTGGCCGTGCGGGGTTGATAACTTGGTCGGGTATTATCGGTGCTGACATGGAAAAATTGCCGTGCGGAAAAAAGTAATTAAGGGATTCGTGCGTTATTCAGGGCGGGAATTTATGTCAGACAACTTAGGTACCCTGTGTTCAAGAGGAACTCGTGGTAAGCTTCGACTTCAATTCATGGTGGTAAATTGATCCAGGGGTTTACTGTCATTGAAAAGGTATATTAGAAGAAAGGTACCTACTGCAACTCCTGATAGACAATATCAATAGTTCCCTTTATCAATTACCTCTGCTGCTTGGATATCTATTCGCATATTATATGGGCTTTTTACATCAATGGAGATGTAACCCATCCTCGTGTTCCTTTGTGGAAGGAGTCTTCCCTCGAATATCTTCTGCAACTTGTCACCCCACGGAACTATGTTTGTCAAGTGCATACGAATCAGTCGGCCCGCATGGCTTAAAAAATATCGCTCTGCATGCATTATGCAATTTTTAGGTCCCGTGAGGTAAGCCAAGCCCGCGATCTTGCATTAACTCATATCACTGGATGTTCTTCACGGCGGTGGGGTGGCTGGCAGTTGTTTTATGGTCAGTTGAACATGGTTTTGAGAAATGAAGTTTCATCCACTTATCTTTTGTGTATTCAGACCAAGAAAGGGCCACTTTTCGTCTCTAAATAAAAAGAATAGAACACTCTCGATATCTGAGGTCTGAAGCACTTCCTATCTAAAGAAATTGCTCAAGACATTATGCCCTACCTTCTGGAAGGATCCTTTCTCCTCTATAAGAAATCTCAAAGGAACTCAATTTTTAGGTGTTGCATCTTGTATGATATTATCTATTCATTCTTTGAACGAAACATCTGCGTCCTCACAACCATAAAACGAAACACTGGACGCACTATATCTACCTTCCGCCGCCATCAAAGATATGTTATATCTAATAGTTCCCAAGTATGTACCAGACTAGGACGCCGATGGATTACAATCTTATAAGTATGAAGCCAGTATAAAATGTTTAATGGGGTTTGACTAGGCTCAGCCAGTCACTCGAATATCGGATTAATGCATAGCCCGACTTTCAGAATATAAAGAACAGCACACCGTAAGCTGAGCGATGTATCCTACGAGTCTCCTCGCTACTACTCTGAAAAGCAAAATACTGGCTCATGGATGATAACAAGTTTTCCGAAAGGGATTGAGACAGGCTTGATAGGACAATATCTTTCGACCTCGCAAATTAGTATGGAATCTAAGCCATCTCAGGTATTCCTCTTGAGGGAAGGCACCGGTCGGCTAACCCTTGATACTTGCAAACCAAGTATTACTACTGTAGTTACCGACTCTGTCACAGCCTTGTCCTAGTATTGTAGCCTAGTCACTGCTATGATGTGGACATGTCGTCAGGCTCATGCAGATCTGCGACGATCATTGACAGACCGATAAATCTTCCAAGCACAAAGCATGATCCTCATCCTATAGTTTGGACTACTATTATATGACACACTACGAATTAATAATGTGATCACCGAGGCCAAAGGGCAACATGGAAATATAGAGTGAAAGATCCGCGACTTTTGAGGTATAAAAACAGTCGATGTATGGATCTCCAGATCTTGAGATTTAGGGACCGAGCCACATATTCTCCTATCCACACCAGAGCCCGAATCAAAGCAAATCGGCAGGACAGTTATGTTATTGCGAACTTGTGAGTGGTGATGGGGGACATTATAGAATTCCAAATTCCTCTTTAACTCTATTCTTCACGCCGTCCGAGGTTTCCTCTCTTGGAAAATTTAGACTTTTGTATCCTGGGATTCGTGTTTGATGGGTGGAGCCCCATGGCTTCAATGTTTCCTTCTTGGCTCGCAGCTCTAACCGTACGAGGATGTGTCACTGCGGAAATATTATTATTAACTTCAGTAATATCCGTGAAAAATGAATGACAAAATACTGTACTAGGTATAGCTTCAGGCTCGGCACCTGTCAGGTCTACGGATACGACATCATTGTGACAGCACAATCAAGGTGTCTCACAGTGGCACTCCGCACCACTTTCTGTTCTCAGACCCCCTACCGTTATGATCATCATGGCTAAAATACCCAGGAAACAAATAGAAGCGACCCAACAGAAACAAAAGCATTATCCCGCCATCTTACTGGCTGCGCGCAGCCCTTAGCCGGAGGCTAGCGCCCCGAGGGGCTGGTGCATGGTGTGATGGTTGAAGCATTAGTCCTCACCCTAGACGAATTAGTTCATGCTTCGATCACCAATGATTGGCTCGCCGAACAGGAAAAAAAATGACTTTGTTGGAAGTATTATTGTGAAGGAGGACAGCAAAGCAGATGCAGGAGTCACTGGATCACTGGTAACAAATTTGCCCGAGTACTTTGGCCATGGAACCGACCTCTCACTCGGTCGCTTATGATTTGCTATGTAGTACGGAAGTCGAGCGAGACCCGATCTCACTCCGACGCCCGTCTCTGAACAAAACTCACGTACTGTGTTAACTATTCGATGAATTGTGGAAAGCCAAGCTTGGTGGATAACTATGCATGTACTTTTGATGCTATTTTTTCTTTTTCAGTTGGCCGTATATCGATCCAGATCCAGCGAAGAAAGACAAAAAGGGCGAAATTAGCGAAAATGCTGCACATCCACTCCGTACTATGGTCGGCTTTCGGGGTTAAGAATATGATGCCCAGTCCACCGACATAATACTCCGTACAGCGACAGTGGTCAGTTGGCCGCCTGAGAGATGGAAGCCACTCTGTGAAGGAGTGGGAACCACGCAGAATGCATACTAATAGGTATGAGGCATGACGAGAGCCATTATCTCGTATGTTCGGCGGGGCAATTTACTTCCTAGAGTAGTTACCCCCATTCAGAGGAACCACACGCTCCGACTTCCCACCTGATTCACTGAAGACTGCCAAAAGCAAGTCTACAAACGTCTTGGTGAGATGATTGTATCACGGCAGCTGAGTTTTGTCAGTGCGCCACTGCCCGGTTCTTCATAGTGACAGGACATAGATTCTGCAGAGTCAGCGCTAGTTCTTTTCTAAAACCCGGTCAAACCCCGACAAGGGCTTTGTAACTATGTAACCATCACCTCTATGTATGAATACCAGTATCTCTGAGATAGGACGGGGGTCCATGTACAAATCTTAAGGCCCTGAGCTGGGTGACAAATAAAGGTATTACCAACTTACAAGTATATCTCAATGGGAACTAGGAGTTATATATATTCACACAAAGCGTATTATTATTAAATGCATGTTATGAACACACTAGACTTTGAGCTATGAGCTTGTAAATTCCCATTCAAGCAGTTGATTCGCTATGCCCCAGGTGGTCAGGTATTTATGTACATAGTCACATTCCAATCTATGACAAGATCCTGCGAAATTCTGGAAGGCCTTGTTCAAAAACCAGACCAATAGGTAGGGGCCTCATCTTGTTTGACTCGGAAAATGCTCCCATCCTATTTTTGCCCTTTAAAAAACCTTGTTATCGGCCATATTTTGTACGCAAAATTATCTACAGTGGTTCACAATATCTTGAGACTAAGAGGGGTCAGAGAACCTAGGGGTGGGCTCCATAGCTATCGCTAAGCTATTAATAAAAAATTGTATCAGTTTGCCCCTATCGCGGCGCGGAGCAGCGAACATCTCCGACTTTTAGTGGGGCGGCCGGTCTGTGGCGTCTTTACAAGAGTCGGTGTCTGAGCAGATCAGGGTTCATTTGAAGCTGAAGAAAGCTACATCATTGATTTGTTGATTGTACGAAGCGGTAGATTCAAGGTGACACTGGGTTACGGAGTAGACCTAAAATCCGGACATGATCTAGGTGAGCAATCACTCCTATCTTACCCCTAACATGTACAATGTAGTATTACTGTACACAGCCACAGGGAAAAGATGACTTACGCAAATTGCACCCAATATAATAAATTATAAAATAAAATTGCTGTGCCACCTTCACGGCTAGCAGAAATCATTAACCCTTACTGGGAATAACGTTGGTTAGGCGGCCCGATGGCGAGCTGCAATGGGTGGCCTGTTCCATGAAGAAATGACGATCATCGTGGGCTGAACATCTTTAGCTTGAGGGCGGCCCAAGCTCCTACTACCAGGCTATCCGCTCCCGAAAACCACGTGTTTGTTGACGGCTGTCTTCTGTTTAATACA